AATCCTAGTGTTCTCAACGTCCCAGCACTCCCATATGCCTTGTAGTGGACTCACACTAACTTTGGACATCTTCCCTACTGGCCTGCGTCGTTACATCTTTGGGCTATCAGCAAGTGGCTGGAGCAACAATGGCCTTGGGTTGGCATGGCTGCAACAGGTCTTCCAGCGCAAAACAGGTGTAAAAGCTTGAAGAAAGTACCGGCTGTTGCTTGTAGATGGCCATGGGAGCCACCTAACTGAAGAATTCCTGGAGTAATTGCCACTGGCACAAGATTATATTAGCAGTCTATCCACCTCACAGCACCCACTCGCTCCAGGCGCTCAATGTGGTTATGTTCAAGCCTCTCAGTACTGCTTACTCAAAGCACCTTTACAAGCACCAAGGCTTAGTCCCAGTGAAAAAGCCCAACTTCTTTGGCCTGTTCTGGGATGTGTGGACCAACAGCTTCACTAAGGCCAACATACTCAGCTCCTTCAAGGCAACTGGTGTACACCCCTTTAACCCCAATGTCATACTTGAACGCTCTAGAGACAACACTTCTGACACCTCAAGCAAGGCATCTTCTGATGACTCTGTTTACTCTGGAGAAGAGTGGAGAAAGTTGGACTCTGTGTTGCATCGTGTGATGGAAGGTGCTTCAGAGAAGGATAAGTCAATTGTGAGGCAATCGCTACACAATTTGTCTATCCAGAATACACTTTTGAAGACTGAAAATGAAGGCCTGCGCAACGCAATCACTACTAAGAAGAGAGGAGAGAGGATTGGCAACCCATTAGACTGGTTGCAACACTATGAGTACTGGGGACCAAACATGTTGTGGATTCCTTGGTCCTTTGGCAAGGCCAAGGTGCGCATGAAGCAAGCAAAAGATGCAAAGGAGCAAGATGAGAAGGATAAGGCTGATATGAAGGAGTTGAAGAAGGCCAACAAGCTATACAATGACAAGATTGCAGAAGAAAAGAAGGCGCAGCATGCAGGATACCAAGAGGCACAGAGGAAGGAGAAGGCAGAGAAGCGCAAAGCTATCAATGCACACAAAGAGGAGAGAGGCCTCAACAAGGAGAGGAAAGACCATGAAAAAGCTCTACAATTGTCCCAAAGAGGCAAGCGTAATGCTTCACAAAGTACAGTACCTAGGAAGAAGCAGAATTGTGGTGCAGCGGCTGCGCGGCGTGGTGTTGTTATTGCAGCACCTCCCCCAATATGTCATCCTGACATGGCTTGCAGCCAATAACAATCCACCCAGTCACTCCTCATGGAACCTCATGGAACCTCATGGAATCCCATGGAACAACACAAAATCTTTGGGTTGCTGACAAATGATTACAAATGATTACAAATGCCAATGTATCTAAAACATTCCAGGAGCCAGCAGTCTGTCTATAAATGTAACAATGCAGAGCCCCATTGTGCCAAATGGCCAAAAAGTACATCAATATCAGCACAACTGCTGATATTGGGCTCTGCATCTAATATATAGGCATAGTGCAAGGCACCTCCTTACAATAAAGGCAGCCTGCCCTCCTGCTCAGATAACTCATGCTTGCAATTCAAAACTCAATCCACTCCTTCAATTCACCTCAATAACTCCTTCCTCAACTCACTCCTCACTGATCCTTTTGTTGAAGCCGTGTCTTAAGCAAAGCTCGTAGACACTATTTGATTGGTTCTTGGGGATGAGCAGAGGTACAGAAAGCCGTCAGGGGTTGGTTATCACTGAGCGAGCTTGGAGCGGCAGAGGTTTGACTGTGATAAACTGCTGTGATAATCAGGGGGTAGTCCTCTAGTCAAAGACCATGGCGACTGGTTGCAATGAGTAGTACAGAGTATACTGTCTGGCTCGAGAGTGGGTGAGATTCCAATAACAAAGTTGATTGACAAGGTTGAACACGATGCCATAAGGGCAGCGTGTCTACTTGCTTATATACTTGACAGGAGGATTGATTGTACTGCTCATATCAAGTATCATCAGTGACTTGATACTTGGTCCAATCAAGCGTTGTCAATGTGACCTTGATACTCGGTCCTCGGTGTCTGTCACAAAGATGCTACGAGTAGGCCCTTTAGGACTCGCTGGGAGTCTAAATCAATTACTACGTACGGTATCTAAGTAGGTACAAGACGTTGTGTACCAAACAGAACTCTACCAGCAATAGTCTATATACTTACGTGTGGGTTCGTTCGGTTACTGGTTAATAATCGGAACTGAGTTGGATAGGTATCGGGGTTGCAAGTCCCGGAGCGGGGCTTGCAGAATCCTAATACTCCTGCTTTGGAGGTTGCAGGCCCGCTCCAGAGGTGACCGGAGGTTGTACGTCCGCTTCGGAGGTGTGTAAGGACGCTGGGGATTTGGTGCGTACGGTCAGGGACAGTACGGAGCGGATCCAGATATTGTCAGGGGATCTGGAGAGGATACCGTGACAAGAGTAAAAGTCTTATATAAGAGATTTCTTGATATTTTTTATTATAGATCCTTAGATCCTTTAATTGGTGTTATAAGTTTTTAATATCTTTATTAGTTCTATGGTTAGACTGTTTCCAAATAGGCGACTTTGTTGTTTTCTCTAGTTAAATCCGGTCGGCACGCGCACGGACACGGTAGCCTGGTGAATTGGCGTTCAAAGTTCGGTGTCGAGGAACTGAGGGGATGGAGGGCTGGAAGTATGCTATTAGAAGGAACTTTGCCGTCAAAAGGGAAGATGCATTCGAACACGCCGAGAATGCTGGGCCACAAGTCTGTAACAGATGTATGTTATCACGACGTTATTCAAATCGCTACATAGATGTAATGCAATACAGTCCAAGGGAGGGTATACGACACTCCCAAACTCACGCCGGTGCACTCCCCGCCCGCCTCCCTCGCTCACCACACCTCCCCTCGACAGCATTCCTCTTCTCATCCTCGAACCTCGTTTGATCTCGTCGTAGAACCTCTTTCTCCCAACACAGCCACCCCCTCTCCCTCCTCAATCCCTCCCTTTCCCGCTCCAAGCTTACCTTCTCCTCGCATTTGAAGATGTCTAAAGACTCCCTCACATCATCACACACCTCATACCCCTTCTGCGCCACGCGTTCCCGCACATCCTCAACTACGCCATCACACTCCTCCCTAAACTCTTCGAGCTTCGAGTCGGCGGCACGTTCCAATTCCGTAACGGCATCGAAGAGCTCCGCATCCGCTGTGTTCCGAAGGTAGTTCGCATGACTCAGCGTATGCGCATATATACTGCCCAGCTCGCCCTCAATTCTGCGCGCTACGTCTTGGCTGAGCGTGATACCTAGCGCGTTCAGCACCGCCGGCGGCGGTGGTATCGAAGTCTGACTTGCGATCGACTGCTGGGAAGATGGTGTGGGCGATGCGGTGAACAGACGTGGAAGGAGAGTGGGAAGGAGCGAATCGAGCATGCTTGGTAGTATACTCTCGACTGTTTTCTCGACAATGTACTGGAGGTCTGCCGCAGACGCAGCGGGGAGGTAGTCTTGGGAGCCATCTTTGTCGTGGGTGTTTCCAAGCTTTGCGTTCGGTGTTGCTATGCTGTCCTTCTCAGTTGGACTTGTGGGTATGTACGGTGAGAGGAGGATGCGTTTCTGCGGATAGGAGGAGGACGTTGGAGTCGAGACTGGAGGCAGTCAGTCCCTGTTACGTGCCTGTTCCATATAAGGCACTCACCCTGTCTGGGACGTTTGCTGCTCTCGGCATATGCAGGCGGCGGCTCGTCGTCTTCAGTCGTGGCATCGCTATCGACGTCTACGTCTGAGAGAGGCCGGAACACCGTCCAATCCGCGCGCCTGTATTGTCCTGTGTGGTACCTGACCGGGAAGCTAGAGAGCTGCTCCGGATGATCAATGAGCCGCTGGAAGATGGCGTGGGTTTCGCGCCGCAGCCAGCTGTAGTCGAACAAGATGTGAAGCTCTGCGGCTTGGGCGAGCTTTGCGAGTTGGTACAAGGCAGTCTCGTGGCCAGGCCGGGGCGTCAAGGGTCCAGATGAAGGTGAGCACCAGACGGGACACACCTCCCTCAGCGCCAAAGACAGCGTACGTATCTGCGGGCTGCCATGGCGTGCAATCTCGTCTAATCGCGCCTGGGGGAGGGAAATATTTGCTGGCCCAAGGGAGATGACACCGGGAATGAGGTTATTGGCGTCATACTGCAGAATGAAGGTCTGCGCGTCGTCGAAGCCGTGAATGAAGAGTGAAGACTGCAAGCAAAGGGTGGCCTGCGCACGGGACTCGTTGCACTTGAAGAATAGGGACAATGATACCGGCGATGCAGTATCGCACGTAGGGTAGGCCAACACGGGGATGCCGCGTTTGCGGTCAATCTGCGTCATATTCTCCTCTAGCTACGAAACTACTTACCAAAGATATCCCCTTTGCGACAAATCAATAATGATAGCAAAGGAAACCCGCCCACCCGAGCTTTGGTTGCGTCGTGCGCAAGGAGCAGCTCTGACTCTATGCAATAGCTTGCTAACGTAAACCACCGCAGGGGCGAAGAGGGAAGGAGACAGAGGCCCACAAGAGGCGGTGCCGTTGTGGTGTGTATCGAGGCTATCTTCGTACCAGCCCATCAACTCGCGCACCGTTGACCCTGCCGTCTTCGCACCGCCGGTGCCTGCAAGAGTATCACCCCAATGACGCTTGACGGCCACACCAAGGGCCGGAGCCGTGGGCAATGTGCGGTCTGCGATCAGAGGCCTTGTGAAATTCGCAAGGATGGTGTACTGTGACAGACTACGGGCGGGCAAAGACTAAACAGTGGGCAGTAGCTGACGAGTGGCGAGGGACTGGAGAAGATCGCGAATTGCGTGGTGAAGAGGGCGTGGTTCGTGGGGAGATGGTGAGCGATGGGAGGTGTGAGGTGGTGATGTTCGAGGGAGGAGGCTGGGACGAGAAACGGAGTCAACGCACGGACATGGCGCGCAAGCACGTGGACACGCTAGTCCACACCGGGCTTCGAGACTTCTTCCTCAATGAAATAGGTCTGCCCTGTTATTGTCTCTGCTTACAAACATGAGTCGGGCGGCCTACTGATGACCTCTCTAATAACAGGTTAGACCCATTGTGCTGTTGATCTACTTTTCCCGCCATTGACGGAGGGAATTGGGCAAAGGCGAACATCAGGCGGTGCGACGTAATGATCCGTGAACAAAGCATGAAAGGAGCGTGCAGTTACATGTGAGCAAACTTGTTGTTTGTAACTATGGGTAAGCATACCGAGCATATGTATACCGGAAACCGTTGCAAAGGTAGCCTGTAAGCAGTTGAATATGAAATTGGCACAAGTGTATATTCTGTTGTGTATTGTTGTGTCTGCTCGACTGAGATGTCCATGATGTAAGCTTAAATGCATGAAGTAGTGGACTGATTGGTTGGTGAGTAACCATGTGACATATGTAGTGTCCTGGGCTTACATAGCCTGTGGGGGTAACCGCCCGCTGTACACTCATGACGGTGGTTCTCCCCTTCATGATCATCCTCGGAGGTGCAGAGGTCTAACAACTACCACTCTTCCGGAATACCAGCATCCTGTTTTTCAATAGCCTTGTCCTTGTCTTTGGCCGCTGCATTGCGCTTGTCGTCGATGCGAATATTGGCCTGCGCCGGATCGGAGGCGCCTTGCCGCAACCTCCTGGCCTTGATCAGGCAACATCTCAAAGCCCCCAACGAACCCACAAAGTCTGCTTTCTCGCACCATACATACGCGACCATTTACATAGACAAGTTTTGGGGTTCAGCATCAAGGGGTTAGCTAACCCTGGAGGCCTTTGACGTGTCTTGGGCTCCGTTACTATCATCGGTAACGTACTTTACAAGCGAGTCGCCCGTACAAGCGAGTCGCCCACCCCACCAACTTTGCGCACCTCTACAGGTGTGCAACTCAACCACGTTATAAGATAATATATAGATATTAGTGTAGCAGGTTAACTAGTATCTACAGTATCCTTTTTGCATGTACGTGAGTTATGGCCAGTCTTTCTACACTTTGTGCAGCGCACCAGAGCCTGGCGGCTGCGGCCTGATCGCTCTCCCCCCTGACGCCTCTCAAGAGCAATCTGCTGATCAGCCTCACATTGAGCAAGTATATCCTCGCCAGCTCCTTTTGTTAAGACCCCTTGCTTCTGTATACGCTTTCTCTTATGTTGTTTACGTGCTGACGCTGCCTCGTTGGCTCTCTCAAGGCTGGAGATCCAATCGCGCATCAACTCAGCAGAGAGCATCATTACCTCAGCCCCCTTTTTAAGCTGGTTGATTGCTTCAATGATTGAGGCAGGTGATGAGCTCTTGTGCTGCCGTACGCGATCACGTATCAGCGTTGACTGGGCCTCAAGCTCACTGTCACGGTATCCTCTCCAGATCCCCTGACAATATCTGGATCCGCTCCGTACTGTCCCTGACCGTACGCACCAAATCCCCAGCGTCCTTACACACCTCCGAAGCGGACGTACAACCTCCGGTCACCTCTGGAGCGGGCCTGCAACCTCCGAAGCAGGAGTATTAGGATTCTGCAAGCCCCGCTCCGGGACTTGCAACCCCGATACCTATCCAACTCAGTTCCGATTATTAACCAGTAACCGAACGAACCCACACGTAAGTATATAGACTATTGCTGGTAGAGTTCTGTTTGGTACACAACGTCTTGTACCTACTTAGATACCGTACGTAGTAATTGATTTAGACTCCCAGCGAGTCCTAAAGGGCCTACTTGTAGCATCTTCGTGACAAGCATTGTACGTGGGACACTGAACGTCTGAGCTGCTGCTCTTACAGTCTTAGTTTGACTTTTGTTAAGGGATGAGATAGTAAGCTGTATATCAGCTTCATTTGAACGCAGTGGAGCTTGTTGGTGTTGAGCCATTGTACGTTGAGATGAGAGAGGTGTGCAAAGTTGGTGGGGTGGGCAACTCGCTTGTACGGGCAACTCGCTTGTAAAGTACGTTATGTATCATATTACATTGTCTTTGTGACAATTTTGACAGAGTGAATGCAGAGACACCCCAAGCCGAATTCGACTGCTGTCTTCATCGCACGCCTATCCATCTCTTTAATGATACCATCTTTCTCAGGCAGCTTGAGGAAGCGCCTAATTGCAGGCTTGGAAGGACGCCTATGTTGAGCTAGCGGCTCCAGTCAAGACAGTTAAGAAGACTGCTGCCAACGATGATGCAACGATGCAAAAGAGAAGGGAGAACCGGTCGTTGAGAGACCTTCGAAAGCAGTTGCAAAACCGAAGGAGAAACCAGCGCCAAAGGGCAAGGAAAACGCAAAGACAGCAGACAAATTTTTAAGGATGAAGCTTGCCGGCTAGTGGATGCGTACGGTATTCCTCTTAGCAAGGCGAATATCGAGCAAATGACTACGACCTTAGTGGGATCACGGTACAGTTGCAACGACACGTTTGTGAAGCTCTACCATGACACACACAGCTGACAGACTTAAGGAGCGCGAATCCGAAATTCACGCACGGAAGTAGACCGTGCCCACATCTTACGCATGAGTGCGCCTTATACGCGCCAATCCATGGTCATGAGGCTAAGGGCCTGACTCAACGACGAAGTCAAGACGCAATTCGATTTTAGACAGCGCGCCCTAGACGCAAAACCACGTCTCACCTCGACCTTGGACATAGCTAGTTGGAGGAGAGGAATAAATTGAAGGTAACGTTCGGAAGCTCGTCTAGCCTTCAGCCAATGTCGACAAGCAGTAGGAAGGCATCTACCACGACAACGGCTCTTGTATCGACATGGTCGGTCCGTTCAGCTCCGGCGTGCACGTACTTACACTCAAGGTGAGACATACCACTGCTCTGTTCGCATGCTCCTCTGATCACTGAAAACCACAGACGGCCGCCATTACACTGAAACTTCTCTTACCAGCACCTATCAAAACAACCTGCACACAATTTCCCGCCCGCAATACTGTGGTTAGAAAGAGGATCCCTATCCCCCACCATGTGCTGTCAAAAAGTACACAATGCAATACACCTCATACGGCCGTCCGCGCAACAAGCTTTGATTGATCGGCGGGCCCTATCAGCCCAGAGATGTTATAGCTACCGGACGTGCCTAGTCTTGCTCTAGCTTCTCGCTACATTCCTGACCTTGGTATAACAGCACACTGTGATGTGTACGCAGATTGTCTAACGCAGCGCAAATTGCAAGCATTGGTCGTTCATAGAGCCGCTGATCGTTTGGTGATGAGAAGTCGGTGGGGTGATTGTGGGGATCTCCAAGACTCCACTGAACATCCCCGAACAACGTCATGCGGAGTCCACCGTCACTGGTCTCATCTCGGCCCGACTTTCCTCTGTCAACAGTAAAGATGCGCGTTGCAATGTGAAAGCTGAAGCATCTTAAGTTCATCTTTCCTCCGCCGAATCGAGAATGTTCAAGTCGACTTTGGTGGTCCTGCTCGCAGAGCTGGCCGCTGGGCATACCGTCCCTCGCCAAGCAGACATCGACTATACAAGCGCTCCTCCCAACCTTTCAACATTAGCCAACAACTCTCTCTACGCAACATGGCTTCCGAGATTGACATTCTTCCAACCTATGGCCAGATCGGCGATCCATGCATGCATTACACGGATCCAGAAACCGGACTGCTCCATGTTGGATACCTGCACGACGGAGCTTCGGGTGCGACGACTGATGATCTCTTCACCTACACCGATTTGAACGTCAAGTCTGAGCCTTTCATTCCGGCAGGCAGCATCAACGATCCCGTAGCAGTCTTTGATGGCGCTGTGATCGAACACGGAATCAACGGGACGCCGACACTGCTCCTACACGAGTGTCAGCTATTTGCCTATCCAGTGGACGATCGCATACACCAAGGGTAGTGAGACGCAATCGCTCGCCATCGCAACGGACGGTGGCCGTAACTTCACAAATTAGAACATGGTCCGGTGATTCCGAGTCCACCTTTCGCTGCCAACGTTACCGGATTCCGCGACCCGTTCGTCTTCCAGAACCCCCAGGTTGATGCATTGATGAAGAAGGCGAACGGCACTCAGTATACAACCATCTCTGGAGGCACTCACAGCGACGAGTTAGATGATTTCCAGACATGGGAATACCTGGGAGAGTGGTGGCATGAGAAGGCGAACACTACATGGACCGAGGCAGGTTGGGCCGGACGCTGGGGTTTCAACTTCGAGGTTGAGAAGTTTTTCGCTTTGGACCAAGATGGCTACAACCCGAAAGGGGAAATTTTCGCTACAGTTGGCGCGGAGTGGAGCTTCGACCCCATTGTACCTGAGGTATCGGACAACAGAGAGATGCTTTGGGCTGCGGGCACACAATCGCTGGTCAACGGGTCGCACAAGTTCGAGCCCACGATGTCTGGAAGACTGGACGCAGGACGATCCGCATATGCCGCTGCAGGCAAAGCCATGCCGACTTCGTCACAAGCCAGCCAGAAGAGCGGTGCGCCAGACCGTTTCCTCACCTATTTTTGGTTGACTGGTGACTTCTACGGAACTCTGAACACCCCGAAAGCGCAGCAAAACTGGACTGGCTCGCTTTTGCTCCCCAGAGAACTGAGTGTAGGTTACCTCAATGTTGTCGACAATGAGCTTGCGAGGGAGAAGGGCGCGTGGAGAGTCAACACTGAGCAAGACAATGTGACAGTCACACTTGCCACGCTGCATCAGAAGATCGCACGAGAATCGTTCGCCGCTTTCAAAGCAAACACCAGTACTGTCATAACGCAGACTGGAGGTCGCCAATCATCTAGCGCAACATTCGACCGCTGCCCCGAGAGCAAGCATTATACTGTTGACCTCAATCACTTTTCCTTCGCGGTCCAACGCCACCAAAGCTGGTTTTGAGATCCTTTCTGGTGATCACGAGACGACGCGTATCTACTACCAGTTCTCCAACGAGAGTCTTATCGTGGACCGATCGAACTCGTCGGCAGCTGCAGCGACTAATGACTGGGTTCTCACAAAGACCGAAAGCGGGAAGTTCCGCTTGTTCGATGTTCCCAGTGGCAATGGCGCAAAGGTCGAGACGCTCAATATCACGATCGTCGTGAATGGTAGTATCGTGGAGGTGCACGTGAACGATCGATTTGCACTGAGCACTTGGGTCTGGAGCTGGTATGAGGATAGCAGGAACATTCGCATCATTGTGGAAGGTGGCGATGTGGAGTTCGGAGATGTGACGATCTGGGAGGGGCTTGTCGATGCTTGGCCGGAGCGCAATGCTTGATATAACCTCAAATGTGTAGAGATAGGCATAAAGTAGACTAAATCCTTACTCATGAAGTCGGGTACGATCATAACTCAAACAATGTACAATGTATATGCTTGACCTAGAATATCCGATAAGGAAAGGTCGATGAGCAGTGCTACTCTTGCCAGATGATGCGTGAGTTGCTAAAACAAATCGATTGGAGAGGGTGCTTGCGCTTCCAAGATGAGCCCCTCCAAACCTCGACTTCCGAACAACTGGCATGTACATACGGTCGTATGAGTACAGCATGCTGCAATCCTCATTCTGGTCGAGATCTCGCTAGTAGTCTAAGGGTCTGATGGTTGGTAGTCAGGTCCGCGGGTGTGGGGACGTTGTGGTGTTGGAGGCAAAGGCGATTCACCCTTCTCAGTCAGTGCAATCACAGCAAAGCTCGGACATGCCGTAGCAGCCAGTTTCCGGCGTTTCCTGCAATTTGAAATGCATTAGAGAAGAGCGGTCAAATTTGCTGTACTTCCTATGATCTGGCTTGCAATAAACTATGCCCGTTATACGTTTCATATCGTAACGGCGAAGAGGCAAATATCGCCAGGGATATAACATTAACGCCATGAAAGTCACCTGAGCACGAAGACAAAGCGCGTCATTGGGACTCGCGGCTTCGCGACTGGGATATTTGCTCGATGATCGAACAGATCGTTGATACTCAATTTGATGATATGAGTGCAGTGTGTAAAAGCACGGAGAGATGGACGAAGGAAGAAAGTTGCTGTTCCTCAGACAGGCCCCGCTTCCCCGGTCGCAGTCGCCCCATCGACCCACCCAACCCCATGTTTCAATCCATTTCGCACCTTCACCCCTTTGTTCGTAAAAATCAGCCTTTCTTATCATTCGTGGAAAATCTCACTGTGCGTCTGGATGGACTCGTCTGGCGACCACACGGCTGAGCGACTCGTGCCTCCGGTTTCTGCACCACTCACAAGCATGCCGAGACGCCTTAGCAACTCTTCTCCCACCTTAGCCGTTGAAACTAAGCCGGTGGCGGTCTTGGGCTAGGCTTGATCCACGATGGTGGTGCTGACATTACCTCGAACACCACCAACATGTCGTCCCACAAGATGTCAATTCCCATTATCGAAACGTCCAGGGGCGAAGCTTCGCAATTCGTGGGTTTGAAAAACCCGGGAAAGTGGCTTGGTCTGACCACAATGATTACGACGAATTTGCAGACAGCCTGTGCGCCTTCGACGACATCCTACGCGTGACCCAGCCGGTAGGGCCGGTTCAAATCACACATATTAGCCGTACCCCAGACGACTTACCCCAGTCCTTCCCCAGAACACTTCTCTTCTCCATCTTCTCAAACACTCAACAGCCATTCCGCAACATGGCTTCGACAGAGGAGAAAGCGACAACCGCTCACGGTGAGCGCTCGTCCAACAGCTCTACCGACAATGCAGCTGGTCTTGCTGTTGCTTTCGAGGAGGGCAAGGACCCCGGTCTGAGCGATGCCCATCTCTGCAGCGAGGCCGACAACAAGCGCATCCTTCGCAAAACCGACATATACATGCTCTCACTTCTCTGCATGGTCTACTTCCTCCAGTCAGCAGACAAGGGCATCATTGGTTTGACGGCCGTTTACGGACTCAAGACGGATGCAAAGCTCAAGGGCAATGACTATTCCAACATTGGTAACATCGGTTACTATGCGCAACTTGCCGTTCAGCCTATCGCTGCCTGGATTCTCGTCAAGGCACGATACCGTCAGGTTCTGCCCGTTATCATCACTTGCTGGGGGATATCGGTCGCTGGAGGTCTTGGTGGATCAAGGAGCTACGCCGGTCTACTCGCATCACGTTTCTTTCTCGGTGCTTTCGAGGCTGCAGTCATTCCCCTGTTCTCCATCATCACCATCGCCTTCTATAGACGTTCAGAGCAGCCATTCCGCGTTGCATGCTGGTACAGCTGCTACGGTCTTAGCACCTTGCTTAGTGCCCCCATCGTCTACGGTTTTGGTCGTGTTCACTCGCACACCCTCTACAGGTACCAGATTGTCTACCTCTTCTTCGGTCTTCTCACCATCGTGATTGGGCTTGGTACATACTGGTGGGCTCATGACAGCCCTGGAGAGGCTCGCTACCTTTCACCTGAAGATCGCCTCAAGGCTGTCGACCGCTTGAAGGCCAACCAGCAGGGTATCGTCTCGCACAAGTTCAACTGGAAGCATGTTTGGGAGGCTTGGTTGGAGCCTAAGTACTGGTTGTACATGAGTAAGTATTTTGATTGCCGCAATATACGTGAGCGTTAAACTGATCTTTTACAAGTCATGGTCATTGCTGTCAATGCCGGCGCATCCGTCTCTTCCGTCTTCGGTTCAATCATCCTTCAAAACTTGGCAGGTTTCACCGCCGACGAGGCAGTTCTTCTCAACATGCCTTTCGGCGCTCTCCAATTCTTTTCGATTCTCCTCGCATCTTGGCTGGCATACCGCTTCAAGCGCAAGTCGCCCTTCTTGCTCGGTCTGGTCACCATTGTAATCGTCGGTGTTGCACTGATGGTTGCTCTACCCAAAACCAAGGCGAATAAAGGCGGTCTTCTCGCCGGTTACTACTTGATTGCTTTCGTCTACGCTATTAACCCTCTACTCATCTCGTGGATGGGTGGTAACTGCGCTGGACAGACCAAGAAAGCGATCTACTACACGTCCTTCAATGCCGGCAACTCCATCGGCAACATCATCACTCCGTACATCTTCGACTCCAAGTTTGCTCCACAATACGTAAGCGCAACATCACCTTCTGTTCACACAAAATGAGGCCAACACTGACGATGACTTAGGTCAACGCACTCAAGGGTATCATGATCATCTGGTGCATCCTGTGGGGCGTAGTCGTCGCACAGATCTTCCTCATTACCTGGATGCAGAAGAAGAAGGGTGACCAGCGTGAGGCTGCCGGCCTTCCTAGGGAGTTCGTGGATTACTCTATGGATGGTACCTTTCACGAGGCTGGTGCGGAGGTCCACGGCGAGAATGGTCTTGCAGACATGACGGACAAGGAGAACTTGTACTTCCGTTACCTGTTGTAATCATCAATGAAGGCAGGCCTGGTTGATATGCTCTCCCGGATGTACTAGAACCATCCGAGGTTTGGACGTATTTGGCATAATGTAATAAGATGGCAATCAGGATGACCCTGTATCTGCACGCATCGCCAACAACATTCCAAATAATATTGCAAAGCCAAAACTTTCCCGAGTCGTTCTCACTTGTCGTTCCCATGAGTGATGATGCTTGAAAGTATTTACCTTCTTCGCTTATGGATAACCAACTAATCTATGTACCTTCCTATCATGGCTAGTTCTTTAGCTAGCCCAATCTTTACCGTTATGACGAGCAATTGCTTCTTTCGAGATAAGAAGTTATGAGCTTCCATTGACAGAACAATCAAGCAGCAACCACTTGCTGTTTCGAAGACTATTCAGTCACGGTATCGACTACTTCCACAAGATGCTGAAGGCCATCGTCGTCGCGGCACTTGCTATCGATGCATCAGCAATGCCTACTGGCAATGTCGAGCGTGACTACAACACCAATCTCGAGGTCAAATTTTCGGTCGCAGATGGCTTTCTGGATACACCCATCGATGGCCGCATCGTGTTGATGTTCGCACCTAGCGAAATGAATCCTCTAGAAGACACGGATGTCACTTCCTCTCCCAACAAGATTTTCGGCAAGAACGTGTATGACTTTGGCCCGAAGAACACGGTCATACTCTCGGGAGGAAACAATGACAGTACCGCGACTAATGTTTTCGGGTGGCCAAATGTTAGCATGAGCGATGTCGAGCCAGGCACTTACAGTGTGCAAGCGTTCCTCACCAGGTACGAGACGGTGACCCGCAGCGATGGATCAATAGTAAGCCTTCGATTTCCATGCGGCGATGGCGGGCTAAATGTCAATGGCTTTGGTAGCTTGACAACGTCTACTACCGACATTGAAATCACCGGGGGCGCGCAGACTGTCGATCTGGTCTTCAATAAAATAACAGCTGTGGAGGCCTTCACTGGCAAGGAGATTGGAGGATGCAACCAAGGCAACTACGAAGACACCGAAACGCTCAAGCACATTAAGGTCCGCAGCAAGAGATTGAGCAAATTTTGGGGTCGCGACGTGTATGTCGGAGCTAACGTTATCCTGCCCGCTGGTTATGATGCGAACGACACCAAGACACGTTACCCCGTCATCTACAACCAAGGTCATTGGCCAGCCGGTCAAGGAGCCTACAACTATGGGGACGACGAGAACTTCACAGCAGCTTGGGACTCGGGGATCATCCCGGCCTCCAACACAACAGCCGAACTTCCAACGCCCAAGTTCATCGTCGTCACGTTCCGCCACGAAGCGCCTTACTACGACGACTCTTATGCAGTCAACACGGCAAATCTCGGGCCTTACGGTGACGCGATCAACGAAGAGCTAATCCCACATATTGAAGACACCTTCCATACCATCCGTGCGCCGTACGCACGTGTCCAGGATGGCGGAAGCACCGGCGGGTGGGAAAGCATCGCCAACGTCATCTACCGTCCCGACCTCTTTGGTGTTTGTTTTTCATCGTACCCCGACTCCTTGGACTTCCATCGTCACCAGGACATCGAACTGTACACTGCCACAAATGCATACCAGCGTGCCAACGGCAGCTTCGTGCCCAGCATCCGCACATTCGTGAACGATACTCAGAAGGTACTGGCGACTGTCGCGCAAGAGAACCATTGGGAACTCACATTCGGTACATCATCCCGCTCATTCAATCAGTGGGATGTCTGGAACGCCGTCTTTGGTGTACAAGGCTACAATGGCTACCCGCTCGAGCCATGGGATAAAGTGACTGGCGAAATATACCCTGAGGCAGTAGCGTACTGGAAGCCGTTCGACCTCAGCGATTACATCGTCACGAACTTCAACTCTTCGCGCAACCTTGGCGCCGCACTTGCTGGTCGAATCTTCATCTACGTTGGCACGTGGGACAATTATTTTCTCAACGAAGGTGTCATAGAGTTCCAGAAGCGCACTGATGCTGTTGGTGGACTTGGATGGGCGAACGTCACGATCTTGCCTGAGAAGCCGCATGGTGGAAATTATCAGACTCGTGAGATCTGGGATTACCTGAAGTTGGTGGAACGTTGGGTTAAAGACCATGCTCCTGATGGTTCGAACCCACTGTCATCTTCCTCTACTGCCCCTTCTACTCGTGGAAACGTGTGGGAAGACGTTGTCGCATACGGTGGACGCGGAGCTGCGGTCAAACGTCAAGCGGACCCCAAGATTAAGGCTGACAAAGCCAAGGTGGGTGGAGAGATCATTGCCAGTGTGGGTCGGTGGGATCCTGGTGTCAGGCTCTCAGCGCAATGGATCCTGAATAGCAAGCCTGCATGCGAGTATTTCCGAGTTGAGCAAGGGGAAAGTGTAAACTACACACCGACCGCGAAGGGTCATGTACAGCTCCTTGTTACTGGTGAAAAGCGGAATTATGTGACAGAGACAAGGAAGAGTCAGAGAGTGCTTGTTGGGAAGTAGAGATTTGGACAGTGCAACAGTCAGACTGGATTGAATATGTTGTAGTGTATGCCTACAACATCGTGGGAACGTGTCTTTGCGTTGTACTTTCGAACCTCAGTATACCTTCACACTGTTTATCACACCAACTGCAATTTTACTCCTTCCAAGCAATGTATGAGTAAGCTATATATCAGCACCATCTCGTATAACTAGCAGAGTTAATAATTACAGTGCACCAGCCTCTCCGATTTTGATGTTTGCCAGCTCGATATCAAGCGCTCTCATACCTGCCGAACTTTTTAAACTAGCCGATGCTGCGTGTTGGTGTAACAACGCTGCCAGTCGACTTAACAGCCTCGGCACTAGTGACGGTAGATACTGACTGAGTAGCAGTCGTGGCCGCAGTGGCCACAGACGCCGTAGGAGTAGACAATTCCTGCATAGCGCTGGAGGATGCTGCCGCAGAAGATCCACCTTGGATAATGGCAACGCTCTCAAGATAGTCGCTGGTCCCGTTCTTAGTATCCGCTACCAGGCGCATCGCTGTGAAACAACAGCGTAAGTTATTACACAGGAGTTGTCTCAAGCACGGTCAGCGCTTACCTGCCGAAGAAAGTGTGCATGTGCGAGTTGTATGCGCCTGGCTTGACAATGGCATTGATTTTCTTGGCCATGAACGACTTGTGGTGGATCTCAGTCCATGCTGAGGCGACTGAAAGTAAGCTGAATATTCGAATATGTAAGGGGGATTGAATGTCTGACTGAAGTCGGAAATGAATAGAGTGACTTGGAGAGGATCAAGCTGGGGAACGAACGTAAGAAGATCTCTTGGTGACCTTATTCAGACGTCCAACGACTTTTCTTCACACCCCGCTTTGGTGAAGCAATCAAGATATTCGCAATAGCCTTGGATCCCGCGCTTCGTCAGTGTCTCGAGCCTGGTGAAGAAGGGATTGCGGAAACTAGCAGCTGAGCAACAATGTATTAATGGGAGAAAGGTGAGAAGCAATGTGTGTTGATTCTGCCTATCTGAATTACGAATGTGCGAACGTAAAGATCGCTGTGAAGGAGCTATCCAAAATAGGATTAGCGTGACAGATCCAAAGAGTCATAGGGCTGAGAGAACGCTCTCTCGAGCACTGATACAATGTTCGGTAGAAACTTTCTTCGTGGAGTAATTCAAACTGCTCCTAACCCCAAAGCAGATATGTACAAAATGACGGAAGCCGCGAAGGACCTTTCTCAGGTCGATGTAGACGGACGTACACTCCATAAGATGGCGTCTTACCGGCGCCTTGCGCAACCCTAGATGTACCTGGACATTTCTGCGAAATCAAATATACAGTCTGAAAAGTTACCAAGGTGCTATTGGTAAGTCGATCAGTAGAAGATTCCAGGTGTGGGTTCTCTTGCATAGATCATGAGTTTGTTCGCTGAAAAAGCCTCACAAAACGGTAGCACTGAGAAAACCCTTCATAAACGCTCCCGTTTCGAAACATCACAGTAAATCGATGATCTTTGGATTTGACGGCAAGTCAGGTGCGCATACTTGCAAGCTAAGAAGCCGAGGCCATCTCCTTTCTTCCACCTAAAGGAGAAAGCGCAGTGTGATCCGGAACCTGTATTCCGGTTCCGCGCTGTCTCTCACACAGTGGACCTCATCTTAGATAGATATCTCTTTCCGATCAGGTCTGCGTCGGTTCTTTCAGCTTTCGGCGCTGGAATATTCGCAATACAAAGTATTCTGCCTGGAAAGGCACCGACTGGGAATAGGTCCAACTTGAACAAACTGCATGGTCGCAACATGACACCAGCTCTTGTCCGTGTCCACTGACCACCATCACTTACATGGATGCATACGTGCCTTCAGGGGGACATTTTTAGTTAAATACTAGGCGCGACTGGTATCGTTTAAGGGCGCGAGTAACTCTGACACCTTGGTATGAGGTTCTGTTGCAGTAAATGCAATAAGTGAAGGTGTAACCGCGCAGGGCAGTAAGTCAGGGGTAACCGCGCAAAGCAGTAAAATCAGTATATTATGTTGTGTTGTTGTTTTGGTGTTCTGTCTCTCTCCCCGGGCCATCAGGGTCTGTTTACATGACGTATCTGTCGTGCAGACAGAAAGTGCTATTGGAACAGGCAAGAGCACTGCACCAGCACACGTGGCAGACATGACCGCTTTACTCCATAAACCGTCACAGGTTCAGTACGGGACTGTCTTTCGAGTGTAACACATCAGCGAAGGGTTGGAAGATGTGTTGACAATATCATTGTATGAAGCGGTGTGAACAACTTCTATGGAGAAAGAAGACACGTTGCTGCCTTGCGACCAGACTAAACAGTGACTGAACCCGCAAGAGCATCATCATACCCCAGGAAGCCTTGTTGGACCTACGAGACTTGGTTTCGGAGCCGAATCATGTATGATTGAGATAACCTCGACTAGGTTAGATGCTTCAATCGCCGCTACGGCTCCTATTTTACCAGACGCTTCACCAGAAAGCGTGCCTCGATGCCAGTCCTTGACTATTACTGAAAATGTAGTATTGCGACGAAAAGGCGGACAGACGTGGTTATACTTGCTGACTGCAGGCAGCCGACGTGATGGCATGGCAAGGCTGAGCTAGTCCATACCGAGGTTACTGAATGTGCGGAGGATGTCTTTTCCCACACTCTCCTACCGCCATGCGAGACATCGGATTGTACGAGTAGTCCTTCTCAAGGGGCAGAAGGTGAGCAGAATCGTGATCGATTGATACTACCTACGGTGGTGTTTATCTACACGAGAGAGACAGCGGACGCTAACCCATATAGGGAAGGCGCGGAGGCTCTGAGAGCTGGACGTAGTGAAGGTACGGGCTGACAGTCCTCAAAGATCGTCCACTTCCAATGACCAGACCGACTCCTAAGCGTAAGTCTCTTGACTCTGCGCTTCTCGAGATGTACAATCCTGAGTTTACCGATCAGAACAGCCGAGCTGTTTCCGAACTTGATTCAAGGAGATGAGCCAGAGGTCGCGGATCACTGGCTGTCGTGCTTGTCGGTTTTACGCAGGTTTGAGTATTGGGGATACTTTCCGTGTTGTTTGGCTCGCCCGATCTCGAAGGTGTTTATGTACCTGGGTGGTAATATTCCCAGTTAGTCCCGTATGCTGTGCAAGCCTGATAGTTGCCATTTTCGGTTTCGACTGGGTTTCCACACTCAATGCAAGTCTTCAGTTTCTTCGCTGCTTGCTTCTGCGCCATGTTTCCAATAAACGGAGCGCTTGCTGGAGTGAGCGTACGCATTGGCTGTGCACCGGCTTGCATCACTGGTGAAGGTGCAACCAGCGCTTGATACTGTTGATGCCCGGGTACATCACCCAGCACCTATGTCATCTTGAATCTGTTGCCGCACTAGCCCTAATTCATCCTAGTCCTCACAGTGGTTTCCTCCACACAAACCGTAGCTCAGATAGTAACAATACTACACATGACATCCATACTTGTACCTATGGACAGATACTGGATACGCGTGACTTCTACCCCTTCAGATGCGGGATCGTCCTGTGGATGGCTTCCACTCGGTGTTGTAGATTCACCACAGTCAGCGCCTCCATCCGGATGAAGCAGGCGTGCGCAGTTGAATGATGTTTGGACATCGACATCTTGTGTCTGAGTGCGAGTCGACCAACCAGCGTCCGCTTCTTGGTCTTGAGGAGACAAAGTTTCGTAGTGACAACCTCCAGGGGGTGACCTATCAAGCTGGAGTATGGGGTTCTTTGATGTCGAGTGCGCTGGAATGAGTGCAGATAGGCTACGAGAGCTAGATTAACCAAAAGACGGGGCGAATTGTCCACCTCCAGCCCCCATAGGCGATGAGAAATGCATATTTGGCGGTTCCAACGATATGCGATGGCGATGAAGGCTTCGAAACGGGAACTGTGATGCAGCGGACCACAATCTGGAAGGCGCTCGTTTTATACCGACATGCTGCATGCCCTTGCTAGTCTATGATGCAGTAAGCAACCTTATCTTCCACGGCTCCGGTCATGGGGTACGTTGTGCCAGCCGGTAAGATCGTGGCTGAGCTATGGGCGGGGCTACAGGAAAGCCGCTGCCTGCATGGCAACGTGACAAGGCTGAATGACATCAACCAAGCTGGAGATCCAACACCCGGTATACACTCTTCTCATGGCTTCTAGTTCACAATCTTCGCAAACCATAGCTACCGCTGGCGATAGCATCGCTAAGCCTTGGAAAGATGTTGGGTATCGTGGGTTTTCAGCCTTCCTTGCCTCGGATAACGACTTCCTGATCTTCAGGAAATTTGGGACGTTAAGCGCGAGGTTGTTGTTGTACTTGCAAGACGAGATCGCCGTACTTGAGGAAGCCTTAAGGGACATCGAGGATAAGCACAGCGGTCCTACTGCGCCGGACTTACATAACGGTTCTTTCCGACAAGATCAACTCACAGAACGGAAGGCTCTACTGGACACGCTTAGTGTAAAAGTGAGAGCGTACAGTGGGTTTTCCCTGAGTCGAAATTACATTTGGGGAAAGGACTAACTCAAATGTAGATGAGCTCCTACTCCAGCACTCCACACTCCGAGAACGTCCACTTGTGGACAAGCGATACACACAGAGCATATCGAACTGGTTGTACAACGAGGAGAATGCGATCGCCGAGAATGAGGTCAAGTACATAGAGAACCGGTTCGACTTGGTACAGCTTGTCCCGAAACCCAGAACCCATCTGCGCCGATTGCTCGAAAAGTCCACACGGTTTCGGCTCTCCAGGATCTGGGCATCAAGAGATCCACCACTTCCGCTGCATAGTGCGCACGTGGAGAATCTGCACTACTCTTCAGACACCAGGATCGATAACTTCTTCGGCCTTACAGTCATCGTCCTTGGGATGCTGATGTTGATCGCACCATTGTGGGCGCTCGCGGTTACTGCAGGTACAATGAGGAGACTAGGCGTCATAACAGGGTTCATCGTCTTGTTCCTGGGCTTGATAGCATGTACGACCACTGCAAGGCCGTTTGAGACACTAGCAGCTGCGGCGGCGTACTCGGCAGTGCTGGTCGTGTTTCTGCAGAGTGCGTAGGAAATCGGAAAGGTTCAATACGAAGCTGTTCTTGAGTGTCTATAACGTATCGGGGGGCGTTGCCACGATGCCGACGAGGTGTGTCACTACACAACGACCCTATCTTGGTCGTGAGTCCAGTCTTCCATTACGGCTTGATAGAACCAGTCCTCACCGATGGCTTCATAAACATCTTGTAACACAGTCCACGGGAACACTTCGATGGAGACGGGCACTTCCGCATCTGTCTTATCGTCAAGGTAGATAGAGTTGAGAACTTTCAATGTTGGTGGCCGGACAATGTTGACGTAAGGACTCTTGCCCCAAAGCCGGGTCTCGCGGGTAGCGTATGGGCATCCCGAGTTGGTATTGCCTCTCTTCAGGCAGTGCCAGGAATTGTAGACAGCTGTCGAGTGCTTCGGCATCCACATGCACGCAGTATTCGGAATAGTAGACATCGGGTCTCGCTTTTCCTTGCCCTTGTATATGATTCCCAATCCAGTCTGCGTGAATCGCTTGCACTTTTTCCAACAGTTGCACTGTTCAAAGCCGTGCGATCCTCGTGTACTTTCATGTCGAGTGCGTCTGCTATGCGGTCGCTATCAACGTAGAGTCCTCGAATACCTGACGCAACCTCTTCTTTCCATGCAGTGATAAGGGCTTTCCAGGCATCGTCATCACGATAACCACACCGTTGGATGTTGAAACCCATCTTGATTTATCCCGAATGACCTCCGAGGGTACGGTCGCTTGATAGTGTGTCGAGAGCGAGCCACTTGAACGTCTTACTGTTGTGTGGTACAATGGAGAATCTATGATCTTTCGACGCGAAATGGTAGGGATGCCATTCTCAAAGTATGTACGGAAGGTCTATGGCAAAATCTACCTCCTAGATATCTGAGGAGCATTTTGACTTTGCCCAAGGTGTCCGAATGGTCCATCCTATCGAAATGACGAGCCAGGAGCTTCAAAGGTGATTGCTGCCCCTCTAGATGAGAGGCTATGACGACCCTATTGCGGAAGTGATGTGAAATGGACACGTTCACAGGTCGAAGGGGAGAGTTTTGGTCGTGCCAAGCAATCACATCGGACCCTGACATGGATGATCGACCGCGGCTCAACTGCACGAGTCTCCAACACCACACCAAACACAGCATATCGAAGCTCCCCAAAGCTCAACACAGCCTTCTCACGAATTAGCCATTCTCCAGCATAGACGTTACCTTACGCATACAACCACATCGCGCTCCCACACAAACCCACCATTGCGTATTCTCGAACATCTCGAAGCTCCCACACCGGCGCGCCCTCCACTCAAACAACCAATTGAGGAATATCTGGAAAGAGCCTGCTTCAACATAAACCTCGTCCGCCATGGCACAACCAACACAACCCCCAACCGATACACCAACATCCTACACCGACCCCACCTTCTCCCTCCTAAACAGCACATGTCTGGACCTCCTCCTGATCGAGCTGGTACCCATGGCCTACCGTATAACCGCTGACCTCGCGCTACGAGAAGAAGAGTGGACAGGCACATCAACAGCAAAAGCAAACAGATTGTCATCACACAGCAACGACGCAAGCAGCACAGCAGCAGGCGCAGCAGCAGGGACAATAGGCGCAGGCGGAACAGCAACAGTCGACGAAGAAGAATCGCGAGAAGCAGTATTCCACCGCCTCGAAAGTCTGGGCTATCGCGTCGGCCTAGGAGTTGTAGAACGGTATGCATTCCCTACATCCAACCAGCCCTCTACAACATTGCTAATACACACCGTGTAGATTCTCGCGCGACACACCACGCCCCGTAACGCCGCTCGACTGCATAAAATTCCTCTGCAAAGATCTCTGGACACTTTTATTCCGCAAACAAATCGACAACCTAAAGACCAACCACCGAGGCATCTACGTGCTGACCGACAACACCTTCAAGCCCCTCACACGGATGAGTTTCGACACGAAAAAGTACACGCCCGAAGTGCAGGCGCGCATCAACGAGGCCGCGGAGCGAATGTTGAGGGAGGGCGACGCGGATGGGAATGGGTTGAATGAGATGGGGCTGGCCAGGGAGGCGAATAGTATAGAACGGGTGCAGCCGTTTCTGTACTTCCCGGCGGGAGTGGTAAGGGGGTGTTTGGAGGGGTTGGGGATTAGGGCGAGTGTGCAGGCTGAGTGTAGTGCGTTGCCGAGTGCGACGTTCCAGATCAGGACGGCGGGGGCGAAGAACTGAATAGTAGATGATGAAAGGAGATTGTAGCATGAGTGTCATTTAGCGGCATTGAGCGGCGTTCGGGAGCATAGTGAGTGCATCTTGGGATGTATCACGAGCAAGGTGTCATGTTGTCTTCAGTGGATTCCGTTGGACTATCTAGATGGGAGGCTGCAGTAGCTCTTCATGCAGATAAGTAGGCATGTTCATGTAAATTCTCCGTTGTGGTATTCGTCTCTCATCATCCATCGAGGGTATCATAGCCTATCTATTGAGGTCTGTTAGTACTGTATAACCATATACAGAGTAGGCATAACTCACTTGGCAGGAGGATTCTGGGCGAACTCGACGCCCTTGGAGATGTTGCCCTTGAGGCCTTCGTAGCAGGCCTGCAGCAGCTTCTTCTCGTGGTCGTTGGCGCTGCTGACGACGTCGATGGCCTTCTCGGCACCGCTGGGGCCAAGCTCGATGGGGACGGAGAAGAACTCAGTGCCAGTGGCCTTAGCAACGGCGTCACCACCCTCGACACCGGGGAGATAGACGAAGCTGGGCTCGATGAGACCCTTCTCGCCCTTGGCAGCCCTGATGACCTTGTCGGCGAATCTAAAAGTGTTAGTCATGAACTACACAAGCACATCTGGAGATGCTTACCGGTAACCAGCGTAGGCCATGGAGAGAGTGGCGGAACCAGCACCGTCCTTGGCCTTGACAACCTCGTCACCACCGAACTGGACGCCTGTCTTCTGTCAGTCTCGTGAGGCTTGAGTTTGAAGCTGCGTACTTACGGTTTACGAGAGCATCGAGCTTCTCAGAAGGGATGCTGACGCTAGGCTTGGCCTGGCTGAACAGAGGAACGATAGTCTCGCCGGAGTGACCACCAATGACGGGGATGTTGAGGTTTGCGGGGTTCTTCTCGCCAGTGATCTCAGCGACGAAGGTCTCGGCACGGACAACGTCCAGGGTGGTGACACCGAACAGCTTCTTGGGGTCGAAGACACCAGCGGCCTTGAGGACCTCAGCGGCGATGGGGACTGTCGAGTTCACAGGGTTGGAGATGACGAGGATGTAGGCCTTGGGGCAGTGCTGGGCAATACCCTCAATGAGGCCCTTGACGATACCGGCGTTGATCTTGAAGAGGTCGTCACGGGTCATACCAGGCTTGCCTACGAATTGTCAGCGTGATCTCGGTCAATTACTGATTCCATCACCGTGGCACACGTACGAGGAATGCCAGCGGGGATGACAACGATGTCAGCGCCCTTGAGAGCCTGTGCGAGGCCATCGTCCTTTGGCAGGTAGCCTGTTACTTTCTGCTACCTGTCAGCTCTTACTCATGTGTATGGAACGCGTGGGGGCTAGCTCGTACAGCGGGAGACGAGATGTGTGACAGATCGGTAGCGACACCGGGCGAGTTGACAACATCGTAGAGGGCGAGCTCGGTGACGTGCTGGTTCTGCTTGAGCAGCAGAGACAAGGGCTGTGCTTGGTTAGAACACTTCTGGAGCTTTACAGCTTCACCCTCACCTGACCAATGCCTCCAGCGGCACCTGCGACAACGGCCTTAACCATCTTGTTGAGATGTGAAGTGGTGGTGTGGTGTTTGTTGACGGAGCGGGGTAGCTCTCAGGTGGTGTGAAGAGCTGCGGGGTAGGGAAGGTGCAATTGAAGCAGCGGGAAAGGTAGGTGAGGGAAGAAAGGTGAAGCTGAAGAAAAACTGAGAAGTAGCAAGGAGCAGCAGACTCGAAGTTTAAGTACAGAGCTTGTAGCACGAGACGGGGGTGAATGGCATTCAATCACCTTGGCAGGGCAGGGGCGTGCGGGCGATTGGTGGGGTACCGCGCGGGCGGGTTTGAGGTGCGCAAGGAACACTGCTGGAACGCGGGCTAAGGAAGATCGTGACTTTTTCCATCTTGATCTGGGGCATTGGGGTCTTCTTTATGTTCGTGTACGAAAGCCTCACGAACGCACATGACGATGATGACACTCCGGAGAGCCTCGGTGCGTCGACGGCAATCCACCTTTACATGCTCGGGAGGGACCGGACACCCGCGCGGCCGCAAAACGCATGCGCGTGAAATAGGAGAGAGGTGTGTTCAGTTTGCTCGTTTTGTGTGTACCTGAAAGACTCCAGCCTTCCGTAAGGCCATCCGCGGCCGTGCCAATACCAGACCCATAGCTCCAAAACACCGTAGAACTACCAAGCCGTGTGAACTCCCGCTACAAGAGCCGTACGAGAACGCCAAATGTGGAGAAACATTGTCTGAGCTGCAACCAGTCGCCCAAGGCATATTCTCTGGAAGTTTCACATTTACATGTGCCTTTGCTCGGCCTTAGAGAAGAGCTGTACCTCGTAGACCAGTGGTGCTGCTGGCAATGTTCAAACTCGTGATGAAAGACGCAAAGGACGCTGGTCGAAGAAATGGACATTGACCTGTCGTTCCCGTAACAACGCATAGTCTACTTCGACACTCCGAATTAGAATGTCTCGGTAAGCTATCAGCGAGAAGTTAGCCTAGATCAAGGACCAAAGTCTTCCCTCTCGCCTTCAGCATCAGCATCTGCTTCGGCGTCGCCGCGGTAGCCTTGGTGATCGCCTGCTCCAGCAGGGTCCGGTCCTCGCTGACTCACAGGGTACATCTATGTCAGTCAGTACAGATTCGCGATGTGTGGAAGAGTTCTAACGACTTACAGGCTGCTGCATGGGGTACCCGCCGTACACTCCCTGATCGAACATGTGTTGCTGTCCGTAAGCACTTGGGTCGGCTTGAACAGCACCTGCGTACATGTTCGGCTGACGGAAGTCCTCCTGCTGCTGCATGTGCTGCCCCATCCCGTAGTCTGGGGGCGGCATCTGGTGTTGGGCGTGCACTTGCTGGGGCATGCCACCAGGAGGTACCTGTGCAGCTGACGACTGAACAGGAGCGGCGCCTTGTCCGCCACTTCTCTTGTGGGGGTGTGCCTCCTCTCGAGGGACAATATCAATGAGGAAATCGAACATGTCGGACTTGGACAGGGCGGATGCAATGTCGGATCGCTGGAGTGTGCGGCGTTTGTTCTCCTCGGCGTGTATCCAGGCGCGCATGGTAAGCTCTGTGATGAAGATGTCGCAGCCCTTCGCGAATAATATTGGCGCCTCGGCTGAGATCATCTTGACTTCTGGGTCGGCCTTCATGACCTTCTTGATGCGCGCCAATGGGAGCTGATGTAACTTGTAGTCGTGTTCATCGGTCTCGAGTTTGGTGACTTGTTGTTGCCAGTACGTATTGAGGATATCGCGGTAGTTACCAGTCAACCCTTGATTGACCTGTTGTCGCGTCAGCATCGGTGGTGCGCCTGAGACTGACTTGAAGGCAGCGTACGTTCTGCCATGACTGAGTGAACAGCTGTGGGTCGGGCGCATGGCCTTGGGCGGCGATCTGGTCCAAATATCAGTGAGTAATTCACAGCATAGAGTGCGCGGGCGCGCAAATGTGAACATACAGCAGCAGAGGCGCCTGGAGAGTAGAGTTAGCTCAGTGTACGTGCAATGCGACAAGCGCGTATTGTTGCGCCAATGCGCCAATGCGCCATTGCAGGGCGTGAACTCACCATAGTGGCCACCGTTTGCGGGATCGTAGAGAGGATTGCCAGATTGCCCATCGTACCGCCTGGGTGCGGCAGGTGCCTGGCGCATTTTCTGCTGGTTGTGACCTTGGAGCTGGTCCATGACTGCGGTGTCGCGCAAATGTTACGCGACGACGGAGAAGCGCGTCTGATTAAGTAACGCGGACGGTAGGTCTCGATGTGTATGGACGAATATGTGCAGAGATGTGCGACACCGAATAGTCGTTCAGAAATATGCCGTGGTGGTGTCTGGAGGTGGTTATGGTTGGATTCGAGGCGTGCTTTGAGTGGTTGGGGAGCTGCAGCAAGCTTAAGCGGGGGCCGCTTGCGGTGACGAACTCCAAGCTGTGTTGTCTGTGCTTGGGTCTAGTGATCGATCATGGAGATCCTCTGAAAACAAACATACCATAGTTATCAGAGGCACGATAAGATGGAAAGCCAAGATGTCACCGTAAGCCTGGCGCCATGCTTATATGCATCTCGCGGTGATCGTTCCACAGGAAACAACCGTCACAGCCCCAGAGCCTAACAGCACGATCACGATACAGCGCCTATGCATGCGCATCACACTTGGTCTTACACAGAGCTTTAGTCTTTAAGCCATCGTGATCTGACTCCCTCAAGGGTATCGCTGGGTTCGACAGTAGCACATCTCCCGCGAAGTAACGCATATTGTAGGGAACGAATGCATCCCAGTCCAGGTTTTTGATTGGATCAAAGGAATGATGAGAAGTTTGTGATTGGTTATATTAGCCGTCCAGTGTGCGTTGGCCTTCGCTAGGCTTGAGAGATGTGTCAAAGTGTGCAGACACGCATCATAAGCACCCTTTCGTTCGAAAGTGAAGCTGACCCGGTCTGGAGATTCCAGCACGCTGAACAGCAAGACAACAGCAGCCGGCCCGTGACGTCGGGCCGTGGAGGTTGTTTTTGCCGACTGCATGGCCCAAGCGCTGTCCCTTTCAAAAAAGTTTCGCGACCTCGAATTCTCCAACCTCTGTGCATCCTACGCGAACGTCAACATGGAGCCGTTGCCAGCGCATCAGCCTCTCCTCGAGGATGACACCGATGAGGAGCTTTCCGATCAGCAGATCAAGGAGCTGCTGAACGAGGCCGCCGAGCGCATGCGCGCAAAGGCAGCCTTGCAGCCAGTTACTGTATCAGATGCGCCTTTCAAGCTTCCCAAGCTGAGGCCCGGGCATATCGCCGACACATACGAGAAGACCGAGGGCAACATCACTCGTCTTGATCACTCGAAGCTAATCGACAAGAAGCAGCTGGCTCTTGCTAACGGTATCAAGAAGATCGATGACCCCATCGCCGACAAGCGCAAGCGGAAAGAGGTACGTTCAAAATTTCTATAGTTCCCTGCCAGTGATGATAATTATCCCAAACTTTTTCCTGACGCAGACTCGGGCTCCGTCTTGGATGCCTTCCTGCACCATCTGATGGTTTTTATTCATAGTTACACTGAGGCACTACACATACCTTTGCTGTTCATAACTGTTGTACTCGACTATATACTGACAGCTTACGCAGGAGAAGAAGGCTACTGCTGGCGCTGAATGGTTTAACATGCCCAAGACCGACCTCACTCCCGAGCTCAAGCGTGACTTGCAGCTTCTTAAAATGAGGAACGTCTTAGACCCCAAGCGGCACTACAAGAAAGACAATGCGAAGAACGATGTACCAGCGTTCTCACAGGTCGGCACCATCATCGAGGGTCCTACAGAGTTCTTCAGCAGCCGCCTGAGCAACAGGGACCGCAAGCAGACCCTCCTGGAGGAAGTCGTCAATCAGGAGGAGAACAGCGGTCGCTTCAAGCGCAAGTACAACGACATTTCCGTCAAGAAGGCCAGCGGAGGCAAGAACTTCTACAAGAAGCAGCAGGCGAAGCGCAACAAGGGCAGGGTCTCCAAGCCTTGAGCCTATCCATCATTGGCTTGAATCCTCAGGCTCCAAATTTGCCCATATACAGAGTGTATTGATGGCTTTCTGCCGCACACCCCGTCCGGCGCACTGCTCTCATGTCAATCATCACAGCAATGTCGGTGATCAAATTGCAGCAGGCTTTTAGCGCTTGCATGCTGTTTACAAGCTCACTCGCCATGTCAACCACATCTTGGTTTGATACCTACTCCTCATGCAGATCGCTTATCACCTGCTTAACAAGGGCGACCATATCTTTGGCTGCCTCCCTCCCAGCGTCCAAGACCTCAGCATGGTTCGCCATACCCTTGGTCAGATGCGCCGTCAGCTCCGCCCTGTTCATCTCCTGGATCTCAGGGTTGTTGCCCTTGGAGCCGGCCTCGAGAACAGCACTGTTCGTCACCAGACTGAACGCCAGAACGCGGATGCCGGCGTGTCTTGCAATAATAATCTCAGGCACAGTTGACATGCCTACGACGTCGGCGCCTAGCATATTGAGCATCCGGCACTCGGCTCGCGTCTCGTAGCTACATCACGTCAGCTCTTCATTCGAGCATAAAGATAGAACAATGACAAGAACATGAACGACTTACGTTGGTCCCGCAACAAACGCATACACTCCCTCGTGCAATTTGCGCTGCTGCTTGTCGAGCCCCAACTTGACCCAGGCCTTGTGCGTGCGTCTCCGGAGGTCAAGGTCATACGCGTCTGAGAGAGGTGGGAATCGTGTGCCAAACTCGTCGATGTTAGGTCCACGCAGAGGATGGATTCCAACCAGACCGGCCATGTTGAGGTGCTGTGCTGCGTCAGCAGTCATCGTGATTGAGAGTGGAATCAACAGGACTCACATCGTTCAAGCACACAATGTCGCCTACGCGGTAGCTCTGGTTCAGGCCCCCGGCGGCGTTCGTGACGATGATGGTTTCCACGCCGAGGAGCTTGCAGACGCGTGTTGCAAAGGTTGCGGCGTCCATGGAGTGGCCTTCGTAGAAATGTGCCCGTCCGACTAGTAGTGCTACTGTGGTCTTTTGGGAGCCGATTTGCCCAAAGACGAATTTGCCTGCATGGCCGGCCACTGGGAGGGATTGTCAGCCGTGTCTTTTTGAGATAGTAAGTACTTCGCGAATTGTAACGTCCACACCCTGACCTTGGTTCCCTCAACATCATTTTGTGGAATCGTGGTGCAATGGAATAAAATCCACAAGCGCAATGCCTCAACGGCCATTCTGCCCTCGAATCCCCTGATCATGGCTTTTACTTTATTCCCTTCTGTGCATGCCTACTCACCTGTGCTCTGAGGAAAGTTGGGGATATTGGCATAGTCCAGCGCAACCTTTGGCTCAGCTTCGATCGTATCGGCCAGGCCACCAAGTCCAGATCCACAAATGATTGCTACCTTGGGATGTTGAAGGGACTCTGGTAACTGTGACTGTACGTATTTGGCGGTCTCGGTTGCACGCACGTAGGCGTTTGGTGCTACCACGGAATCGAGGGTTGCCATTTTCACCAGCTCTTTCTTGCTTGATCTCTTGGATGTTGTAGAGGAGTGGAAGAAGTAGAGATACAGTAGAGAGAAAATGTAGAATACCAAGTGGCTCGGTGGGTATGGCTACTATCGCAGGGTGGGAAGGTCCACGGCGGAATCCGACGTGCCGGGCGGTGACCGAAAGCGTGCTAGCGCGAGGTGCAATTGAAGAAGTTCAGAGACATCATCAACACCAGCGGCGACGACAGCAGCAATGGCGGCGCCGAGATGTATGCGCTCCTTTATGGGGCCGGCGAAGAGGACCAAGGTGAGATGAGGGCACTGCGATTGCACGACTGCAGTCCCGCGGGCAGGCTGGCGTCACCTTCCGCGCTCAGTACACGCTCGAATGTCCAGGGCTCACGCATACAGATGACACATGGCTCCCGCCCCTTCTGCACAACGACTGCGCGCAGAGAAGCGAAGGATGACGAATCGCGGAAGGTCATGGCCGACCTGAGGGCCGACGTAGAGAGCGGGAACATGTCGCTCGGGGAGCGGTTGCAGGACATGAACCTCGATCCTGGCGAGTACAAGGCGTACGCACAGCCACGTCCACCGCCCAAAAGAGCGCATGCTGATGAGAGGACAGTCTGTGGAACAGCCAGAAGAAGGCGGCAAAGCGAGCCGCGAAGTGGGAGCCCAAGACGCGCGAGGAAGCCCAGCAGAAGTGGAAGGCGATGCAGTCGACGCCGGACGACCTGACGCTGCTGCGAGCATACAAGCGCGCCGGCGTCGAGCCCATCAAGATCGCAAAGTACGCCGCCCGCTCCCTACACACACACACGCACACACACACACACACACACACACTCTCTCTCTCTCTCTCTCTCTCTCTCTCTCTCACTCACTCACACACACACACTCACTCACACTCACACACCACGCCCCTAACATGCTTGCAGAGAAAAGGGCATCACGCTCCCCAACGATAAAGAACCCCTCGACCCAAAGACCCAGGCCGCCCTCGACGAGCTCCGCCAGCCCCTCAACGTCCGCGCCGTCAATCTGCGCCCGCTGCGCCGCGAACCCCAATACGGCGTCCCCGTGTGCGATCTGCAGCTGCGCACCTACTCGATCCGCAACCTGCTGCTCTTCGCCGACTTCGCCGTGCGCGCCGCATACTACATGGGCCTTTCGGCACGCGGCCCCATCCCTCTGCCCCGCATAACCGAGCGCTGGACGGTCCCGCGAGACGTTTTCATCTTCAAGAAGTCGCAGGAGAACTTCGAGCGCATCACTATGCGCCGCCTTATTCAGATCCAGGACGGGCACCCGGATGTGGTGAAGGCGTGGCTGGCGTTCTTGACGGAGCACCAGTACCATGGGGTCGGTATGAAGGCGAATATTTGGGAGTATGAGGACTTGGAGACGGCGACGCGGGCGGGTGAGGAGGTTGCGCCGGATGATGTCGGCAGGAGGAGGGAGGGCCCGATGATGGCCAAGGTGGATGAGATTCTGAATAGCAAGGGCTTCAGGGAGGCCATGAAGGGGCACAAGACCGGTGGCGAGATTGAATTCAGGCGGTAGACGACAGGACTGTACGATACGGGCTTCGCATTATAGGCGTTGGATGTGCCGGATATACATTGTACAAACATGTAGCAAGATACTGGTCGAATGTAGCATTTGAGCAAAGCTTGGGGGCCCTCTTAGTCTCGCACGCTCTCGCCAGCCTTCGACGCGTCTTTGGGGTCTCGAGCCTGAATCTCATCATCATCCACCAGGCCATCTTCCTCAGCCCCGTCTTCGCCATCACTCTCTACGCCTTCGTCCGCTCCATTACCTCTCCCCTGCGTCTCCCTCTCCTCTGCCTCCTTTTTCTGCCTCTCCTTGACCTTCCTCGGCTTCTTCGCGCTCACAGGCCCGTCGGCGTGTCTGTCTTTCCACTGCCCTCGTGTCAGCTAACCAGCCCACTTCTCCATCTACCATCAGCCCTCTTCAATGGCCGTGTTCACTTGCATAACGGTATGGTATCTTCGCTTACCATGCCGCCGTATCTGTAATGTGGGTATTGTCCCTCCAGACCCTTTGCGTCCTCGACGCCCCCTGATACCGATTTCCAGCATTTTCCGGGACAGACAAAGTTCCACACGCCCGTTTCGTCAATTTGACATCGCACGAGTATTTGTCGTGGGGTGTGGCAGAGCGTGCACTCTTTCGGCGCCATGATCAAGATGTGGAGAAAGGGCACGGGAGAGGGGCGGAAAAGGAACGAGGAGCAACTCAGAGGTAGGTTAGAGAAAGATTCAATGCTATCGGGATGGCTTACGTACGTGCTGTAGAGCACAAAATGGTCCTTTGGTGTTGGGTTAGGAGTGGTGACATCATACGCTAATACGAGCATTCGACATATTGCAAATCAACACGTATAGATACTATGAAGCACAGAGCTCGGAATATATCCAAGGAAAACCCATATCAGTTGTAAAACTAAGCTTGGTTATGCACCGAGAAACCATATGAGGTCCTGAGTTCAACTTCACATCACCATCTCATCGCCCGCCCCCGCTCCAGCATACCGCTCGTCTGCCAGAAGAAGCTCGAGTATGGCGTCTAACAATTCTCGCTTCAACCCCCTGCCACTCAACGCCCTGACCTTGTTCAGCACCGGTTCGCTATTGTTGACACAATTCCAGATATCCCACTTCTGATCCATCTCGATCCACGCCTTATCAATGATGTCCCAGATCTTCGGGTTCGGGTCGATGACATCCAGCTGTGGCCCAGATGGAGATGTAAACCCGAGCTCAATGATGCACGAGTTATCTGTTGGGATAGAACTGAGTGTGATGACAGTGCCGTTGCTCTCGCTGGAAGTGGTGTAGGAGAGCGGTTTGGCATTGCGCTTCATGTTGGGGCTCATGGAGATGCACCGAATCTCCGCATCTCGAGTCGGCGTATGAGCCAGCAGCCTGATCTTCCACGTCCTGTTCTTAGGTATAGCAGGATTAGACGGGCTGGTGGGACCGATTTTCACCACGCCGGTCGACTGCTTGTATGTGATCGGCGTGTAGCTGAAGTGCACTATCTTGTCCGCTGAGGCCTCGACGCCTTCGTCGTCGATCATGCGGAAACCGCCGTCGTCGACTTGGGAGCCGCTACCGTCGTCTTCGATAAGGGTGAAGGAGCCATCTGCGCCGACGGCGAGGAGGATTTCCAGGCTTTCGGGGTTCGGGCTGCCGCTCTTGGGACGCCAGGCCCCGTCGAGGGGAACGATGGCGCCTTCGCGAACGAACACGGGGGTCTGGTGCAGCGGGCGGTGGACTTGCAGGTCGCCCTTGCGGTTGTAGACTACGCCGGTGAAGATGTCGACGTAGCGGCCGCTTGGCAGCCAGGTTTTGGCGCCGCCGAGATGAGTGGTGTTGTCGCGGCGTTGAGTGATAGGAGACACGATGAGCTCGCTGCCGAAGCGGAACTGGTTGGGGACATTGTATGCCGAATCTTCTTCAGGATAATCCCAGTACATGGGCTGGACGAGCGGCTCGTCGTCTGAAGCTGAGCGAGCGTTCATTGTGTAGAGGTACGGGATCAGTCGGTGGCGGAAGCGGAGAGTATCTTCCATGATTACTCGACTTTCCTCGTTGAAGCGCCATGGTTCTCTAGTGTTGAAGGGGTTGTTGTCCGAGTGCAGTCGTAGAATGGGCGAGTAGCAGCCCAGCTGTACCCATCTTGTTGTCAATTCGTCATCTTTGAAGCCATGGGTGTGGCCACCAATGTCGTTACTCCACCATCCGTACCCGATGTTGGATGATGTGGCTGTGAACTCAGGCTGGAAGTTCAACGACTCCCATGTGATAATTGTATCGCCAGAGAATCCGATCTGGTACCGCTGCGCACCTGGACCTCCGAAGCGTGAAAGAATTAATGGCCTCTGTGACCCTCGGCCACTGTCGAGAAAATGGAAGTGGTTGAGCACCCAGAGCGGATCGACACCGGGTATCTTGGATGTGTTGCCTTGCTGCCAGTCGACCCACCAGAAATCGACGCCACGAGCCTCATGTTGGTGGTGGACGATGTCAAAGTATGCATCCATGAACGTCCTGTCTGTGCAATCAAACTCAATAGTCTTCTTGCTTGCTGGATCGATACCCAGGTACCTCGCAACCTCTGCGTACTGAGCTTCGTGCCACCTGAATCCATCTGCAGGGTGCAGGTTCAGTGTTAACTTCATACCACGATCATGCAGCTTCTTCATGAAAGCGTCTGGATCTGGGAAAAGTTCCTTGTTCCAGGTGTATCCCGTCCAGCCATTGATACCATCAGGCAGATCCCAGACAAGATGCCAATCCATGTCCACAACAGCCACATTCATAGGGACATCGTCCTTCTCGAAATGATCGTGCAGCTCCATGTATTCCTTCTCGTCATATGCGTGGTAGCGACTCCACCAATTGCCCATCGCGTATCGCGGGAGAAGTGGCTGGCTGCCAGAGACGGCGTAGTATGCGCGCACAGCTTCACGGTAGTCGCGGCCGTACATGAAGATGTATTGGTCGATGTCGTCGCCGTTCCTGCGGCCTGTGATCCACCCATCTTTTTCGAACAGCATGGACTTGCTATCATCCAAGACAGCAATACCGTCTCTCGACAGAACACCTGGTCCTAATTCTGTTCTGCCATTGACCCCGTCCAATGTGCGTGTCGTTCCCCCCAGGTTCGAGACATCTTGCCCGTACGTCCAACTGCCCATCACATTGCCCTTCAAGTTGATCTTGAGTCCCTCCGCGCTGAACTTCCTCTTGTCGTAGATTACATGGAAGCGTTTCGTGACGATCTCGATACCATGGCCGCGGTCCCATACATAGAAGTCGGGCACGGCCAGTTTTCGGTTTACCGCAAAGGTAGATGCTCGGTCCTCGAACTTGCCATCCTCAGACCATTCGAATCGCAGGAGGCCGTCTGTAAGGATAGTGAATCGATACTTGTCGCCCGCAACAATAGCGTCAGAATGCGCGGCAGGGCGCACGTCGAAGTTGTAACGCGCAGGCTTCCCCATGGCTCCCAGTAAAAAAATACACAGAACAAACTACGTGCCGCTTCTCAGAAATGGTAGGATTGAAGGCGTCCGGGGCATGGCGGAGCGCAGAAACGCCGGCGTCTCCATCGTGTTATATCGTCTGGGGTAGGACGCTCAGGCCAAGCAACGATGGCTTGAACTTGACGGCTCGTGACCTCGGTTCCGGTGGGCTCAGGCGCTCCTGCCCTGCGAGTGTGTCAGACGACAACTGGAAAGAGTCGGCAAACCTGCCAGAGCTTGTGTTCAATCCAGGATGGAGGTGTGTAGAGGTCTTAGAGAGGCTCGCGAGGTCGCCGGTGTAACAGATGCGGAGATGCAGAGGGCCCACGCGCGTGCGTCATTTTTCTGCGTTTGCGGAGAAATGCATCTGTGCCTGCAGCTGCGGGGTGCAACACTCTAACCACCGACTGCAAGGTCTGGGTCTGACAGTACCAGGAGCGGATCTGGTTGAGACGAACGTTGTTTCCCTTGAACGAGGAACTTGTCAATAGGATGGTCGCTCCCTCACATCACGTTGGCTTGCGACTTCCTCCCTCCTGCAAGGTCTGCTGGTTATCCACAATTTCTAGGCATAGACCCTATAGAACACCATAGCAAAAGATAGGACACTTAGGTATGTACGCTAGAGGCTGCAAGACCTCTTTGCAGAGCAACATCTACTCAGGGCGAACAGATGCGAAGCTACAGACCCGAGGCCGCAAAGGCGATGCCAAACGCACAGGGCCTCAAACGCGAGGACGTAGAGGTGAGCCCGCACTGGCAACTGCAAGGTCGCAAACTCGATGCTGCAGCGATAAGATGGGTGCAAGATCTCGCAAATCTCATGTCTTTATTACTGTAGATGAGCCGTCAAAGCCTATCGGTTTCTGAAGCCATACTACATTCCTCCATACCAGAACCCTCACCCAAAATGTCTCTCCCAGACCAAGAGCCGTCGCTGCTCCATCGTTCTTTGACCCATCCGCCTCATAGAGCTGTTTCAGCTTCTGGCCATTGCCTCTATCTGGAGGATGACAGACCCATACTCGATGCCTGTGGTGGTGGTGCTGCTGTGTCCATCATAGGCCATGGCAACAAAGAAGTCATGAGGGCCATTGTGACACATATGAGTCGGGTCAGCAATGTGCACACTCTTGCATACACCACCGACTCTGCAGAAGGCCTAGCTAGGTATGTCCTGGGGCCCCATGAGGGACCAGATTCCCATCTTACCAGCATGGATTATAAAAAGCATTCTTCGTCGGCAGCGGAAGTGAGGCGAACGATGCTGCGATGAAGTGTGCTCGTCAATGCGAACGATTCAGCCTGTCCTAGCGCAGCATGGCCCCCTATCTTTGGGACCTAACAGTACGTAGGGCGGGGTATGTCAAGTGTATAGATATATATGGTAGCTCCTCGCGTGCTAGACCCTGAACCACACCTCCACAGCCACTCACCGTGCCTGCACATAATCAACCCTACATCATCGCTATTATCGCTACCGTTATCTCACCTACCCTCCTGCCACCTCTACACTCTGTTTAGATCCGTCACCTACATTTAAGGCGCAACGCCTATATGTACTTACTACTATAAGATTCAGCTCCTCCATGCGATTAGAAAGATACCAAGGTTGTTGTTGTACTAAAGGCATGTGGGGATTCAGTCATTGTTGCAGAATTACTTATGCGCAAAATCAGGGGGGGGGGGGGCACGATATTCTACAACTCACCAATAACAATCGGCTTTTATGAAGGCTTCGCCATGCTTGGAGTTCTCCGTAGAATGATTTCCACAGTGATTGAGGACTTCATGGGTGATTCTTAGGCAAATCCATACCTGGTAATCGTCTGGCGCCGCTGATGGTCCAATTGAACATACGTACCCAAATATCGAACTCTCTGACAAGCGTATTGTAGTAATGTGCCATATCTCCAAGCATATAGTCGAGGAGTTCATCTGACCTGGTTAGGCTTAGATTGGCTGGTGGTTGACCAAACATAAATTCTTCTTCTAATGATGGCCAACAAGTTCGCAACGCATCGTAAGTGAGCGCGTTTGGTTGCGACACCCCAGGATGGTCATCCAGTCCATGATGAAGCAGTTCTAAAGTGTGCAGTTGCAGATTTGCCAATCTTGCGTATGACAAGTCATCGACAGCTCAGCTGTGTGCAGGGTTTGCATCATTCTAATCGCCATTCCGCTTGTCACCCAAGCCTTGCGGCTATGTCCCATACCCCACCCATGCATAGACATCACCAACAATGTCTGTACGGTTATCAGGTCAGGAACATGATCTTGCTGACAATTTGATCTGTCGAGGGCGTCTCTAAGCTGCTACTCGTTATCGAAGCCTAGAGTTCTATCTACAAAACTAGGTTTTACACGTGAAGTTACTCATTCCTAACTACCAGCGCTCTAATGCGATGAAGCCGGCGTGTAAGTAGGTGAAGTAAGCCCGCTGCTCAGGCTATTCGCCAAAACCCCAGGCATTGCAGAACGGGCAGCAGCTTGCGAGTACGTGCAATACGAAGCTGCAGTAAGTATATGGTAAACAAGCTGCTACTTCACAGATACGTTTGTCACCTCTCTGAACATCAAGGTAAACACTTCATTGAGTCGATTAACATGGCGCACGTTGCAGGCATAGGGTAAGTACACACCATGCGCACTTTCTCGATTACTGACATCACCAGCGCCGGTGTGATCGGCCTCCAGACAACAGTCACCCTCCTCGAAGCTGGCTACAAAGTCACCATAGTTGCAAAATACTGCCGGGGGATGAGTCGATCGATCACTGTTCAACTTGGGCGGGCGCCATATGGCGAACACGCACGCGAAACACAGACACGAGCAATTGGGATATCTTTAGCTAAGACATTTGGCGGACTATCGCTGAGCAGGGGTCGGAAAAGGCGAAGAAATGGGCATCCGAAAGTGTCCGATCGCCATCTTTTCTAACAAGCCACCTTGGTATGCCGAGGAGATGCAGGACTTCACCACTCTCGATCGATCTCAATTGCCGGCAATCACTTCCAAACACGGCTACTCCTTCATATCTGTCGCCATCAATCCGCTGCCATATATCGATCACCTGCTCAGGCAAGTGAAGGCCAAGCGTGCACGACTTGTCACTGCACGCCTTCCTTAAGAAAATCAACGACTTCGTCCATACGAGTGACTTCCAGTCGCCGAGTCTAGTCGTGAACTGCACCGGACTCTCCACAGAGCACTTCTGCAATGACGAGGCACTACCGGCGCGGTCTTTATCGTTTCCCTATCGACCCAGTGACTTATGCTTTACGTTCCGACCAGGCAGGCCCAAATGCATCAGTTGGCACGGGGTACACAGCATACGGCAATATTGTTGGGCAAACTCGACCTGCTTGATTCCGTAATGACGTCGCAGACGCCGATTTCGTGCGTGGCAGCGTATATAGTGGTTGCAGAAATGTACGGACCCCCTGAACCTGGTTCACTACTGAGACAGACTTACGTTATGTAAGAACGAAGGCTTCTAGATGGCTGTTTCTATCTTGATTGACAGAGTTGACAGTCTGGTACATGTCCTGCAGGACAACAACGTGGTGAACGGCCACTCACAAGGCTGTCCGCCCTCATGAACCACGGTACGTACCTACTGTACGCATCACTGTACCAAGGTCAAGGGGTCTGGACATTTTTGCAAGCATCGATACTGGAACTTTCGTAACTGGGGAGATGAGACATATGGGTTGAGCAACGAGCGAAACGGCTCTGGTTGGTATTTGTCCCGTCTCCCTAGTTCGTATGTGCCATGGACTCCAACGCCACCGTTCCACAACTGGGGAAGCGTTGGTCAATGGAACCCGTGGCGAAAATGATTGACCCAGCATATTCTAGTGTGGTCGTACGTATACAATTCCTGTCCCATGACGACTTCGTTGCCGGGACTAAGTCATGCTGGTGTCATAGCTGCAGGGATCGCCTCCCATGAACGGCCTGTGGAATTACCCGCGAACTCAGTCATAAGGCAACACGATTAGGAAGTGACATGTACTCTGAGCGCGAGATGAATGAACCCTTCGTTCAATCAAGTAACGTCACGGTAAGGACCCAAGTCAACGGACTAAGGCCACAGTGTTTGCCAGCACCTACCTCTAGGAGCATAGGATTAGTTGTCGCAAGAGCGACCCTTGCTCCGAACTGTCCTAAGGAACATCTTACACCCATGTTCATGGAACACCCAGAACAAGGTAGCTTCTTTAACAATTAAACAGCCAACTTTGGCGCCACTCCAATCGAAACCTCTACAATGGTGTGGGACGAGTGCTGTCGTTGTGAACGATATGCTAGAGTGATCCGGAGGACTTACAGTCTTGAAATTGATTCAGGCTCCTTCCGTCTGTGTATAATAGTGTTCGTCAGACTTTTCTCATACAACGAGTCTGGAACAGGACGTCTTACTTTAACGCCACTTCAACTACTTCTGAACTTCTTCCCTTGAGAAGCGACTTGAACATAATAAGCTTTCCAATGCCAGAACAATGTCCGACACGAGCGACAAAGATTGGGGTAGCGACAGACATCTATTTCGGACATGCGTTACGGTAATGACTGGTAGGGGCTCTAAAGAGCAACAAACATGTAAACATGATAGAATCCCAGCTGGAACATTCCCCATTTGCTCCTCAACACTTTTGTCTCTTATTGTCACACCAACCTCCGCAAGGTCCGTAATTCCTCACACAGTCGTTTCCGTACCCGTACTCTTCATAGCCGACCCTCTGCATTGCACACCGGCGAGAAGTAGTATCAAGCCTTTTTCACACAACGTGGCTTGTCATTTGCAAACTATTCCCCGCAGTGACACAGATCTCAACTGTCTCTGAGCCACGCTAGTCTCCCACAAAATGGAAACTGGGGACTTGTGTAACACCACTGCTACGTATGAGGCCACTACAGCGGTGATTCAAGACACTGAAAACCAACGTTCCTGACCACAAGCCGTTCGATTCAGGACACAACATTATTGACTTTGATCTGCGAAGCAATGATCCTCACTCTCACCAACCCTACAGCTTAGCCTTCTCTTTCCCAGGCCCAGACTCTTCAAACCGATACACAATATCCGCGAACCCATCCGCAGCAAAAGCATACAACCACACCAAATCCTCTTCCCCCACATTCTCAATCCCATGCTCCGCATCCCCAGGTATCCATACCACGCTGCCCTTGCTTACTTCATGCTCTTTTCCATCAATAGTGACAATACCTTTGCCTTGAGTGACGTGATAGATCTCCGCTTGCTTATGGAGATGTAGCTTCAGATGCCCTCGGCATCCGGATGATGTGCCTGGTGCACATGTAGCAATGCCGACAGTGAATGTGTCGGTGGATGTTTTGGGCGCGGAGATGAGAGTCTTCCATGATACATCGCCGCCGGTGCTTGGATCTGGGAAGCTCTCTGACGCAGTGTTGGCGATATCTTTGGTGCCCAGTACGATGGGCTTTTGTGAACCCCTCATGATGATCGATGACGTTTCGGTTTGGATGAAGTTGCGGTCTTTGAAAACATGTTGAGACTGCTGCAGCAAAAGTCTAATAACAGAGGTTGTTCCGCTCGACCTCGGGAGCACGTCAAGTTGAGATCATATATTGTGTATGTGGGGTCGGTGGAGTTGTGCAGATGTGAGGGCATGCATGCAGCTGACAGGGTAGGGATTAGTTGCCTATATCGAGCTTAGTGCCTGTCAACCCTATGCGACTGAAGTTGAGGCCTCTGGAGAATCAACTTATACTCTTGTTATCGAAATAATAGAAAGAGTGGTTATTGCGATCGCATGTCTCGTCGACAATGCTGCGGCTTAGGTCCTGCGGCTAGGCAGGGCGATTGTTATGATGTCGACTACATTGGAAGAACGCCGCCCGACCCCAAAATGAAGGCACCTATGGGCTTCTTGATCCTCTCAGTAAAGGAGTTGTTATGGTGATTTAGCCTTCGATGAGTACAATTGTAAGGTAAGAGTTGACTTCTCATGTGTTCTTCTCGAGGAAACAGTTTATATGATTCTATACTCCTCCATATCCGCATCTTCCGACGTGTCCCTCCATCTCTCATCAATTACGCTTGCGATGTTTATCATCTGCCACGTTCCATCAGGTTGGTTCTCTCGTAGTATAAATATCAGGTTCATATGGAAGAGGCCGACAACACAATCTCCAGGGCAAATACCGTTGACGGAGTCCGGATGATATGACAGACCGACACGTTTGCTGTCAGTCGTAAAGACAAGACGGTTCTTTCCGATGGACCTGATGCTAGCCGCAAAGTTTTTCCATAAATATAACACTGAGCCGGGTTTGTTCCTGGAGGTCGGATTCTGCAGCTCCTCGGCCACTTCATTTCCGTACTTTCGGTACCACTGGACTACCTCATTTAAGCTAACGAGAGCCGCGACTAAATCAACGGCTTCCGACTTGTGTGGCTCAATTGTGGGTTTGTAAACCTTGTAAAGGGATTCTGGGAGACCAGAAAGTGGATTCAATTCTTCCATATGGTTGAGAAGATCGCCTGATGTTGCTACGATAGTGCCAATCTTACGTCCAGGTACGTGAAGAACACTCAGGTCGCCGGAAAGACGGCATGTTGACCACGGGAGATCTCGACACAAGGTGTTCAGCTTGTCATCCACATTGAGTGGAGCGTTGTCTAGTCCCAACCTGAACTTCAGTAACGTTAGCGGGCGATGGTATGCACGGTCAGTGCTGAATGGAAGATCTGTGCCGCGCAAGTCTCGAAAAAATGCTGCATTCGAAATCTGAAAATCAGGGACCCAAGACGGTAGAGACGTTTGAGAGGCTATTCCGTAGGCTTCGCGAAGAGGATGTAGGGGTGCATGTAAATATATGTTTAGTTGATTTTGCCGTAGCATGACAGCCATTGCCTCCATAAAGACTTGCCGCACTGATTTCGCATAGTCAGGAGTAATGCTGGTGCCATTGAAATTAGTGATGCCCAGAAGACTGAAGATCCTGTCGCGAGGGTCGGTTGCTGACATATGCAGACTACGACAAAGTTGATGAGCAAGAGATTCTTGCGGCTGTGCTTTCATGACACGATTGGCAGCCTCGACAACCTCATGATGCTTTCCAGGATCTGCTCGATGGTGTGGTAACCAGTTGATGAAACGCTGGAATGGCTCCCAAGGAAATCGATAGGGGCCTGTGCGTATTGTTGCAACCTTTGATAAGGCGAGTTCCTGGACAACCCAAGCCCGACAAAACCAAGGACGAGCGATGAGCCGGTGTATTGCCTCAGAGGGTACACTTCTTGGTGTCTCGATGCTCGCCTACCTGCTCGTTAAGCAACGCAATGACGCTGCACACGTAGTCAAACAGCGTGGTTATTCCAGGGTTTGGATCCGAGAAGTGGAGTTGCATCGCACCGAGGACTGCTTTCAAGTGCAGATCCTTCTCATTTACTGGACCGAGCCAGACGATGACTCCAACAGCGGTCGAGTAGATTTTGCCCATGATCTGGACCTGATGGTTCCGTTCCTGAATATCGGCCTGGTTCATAGAGAGCGCGTCGATCCACAAGGTGCGAGTTGTAAGCTTCAAGCGCAGATGACGGAGAGCGCAGTCGAGATTTTCGGTAATTGTGACCGGTATGCCATTTAGAATAGCCTTCTGCGGACATATTGATGTGCCCCATACGTAAGATAGTGCTTCGTAAGCTTGCTCAGCGCCGTGCAAGAGATTGCTGGCGACAAGTCTGATGTCGAGAACGTCTTGGAAGCGTCCGGGCTGGAGTTCGAGGAGACGAATGTCTCCTTTTTCAGAGTCAATCGAGGTATAAGGGGGCGCGTGAGTCAACTTTCTCCGTGAACTGCGCCGATTTCGCGCAGTGGTGGAAGCCTGATTATTTACAGTGGAAAAATCTTTCCGTTCAAATTCTAGCTGACGATCGTGCCTGACTTTCAAACGTTTAGATCGCCTATTGTGTGCGAAGCTGTCAAATTGGTCCACGTTCATCGTTATGAAGTTTCCAAGACGAGAAAAGGTGTGTTGTTGCAGATGTCTAGTGCATGGAGGTCTCAATGTTGGCCAGGCTGGGGTGGGGGCTGCAGCTAGACCATGCAGGCGCAGCTGAGGTGCAAGCATTCGATGCAGTTGCGAATCAGCACGACGGGAAGGGGCGATGCACGTACCGTTTCGAAAACAACTTTTTGTATATGTAACTGAACTAACTACACATGGAGGAGATCCAACAACAGACGCCTCGCTGTACGGATATGCACATCAGGATCTATCATGCCATCGTTACGCATAATCTAAACAAGGAGAGAACGAATAAGAAGAAACGTGTATAGGGAAAGGGTAGATCAAACTAAACATCAAACACACGTAACCACAACAACCACAACAAGGAAAGCGTCTAGATGTACCTCAACCTCCTCGCAACACCCAAGCAGACCGCTACGAACAGCGCGATCGTGCCCAGAATACCGTAGAACCAAGCGGGGCTGCCATCCTGGCCAGGAACGCGAACGTTCATACCAAACAGACCACAGATCAAGTTCAGCGGAACGAGAATGGTCGCAATAACAGTAACCTTCTGGAGCGTGTCGTTACTAGCGTTACCCTGAATAACCTGATCGACCGAGATCTGCGCGAGGTAGTTGGAGTGCGCGCGACTCAGCATCTTCTCGAAATGCGCCAAGTTGGACATCATAGTAACGACGTGATCCTGAATATCGCTGAGGTAGAGACCGACGTCGCCGCGAGGTGCGACGCTGTAGGATTCGTTGCAGCGCTTAGCAAAGCCTTTGATGACGTCGGCCTTGCCGCCGAGAAGGCGCAGCAGCTGCATGACCCGCTTGCGAGCGTCGCCTACTGCACGGAGGATGGCGCGGGAGTCTTCGATGCGGGCGGTGAAGACCTGGTCCTCGATGGCCTCGGCCTCATCCTCAATGCCACGGATGACAGGACCGAAGCTATCGACGATGTCGTCGATAAGGGCGTAGCAAATCCAGTCGGCATTGAGGTTGATGTAGTCGCGGAGGCGACTGATACGTTTGCGAACATTGAGAGTGTGAGGGCTCTCAGAGAATGTAAAAGTGAGAAGTCCCTCCTTGAACACTACAGCGTAGAAGTTGAGAGGCTCCAGGTAATCCTCAGACTCCTTGTCGGCTTGGTAGAAGGAGCGGAAAGATACGAAGTAGTACTGGTGGAACAACTCTACTTTCTCACGGGGCTCCTGGATGCAGATATCCTCACGAGTGAGGGGATGCACACCGAAAGCCTTAGAGATGGCAAATACCTCCTCTTCGGTTGGGTTGACCATGTCCATCCACCAGACGCCGCCGTCAGGGGGTGTCTCAAAGAGGTCGCGAAAGCGTTCGCCAGGCATGAGCAGGCCCCCAAGCTCGGCGGCGTGGATCGTGTCGTCAAGCTCGGAAGAGAAGAACGTGAATCGATTGCCGGAGAGACCAGGGATGTCCTTCTTATTCTCGTTGTACATGTGCGCCAGGCCCTCCTCTGCAAGCTTCTCTTGAATGGCCGGGTCAACATCCTTTAAGGTAGCAGTCTCGATGTCGTCCATGCGGTTGGCCTGGCTGGACTTTGGTCGAAGGTCTGCGAAAATCTTCTTGGACATCTGAGATGCAACACTGGGCTTGTGGCGCAGGTTTTGGCCAATTGGAGTCCTCTCGTGGCACTCGGCGACAAACTCCTCCAGCTCTTCATAGTCGAAGCGCGTGGTTTTTCCAAAGTCCTCCTCCACGGGAAAGCACACGTCCTCTTCGGCAGAGCTGGCGGCAGAAACAGTCTTGATGCTCTTCAGATCATCCGGGCGCTCATCGCTGATGGTTGGGCGGCGCGCAGTGGCCCTGGAATGCGTCCTCTGAAGGTTGAGCTCGACGATGGACGGTGGACGGCTGTTGAGGGTGTTTGCTCGGTCACGGCGACGGTTGGGGCCAGCGAATGCATCCACGGAATTGGGAGGCGATGTTGAGCGCGAGGTTGTGGAAGAAGCGCGAGACCTGACTAGGCGCTCGATAGCTGGGTCGCGGGGGCGCCTAAAGGTGTCGCGTCGTGCAGACGGGCTATGAGCCTGGACAGAGCCACGGCGACCGTAACCCTCAGGTGACAGGTATGGGGCATCCTCATCCACAATGGCGTTCTCCTCAAAATCGCGAGCAGTGATTCCGCCTGCCTCGAGGGCTTCGTTGACTTGAATCAGCAAGTTCGGACGATCGATTTGGTTGTTGGTGCTAGCAAAGGTCGGTCGGCGCGATCGAATAGGAGGCGGCGAGTCAGCTCGAGGCATGGACTGGGGCTGTCGGCGGTGGTCGTCGAGGTCAGACACCGGGGTGCTGAACCTCGTCTCGGACTTCTCAGTTCTCGGAGTGTCAGACATGTTGGCGACTCAGGCGGCGATTGAGTTTGACTCCAAGGGTTCTTCTTTTCCTTGGTTAAGCCAGCTTTGGTGTTGTGAACGTCCAGTTAAGGTCTCCTGCAGCGCAAGAAACCCCAAGGATCGGCGAGTCGCTTGTGAGCGCTCACCTCTGAGGCGCGTTCAATTTGACTAGAGGCCTTGCGTAGGGTCCTCCCCTACACTCAGCCGCTGGGGGAAAGTTTCCGGTAGCCAGATTTCCTGATCCTACGTGGACGAGGAGTTTGTGAGTACAGATGGTCGAAAGCGAATTTGTCTAGGGAGCCTGGTATAGCCCAGTTATGGCGGCTTCTTGTAGTCGCCTCCGTGGACCCACGCCTTTGGGCCAAGAAGGGGACGGGTGGAGGAGAACTTGTGAAGGTAAAGCCCCGCCAACTTGATGGTTTGGTGGAAATAGGACGTCGAGGCGTCAGGAAGCGCTGTGGGGAGAGACGGTGATTGAAACGGGAACCCCGGATTCAATCAGTCGCGGTCGTGGGCGGTGACGTCCACTGGTGGTTTGAGGGATTTCCTGGGTACGAGTCAGCGATGCAGCTTTAATTGTGCAGTCACTGAAATTGGCGCCTAGCGTACAGGTAGGTTTGGATTCGGTGGTTTAGTTGTTGTTTGTAGGGGTTTTACAGAGTCCTAGGGACGGTGTGGGTGGTGTTTGTGGAGTGGTGGGCAGGAGTGAGGTTATGTAGCGAAGCGCGGGCCGTCGGGGCTGTCAAGCTTTTCACAGAACGGGACCGCGGCCGACTGGGGCTGAAGGGCTGGTTTTCGATGCTACGGCAACCACAAAAAGTTACGCATTCCAGAACAGGGTCTTAGGGATAGTGTATCTAAAGCGAGTGACTCGTTGTGGCGCTTGGACTGGCTTGGAGAGAAAGGCACAGTGTTTGGCTTGTCACATGCATGGGGTGCGCCAGGTTCATTCAGCCCTGAATCGTATCCGCGGACCGCGCTTGGCGTCTGCGGCTGAGTTATCCCTGCAGACGGAGCTGCATCTCGGGGAAGCGGCCACATCGACCGTTGAACTGCCGCAGCAACGAACTCGCTGGCTTGGTCCTTGAAGTAGACACCAGTAACGAGAGGCAACACGCTGGCCTGATCGCAGCCCATAACGTGACCAGCGACGTCAGTGCACTACACCATCTGCACTACACCACCACCATGTCTGAACAGATGCTAGAGCAGGTGCGCGAGGCGGTTGAGGGCCAGATTGTATGTGTATGGGTTCACCAGTCGCTGACATAGAAGCTAACATGTGTAGGACTTTGAGGGCCAGCGGCTGGCGGAGATGCTGACTACCGTGCTGCTCGGCGCAGCAGGTGTATGTTTTCTCTTCGTCCTCTCCCCACCTATATCACAGTACTCACCAGTCCAGATTATCGCTTTCCTCGTCGGCTTCGCGCAGCAAGACATCAAGCTCGCGCTCTACATTGGCCTCGCCGGCACCGCCCTCACCTTCCTCGTCGTCGTCCCACCGTGGCCCTTCTACAACAAGAACCCCGAGGACTGGCTGCCCCCGCACACCATCTCCGCACCGAGCTACAGCATCGACGTGGACGGGCAGAAGGTTGGATAGACGCAACAACATCACGAGTGGAGGGGTCCGGCCATGGATCAAAGCAACGTCATGACCGTAATTTGATGGTTCATTCGATGATTCCCCCGCCGGTGATGCAAAAGTGCTCTCGTGTTCTCGTGACCTCTTTATAAGCCCAGTGACGCCAGACGTCCGTAACGAAACCCAGACCCAAGCGCTGCTATACACAGTATCCCCGAGCCTCTATCGACCGTACTTCTGAAACTCCCAGTCTCGGTTGTCGAGCGGGCACACTTGTCGCGTCTTGAGCCATCGCGAGATGCAGTGGAAGTGGAAGGCGTGCTGTGGCGCGTTAGTTGTGTGTGCGTAGCGAGTCGTGTGACGGTGAACGTACGTTGCAGATGCCCCAGGCGACGGTGCACTCTTCGCTCGTGGCAGAAGCCTGGTTGGCCTGGCACTCGATGCAGAGGTCCATGATGTGGTTACGGCAGATGGCGCAGTTATCGACGACGATGTCCCAAGCCCAGAGGGCTACAGCGTTCCACTGTGCCCTGTTAATATGCAGCCAGTCCTGCTTGAATCTCACACGACGACTCACCTTCTTGACCTCGAAGCGCTTCTTGTCGCCGCTATCTGTGCTGGCACCGGCCTTGGCGACCTTCGTCTTGGGCGCAGGCGCATCTGCCATGTCGACGTCCGCCATGGTTGCTGTGGATGTGGGGGTTGCGGGGAGACGGTAGAGCTATCGGCGAGCGGTGGTGGCGGCCGAAGGCAGTATGCGCGCGGTCGTGGTGTGGCGGTGAGCAGGAGGCGCCGCGCTTGGAATTACTTGGCAGTGGTGTAGCGGAGGTGAAAGGTGTTTGCCTTGTCGACGTGCACGCTCACGAAGAGGCAACAGTCGACCGTGCCTGGCGGAGCTCGGGTGGCACGGGCCAGCGCCTTCTCTCTGAGTCCTGAACGAATGGCCGACAGAACATTGGAACGCAGGAGGAAGAACCCTCGAAGCTACTAGACAGCTCTATGTAGTCGCCTGCAGACCCTCTGCTAGGCCACTCGTGCACCCATGGATGCTAAGGATGCGAAGGTGTTTTCCGTAACCAAGAAGCTCGAGATGCTCAAGATGCTTGTTTCGCGCACCGCTGGCGTCGGTTCCGGCTGAGGCTGTGACGCTCGCTGCCCGAAGACAAGGCTGCGCCAGGTCCGCAGTAGTCACCGCCCGCGCAACCGACGACATCCCTCCTACCACTCTCTCACTCGTCCTCCACCGTTCCACACGACGACCCCGCGCCTATCACTACTCTTGTGCTCTGGATATGAACACTTCACTCTCTCGCAACTCCACAACCTCGCCTTATCAAGCCCGCAGCACGACAGCCTCGTCATCCCGCGCCATCAGTTGATCGTGGCCCCCGACGCCGTATAGACGCCCGACGACAGCTACCAGAGTCGCCCACCCTCCCACTCACACACGCACATATCGCGCCTGCCTTACATGTCGACTGGCCAAAGCATAGCGTCTCCTCGCGCCCCGCGCGGCCATCGCCAGCCGAGCGCATCGCAGCCCGCACAGGAGAACATCAATAACAATGGCAGACACTCACAGCGCAGGCCAAGGGGCGGTCGCAACCACAACAATGCCGCGCACGCCTCCCCGAGCAAGCCGCCGAACGCCGACCCCGCGTTGTCAGAAGGCGGCGCCTACACCACCGACGATGCCCGGGCGCCCACGGGATCGCGCAATGGGAAGAAGCACACGCACGGACAGCCGTCGCACGATCGAACATTTTCTCCCAGGGGTGCTCAAACCTCCTTGACCGACACAGAGGCTGCCTCGAGCCGTATCTCTGCCACGCCGTTGAAGAACCAGGGCGCATATGCTGGTCCTACCTTCCATGCCTCTCCTGCGCCCTCAGCCTTGCCTATCCCTAAGTTCCTCTCTCGTTCGGTGCCAGCGAAGACAGCGCCTGGTCCACCCACCCCGCCGCTCGACAACAGCTCTGATTCTGCCAACTCGCCAAGCCCGTCTCCCTCGCCGTTGCGCGCACCCATTGCGATTCCAGCACGTCATGAAGACTCCCCACTCGACATGCTGTTCAGGGCTGATAAGGCTGAGAGGGCCAAGAACACGGCATTCAGCCCGAGTGCGCACCCAGTCAGACCCCAGCCACAGCAGCCGGAGCACAACGTGTTCCCCATCGAGCTCGACGGCGAGGGCAGAAACTCGCACATGTCTCCTCCTCGTTTTCAGTCGTCCGGCGCGCATCGCTCTATGACAGATCCTTCGAGAGTGCCGCAACTCAAAGATGTTCAGCAGCCGAACACTGGGAACGATGTTATGCAGGACCTCATGAACAGGCTTTCGATGTCACAGAAGCAGCCGCAGGCACCCGCTGCTACTCCGCCTAGGCAGGCAGCGCAAGCTTCGCGTAACTTCCAGTCACCCCAGTTCACGCCGTCACCTTTCCATACTGGCCGGCCTTCTGTCAATCGCAGCGTTTCAGGTCCCTCGACACCTGCTCAAGCCCCTCAGGAGGGCCCAGATTTCTTCTACGGCAACCGTAACCTTTCACCTATGTTCAAGGCGGCGCAGGGCGATACTCCGAAACGGAACTCGGGTCTCCGCACCGAGGTCACTGCAGACTCTCCTACCGTCCAGCAGAGCATGTTCCAGGACTTCCCTTCCATTCCTTCCGCAAACGCAATCGACCCTAATACATTCTCGCGTGGTCAGCCCACTAGCGGTGGTCAGGGACCAGCGAACACGCGTCGTGGGTCTGTGCCTTATGGCCAGAACCAGCAGAGACAGCCCAACAAGCATGTCACACAGACGCCGGGACGGTATCAGCAGCGTCAGGATGCCCATCAGCGCGGTAGGGGCAACTTCCACGGACAGGGTCCCAGACATGGTAGGCCAACAGCAAATGCTCCTCCAGCATCTGCACCCAAGCCTGCTACGACCATGATGTCTTTCGTACCTGCCTCGGTATCGGCGAAGCCAAAGCCGAAACCAGAGCAGCAGCAGGCTGCTTCTGCGCCTCCATCCGCCGCTGCACCACCTCCTCAGACCTCGACTTCTGATACGTTGGCTTTGGAGCAGGATCTTAAGCGCATGCTCAATCTTAGTATGACTGGAGAAGGGGTTCGATAGCCTCGGGACTCTTGATCTTTTTCCTTTGCTGCATGGCTTGCGGGCGAATTCTGGTTTGCTTTGCTTCATGTCCATCACTTTCACTTGTCTATATGGGATCTATTGTGGGCTTTTGCGATGTTTGCAGTCATGTCGCATGGCGCTTCTGTCTCTCTATTGCTCAGGCGTCGGGCGGCGTTATCGCGATGACCGGCAATGGTTGGCATGTCACCCGGTTTTATGGTGCATGTGCTATGGATTTACTCGAGTCAGCTCTAAATTATGGTATGGCGGGTACCTCTCGCAGGGACACATTGTTTGCGAAAGATGCATGGCGATGGTGTTAAGAGCTGGAATGGCGTGGTGCATGGCACCAGGATTTGGTACTTTGCTTATTTACATTATTCCCTTGAGGTTTTCGGCAGGCTTCTGAGCTGCGGGCCCTCTTTGCTAACGCGCTGCCATCGTTACCATGGATCCAGGCACGACTTGAACTCATCGACACTACAATACAACATTACACAACATAAAAATCAATAAAATATATGGGCATAATGCTCGGCTCAGTCTCTTCGAGAGACTGAGTTTTATGCCTAAATCTGCTTCCCCCCCCCCTCCCCCTTTGAATGAAACATGTGATAGTGAGAATCTATACACTGCTGACAGCTCGCAGATGCACGAACAAACTTCGAACAAGGACAGGAGACGCATCACAGTCTCTACTGCGAACACATCTGACTTGCTTCACACGTCTGGAGCCATACACGAAACAGGTCATCGCAAGAACGTCGCGGCTGCTCAGGATGGTCTCACTGCTCCATAGCACGTGGAACGACGTCACAACAACCACAGCGACATGTTCACTCGACGAACCGCTCTGCGACACACTTTCACTTCTACCGCTGGCCGACTCGAATGCAACCAACCGATGCTACATCAGCTATCATGCTCCGTGCGGTGAAAATGCCACCTACTGATCACGTTCACTTGACCGTTACCTACGAGCCGCCCACCAGCCTGAGCTGTATTCTGAATTTCCATCTTAACGCCTCTCCCTCGCACATACTGCACGCATCGTATCGAGTCAACTTCTCGCTGTTTTCGATCACCCAACGCCGTGCGCTACGCACCATGAATCGTCTCAAGTCCAAAGGTACGTTTATAACAATCATGATACACAAACACTCACTGAAGCATCCTAGCATCACGCTTCTTCAAAGATGGTCCGAGTCAGGACGAGAAAGCAGCCAACGCGCCTCCAAGTCATGAAGCTGACTTTGACGCTGGTATTGAGAGCGGCCTGCGAAGTAAACGTAAGTGTATCATCTCATCAGCGTGACTTGAAGCTAACACGCGCAGCATCTCGCTTCTTTCGGAAACAGAGCGACAAGCCACTTCCAGCTCCGCCGTCTGATGGTCCTTCGATTCAAGCTCCCCCACCCATATCAAAGGACGATATCGGTGAGCGCGAAGACGTAGCGGTCGAGAATGCGCTTGGGTCGACGTCACTAGAGACAGACAAACCGCTTCCATCACGTTCAGTCTCTACCGAAGTAATAGGATTAAAAGCACCAGTGGTCGAAAGTGAAGAACTCCACGCTGCAGTGCGCAAAGCGAAACCGGCAGACTTGGTGCTCAAGAAGCGCCCCAGCTTTGTATCCCTGCGGAAGTCTAGTATGTAACACATTCCTCATCTTTAACCTTCGCTCACCACCATGTAGGCTCTCGAATTTTCCGCACCCACATTGGTGATCATGACCGTCCTCCACCACCCATGCCCCAGATTCCCATCGACACACCCACGCCAAAGTCGCGCCGACCTACTCTGCGACCCCTGGAATCAGTTCGCTCTGCGCGCTCGTCCCGATCAAGCTCAGGTCGTATCGTATCCATCTCTCGCCCAGTCTCATCAACGCAAGTTTCCCAGCTTCCAGCTACGCTCAAACCATCAAAAGTTCCCTTTACGAAACCCTCCGGTCCTCCACCAGCACGCCCACCTCGCCCCGAGAGCCTCGACGACGAGCTGACCACCCTCGTGCGCGACGGAAGCGCACGAATGATCCTCCACACGCCAAACCGCACACGCACACTGACCGTCTCAACCTCATCATCCGCGCGCTCTCGCGCCCTGACCCGGGTAGGTTCAGAAGAAGCGTGTACTCGCCTCGGTCTTCCCTCGGGTCACTCTTCCCTCTCTTCTCCCAAATCACCGATCTTCGACTCTCCGCTCGCCGCAAACTTCCCGCTCGACCCGAACCGGCCTCTGCCTTTTCGCGACAGCTCCGGCAGTGTGAAGGGGTACGGACGGTCCAGCACGTACATCAAGGCTAGGCAACAGTACAGCAGCAGTGGGTACACGGATGGTGTTGAGCAGGATGACAGGGAGCTTGGACCTATTGAGCAGTACAGAGAGAGCAAGTGTGGAGATTGGACGTTGGAGCGGAGGGTTAGTGGGAAGCTGGGGGAGCGGGGGATGTTGTTTCGGGATCGGTGGGGTGGGTGGCATTTTGTCGCTGATATCTAGACAACCCCGAGGTGGAAACATGTGGAGTCATGTTGGATTATGTACATCACTATGTTCGAGGAGTTGTGTGGGTCTTGAGATTGACTGGCGGTATCATTTACATGCAGTTCGCGGAGCACGCCGGGACAACATGGCCGAATATGTATTCTCGCATTGCAAGACCCCTGAGAGTTTGTAGTAGAGTATGCTAAGAACATGTTTGCTTTTGTTCGGCGCGTAGAGGAGCGATCGGCGAACATTTGGAATGTCGCGTTACGTCATGGCCTCAGCAATTTGCCGTCAGCATACCTCTCATCTTTTCATCCACAACATTTCCCATGTCAAAAGGTCGGTTCAGGAATTCTAAGATATAATGAAACATGTCACGGTAACGTCGAATGCCAATGCAAACAGGAGAACTCGGCGTTTGATGCGTCAGATCGCGCGCGGCTCATCCGAGGTGAGATACAAACGCTCTGCCTTGCGCGCCCGGCAATATACATTGAGGTGAATACATGTCGCCGCTCCCCGGTCCAATGTTGTCACGGTTCCTATGTAGGCTACTCCAAGCGATCATTATTAGTATCTCCTCATACTCACCGTCATACTCTTTTATGCCAATTTCGAACTTTCATCATGTCTCGTCGCGCTTCCACTTCTGAATTTCCTTCACACACAAGCCGTCTATCTTCGAAACCCAGAGCTTCACCAGGCGTACGCCATCTTCACTTCAGCAAAAACTCACCAATGATGACTCAGACACACAGCTACCGCAAGGCGCTCAACGACAAACGGTTTCACCGATTACATTCGCGGCCCGCGCCTGATAATCTCGCGTGGCTGCCTGCATGTCTTGCTGCACGTTTCCGCCCACCCACCTCAACCTGAACCACATCGACACTTTATCACAATGGCACCCTTCACACGTCTAGGCGCACGACCTGAGCGCCGTGTAGACTATCGTCACGTCATGTCTGCCGGTCGAGCTGGGTCGGCTCACAACCCGATCTTTCTGGAAGACACACGACCACCTCAGGAGGCAGTCGCACATCCAACGAATAACAAAAAGAAGGCCGCCACCAAACCGGTCCGTGATTCCAGCGGGCGCTTCATCAAATCGGAGACCTCCACGAAGCCGAAGCCAGACCGCAAAAAGGTCATCAAAGTCGCAGCGCCGCCCAAGCTGAAGAAGCAGGCGCGACCGGAGAAGACGGAGTGCATCATCTGCGCTATCACCAAGAATACGAAGCGCAACTTCAAGGCTTCTAATGACGAGGGCACCTGCGAACACTTCGAGAGTGTATGCGACCTATGCGTCCAGAAGCAGATCAAGACCAAGATTACGGCGCGCCAGCTCACTGATGCACATCTCCCCTGCATGTTCCCAAGTTGTGATGTAGTGCTTGACCACACGGCGTTGAAGAAGGTCATGTCAAAGGCCCTCTTCGAGACGTAAGTTATAATTCTGAACACCTCCAGAGCGTCGCTGACGGCAAACAGTTGGGATACAGCGGTCACCAAGCACCTCCTTGCCGCCGATCCATCGTACATCGCCTGCCTTAATCCAAAGTGCGACACCTACTTCTCCGCTGAAGACTGTAACAGTAAGCACAAGGCTTCCAGCAGCAAGTCAAAGTCAAAGTCCAAGTCCAAGCAAAAGGAGAATGTCAATAAGGCAGCCTGCCCATACTGCGACCACGAGCTCTGCCTATCCTGCAACCGCCCATGGCACTCCGGCTCCTGCAACAGCGCGAAAAGGCTCGAAGACAAGCAGTCAGAGAACACGATCAAGAAGCTCGGCGCAAAGCCATGCCCCAAGTGCTATGTTAACATCGAGAAGCAGGGCGGTTGCGACCACATGAACTGTAAGACCACCCACTCCCCTCATACCCTCTCCTCCCCACTTGACTTCACCACTAACGAACATCAGGCCAACGCTGTCGCCACAACTTCTGCTGGGAGTGTCTCGGTCCGTATAATGGCAACAATAACAACCACGCCGAGACCTGCTCGCACCGCCGTCCCATGATCGCGCACGACATCGGCAACTTCGTCGACGAGAACCTGACCGTCGCCCAGGTCAATCAGCTCATCGAGCGGGCGCGTCGAGACCGTGAGGCTGGCCGTGTACCACAGCCGAACTTGCAGCTTGCTCCGGGCGTGCAGCTTGTCAACGGCGCGGCGGTTCTTCCTCCTCCTCCTCCGCCACCGCCAAGACTTCCTCCGCCATCGATGCTTCCTGCAGTCGCCGCAGGTGCTCTTCTTCGACATTTGAACGAGCTGCCTGTTCCACCACCACCGGGTCTGCCTTTCCATGACATACCTGGTCTTCTCCAGCGCATGAACGAGGTGATGGGATTCTTCGGCAGGGGAGGTCCGGCACAGTAGGTGTCGGGCATGTGATATCAGCTCCAGTGCGATCCTCACTGGATGACCGGCTATCTCGCGTCAACTTGACAGTGATAAGCAGATTCGTGGAACATTATTTGTTTGGTATCATTGGGCGCATGGAATCTGAGTTTGGACATCAAGAAGAGAATAATGCGCTTTTGGATATGATGATCTCTTTTCTGCATCCGGCGGTTGTATACAATCGCATACATAATGTACCCTGGATACTCCCGACATTCTAAGACATTCCTGGACAACATATCATGGCCAACCGGTCCGTCTTGATTTCTGTCTTGGTGCATTGTCGGGGATCGTGAGTGATCCGTACGCATGTGGGAAGAATTGCAGGATTGAACTGAGGTTGTATTGGGTGAAGCTACGGACAGTACATATAGGTGAGTAGCTGTAAACAACGCTAGTGTGACGTGGCAGTCACTCTCATGGCAGGTGAGGTTTGACAGGCAGGAGCACCCTGAACCGTGACATGCATACTCTCATCCCCAACACACCCACGTCTACAATATCTCGGTTGAAAAGGTAGTCTGGACGTAGTTCGGCTACTGGCACCACGGAGGCAATATTGTTCTCTAAGATAAATAAAAATAGATAGTGCGGTACGTTTCTCCATCATCCAACACTGGTGGGATCCGGGCCACTCTCCATAAACGGGGATAATATAGGATCAAGACCAGAGGAAGAGTTGATATGAATTAGATTATACTATCTACGAGTGATGAGGTGCTTCTATATAGGCACCCAGCACAAAGAAGCTTGTTGTGTCTTGGGCAACAAGCAAGACAATAAAGAAACAGTCTGTTTAGACATGACATGGAAGCTGCCGGAAACCAACAGATGTCTCAGCCCAAGAACCCGCTACCATCGCACAGAACACACCAGTCTCTGAGCATAATCGAACCAGACTCGATACGCTAAAGATGATACGCGTTAGTGCGGGCACAAGTTAGTGCGGGCACGAGCTTAGTTGTAATTGAAGCTCCATTGAGAGTGGAGCAAAGGTGCACCGGGATAGTTTCACACTTTTCTCAACGCTGAACTACGCATGTCAACTTGACTTGCGATAGCGTCTTCGTCAGTTCCCCACACGGCGAGCCAAGTCTTATCAACCCTGGATCCCTCTCCCAAAGAAGGTCTTGGATGTCGGCTATCTAGGATGCTGAGGCACCCTACGTTCTGGGACTGCTTATGTAGCAGGAGGGTATATATTCACTCACCCTGATGGATCTATCAATCAACCAACAACTTCCTCAATTCTTTCTCATATTACTGACATTAGACCATATTAGCTTACACTGTGCTATAACAGTTCTATGCAAGTCAGTAGCGGTTGACACTGACACATCAACAATGTTTTCTATGCCTAGATCTTATGTGCTCTATCTACACTCATACATCTACAACAAATACAGCCCTATCTTACACCTTACACCTTCGTTCCCATACGCCTCCTTGCCCTCCTCCAGACTGTACCTTTACAACGCACCGCCCAGCACCCTAACAGCCCACATACTCAGCCTGACTCCAACACTAACCTTCCTCTCCGGTTTCTCAAACTCCTCCTCTCTGACAGGCTTCGCATGTTCATTCAGCCACTTGACCTCCTCGCCCAGCCGTTGTCTTAGTCCCGGATCCGACGTCGCGATGATGACGTTGGCTTCGAGATCGAGTTCGTAGGAGCGCTTGGTGTAGTTTGAGGAGCCGATGACTGTGAGGCTCGGGTCTTCTTGTTTCTCCGTAGCGGCAGATGGAGGGTCGGATGAGGTGGTGGCGGAGGGGAAGCTGACCCACAGTCCCTTAGCGTGGTACGTCCACCCCCCCTCCTCGTTGACTTTGCCGTACTTCCACTCCTTGAGCGTGATGCTTTCGCTCAGGCCTTCGTGCTTCACTTTCCGCAAGAACATCTTCGCGAGATGCGTGTAGGCGTCCGGTAGCATACCGCTCACACCTTTGCTGCCGTAGAAGCCGTTTGCGTGCGGGTGGGCGGTGAGCACAGTGCCCGATGCAGGGCGTGTGGACAGAAGAAGTCGCCGGAAAGAGGATGTCATGTTGAAGTAGCCTGCGGTGAACGTCCATGTCGAGCCTTTGAAGGGTGAGCGTGTGAGGGATGTCAGGATCTTGGTGAGGGCGGGGAGTTCGGTGGATGTGCTGAGAAGCGGGACGAGGGAGAGGACGGGGTATATGGTTGTTGTGCTTGGAGACGCGGACTGGAGGCGCGCGGGGGAGTTGGAGGGAGTGAGCAGGTGGCTGAGGTGCTTTGATGCGCTGGCTTTGAACTTCGATGGCGAGTCTAAGGGAGATGGGGCGGGATTGCTGGATGGCCAGGTCATCGTGTAGCCACCGCTTCCTTCTTTATCCGAGGGTTGGATGTCGAATGATAAATTTGCGACGCCATTGTGGATCTTGGCGAAGTAGTCGGTCAAGTCCTTAGAACGGAAGAGGTGGTATCGATCTTGGCGGTTGGTGAAGTAATCTGAACTGAGGTTTGCGCCGGACATGATGATCTCGTCGTCTACGCCATAGAGCTTCATGTGTTGCAGGCCCCAGCCTTCATTGATACGTTTGGGAATGTACTTCTTCCGCAGGCCGGTGAGGTTTGGTGTGTGGTACATGCGCACTTCTACCCGGTCTGTGCCGAACTCTGCGATCAGGGGAGCGAGGAGAGATGCACTTGATGGGTCTGGCGTCTCGCGTGTTCCACGGAGAGAATCGGTGAGGAAGGACACATGTAGGCTAGGGTTGTTTTGGAGTGCTGTGCGGATAGTGGAGATGAGTTCGTGCTCTGTTTTACCGATGTACAGTGTTGATAGATAGACCCGGCGTTGAGCCTTGGAGATCTTGGTCTGTGATTGATCAGTAAATTGTATATAGAGGTGCTGAGTGTTGCATACATGGGCAGCGTCCCCGTAGCTTTAAGCTCACAGGCAAACGCCTCATCATTGGTGGTTCGCATTATCTGCCGCCATGATGACCGCAGGAAACAGACAGAGCATTTGTAGTATGGAATTGACAATGTGATTGAGGGGAATCCGTGAATTCAGTGCATACATACGGTACAGAGTGAAGAGTACGAAACATAACTTCGTTGCTACAACAACTTGGTAGACTACAACGGAGCACGAAAGAAACATGATCAACCTACTTTGAGCGTTTCGTAGAATCCTGCAGGCGACTGAATGATCGTGATCTGCTCCGGTTGCATGTCGAATCTTGGCGCTATCTTGTCTAGGTCCGTTGTGATTGTAGCAAGCATTGAAGCCTGACTCTGTGGTGTTGAAGCCATAGAAGGTGCATTTGCTGTCGAATACCGCCGTGCTATTCTCGCAGGTTGTGCGAAGGTTCTGGGAGACCTCTTTGCAGCAACTCTAGGTAGTTGCGATCTCAGACACCCTCTTATTATCATGTTGATATACGAGCTTTGACGTGATGTTGTTGCTTCGTGGTTCAGCCTCCTGAAGTTTTGATGCTCTTCGGAGAGCAGGGGTCGAACTGGTCCAAGCCACAAAAGGAAAGGGCGACCCAGGGCTTGGCATCGTCAATCAACGATTCACGACTGGACGACACAAACGACAAGACAGACAACGCCGCCATGTCGACACTTATGAGGACGCTGCGCAACCTGCGCAAGATTGGTTTCAAGGTTTGTATACTCCCAGCTTCCCTGCAATTTACAGCGCTAATTGACCTCTTTTCACAGGAATATGGCCACCAGATGCAGGTACGCACTCTACTCCACGCTTCGAATACCACCCGTAGACACGACTGACCGAGGGCACGCGCACGTATAGCACATTGGTATGTTCAGAAAGGACTGCGCAGCGGGAAGGGCGGAGGGCTGACAGGGCGTAGGTGATACTAAGGCCGGAACCTTCATTGGCCTCGACAAGTACGGTAACAAGTATTACGAGAACCTGGAGGAGGAGCTTCCCCGTAAGGGCATCAATTGCCAAGTCAAACAGAAGAGGGATTGACATTTTGTAGTGAGAACCCGTTGGGTGGACTACAAGGACCACGAGTTCGACCCGTTAGTCAGCCCTGAAACACGATATCCAGCGTCGACTAACGATCGCGCAGCTCTCAGATCGAGCCCGGCTGGCACGCTTGGATGTCGTACATGGTCGACAAGTCGCCGGCCCAGGACAAGCTTCTTCAGCGTGAAGTACGCGTATGGGAGCCCAAGGAGCACAGGCCTACCCTCACCTGGAGCCGCTCAGGATATAAGCCATACAGCACGTATGTGAACCCGTTCGTTCCATCGTCGGTGTGCTAACGAGATTGCAGAGTCAAGAACAAGTACTCTGCGTGGACACCTGCCGTCAAGGCACGCCAGTAGAGATCCGGATTCGTTTGTTAGCATTGTATATATCAAGAACAAATCAATGGTTCAAGTTTACATTCAATTCAACTCGAAAATAGTTGGTTTACGGATCCCCGCCCTTTCGGGGAGAGCAGAGCTTTCGGTGTAGATGCCTCAAGGGCGCACAGTATTGCTCAGGATGGCTCATTTACGAACTCACACAGCAACTTGCCAACATCGTGAGGCCGTACTGCGATCTGTTTCAGGCGTAACCAACGCTTCGCCGGAAACTTGACAGTACGCTGGGGTCCTTCAATCTATAGTCTGACGCATTGGGTTCCCAAGAATTAGAATCCACGACTGTTGCGATTTTCGCCGGTCACGGTGTGTTGGGGACCTCCAAGGTTCCAGACTGTGCAAATTCATGAGTTTGAGTTACAAGACGTGCTAAACACGCGTTGCCGGATGCGTGCTATCTTGCGCAAGTCGGTGAAAAGGGCGGAAGCAGTGAGCAGGTCACAGCAGCAACCCCATGCGCAAGCACTTCCATGGTTACACCCTACGCGCTTGCGCGCTGTCAATTGAAAATGAAACCGAGAAAAACTGGCACGTGCAGCTGCACCACGAGAAGTGAAGCTAGAGACATGGCAGCCATGCTGCAGTGTGATCCACTATCACCAGCGAGCTTCCTCATATGATGTCCGTGGAGGTTGAGCGGTCGCTTAGGGCAGATGCTGGCTTACCCCGGATCCACAGCAGTCAGCACCTTGCAGGCAATTGTGATTGGACACTTCCATTGTTACGATACGCGATATGCCTGACGCGTACCTCCGGAGGTAGTCAATCTTGTCTTCGGGGCTGTACTATTGAGCCTGCTTCACTCCTACCTGCTCTGGTGTTGACTGTATTTGCACGATAGCGTGCTCGCGGGAGCCAAATTGCACCTTTGATCGACGGCAAGCTACGCGCAGACGGCAGGGCTCTAACTCGAGAGGGACGATTGCTGAGCCGCTCGTGCATCGCTTCTGTACAACGGTTAACCACAACCATGGTCGTGACTCAGAGCGGTGAACGCTCATTGGGTCCCTTGCCCGAAAGCGTGAACGGCTTGGTGGTCGGCATCAATCACATTCCTATACAAACGTTACCCAAGTCCCAGTTGTTCCCGTCTCCTCATCACCCGGCTTGGAGTTCAATTGATCTGTCAAACGATATCTTATCAGATGGGGGGACGTGCTCTTTAACGGCGGCAAATTGAAGATTACATCACGCTACATTCGGCGCGCGTGAACATCAGTACGAAGGCTCTTGCTCCGCTAGTGAGAGGGTGGCAGCGCTTACCTTCCCGCAAACAGCGATCACCCAGGTACTCAAACAAGTGTTTGTTTACTACGCAGTTTTCCCCTGAAAATCTCTTCGCCAACGCGCCCGCCGAGCTCCTTTCAATGCGAGTTTATAGCTGTCGTTAGCCAGTGTAGAGTTTGGGAGCTGTCGCGGAATCTCTGCGAACACCACGACCAGCCGTGCAAAGAGTGGCAAGCATCATGTTCGCCCAATGCAAAGGCCCAATCTGGGGCGCGGACGACTTTTCGAGGTGCTTCGAATCAGAGTGAGTAGCTTCGATATACACAACAACACCCCGCGGAGGATGTTTGTGAGAGAAGCACTGCTGCATTCCAGTCGAATGCTCGACTGTCACATTGCCTCGCAACGCTCTGAAACCACATGCTGACAGTCTCACAGCTATCTTTCGACATTGTTTCCTCTATCCGTTTGCGGTGTGTCCGTCATTTATCTCCTAATACAACTGTACTTCGCTGCCACGGCAACACGGTACTACCACGCATACTCCGCGCTCGACGATCCACGAAACGTTTGGTCCTTTCGAAGTCCCAACTACGACGGTGATGCAGCAGACAGTGACTCTGAAGATGAATTCGACCGCAATGAGCAGAGCGCGCTGCTTCAACCCACCATCAGCCGCCAGACCAGGTCCACAACCGCTGTGACCAAGCCGCGCGGCGAAGTCACGATAGTTGTCTTGGAAGAGGCTGCCGTGCTGGCGCAGCTTGCGGTCCATATCGCTATCTTCTTTACAGGCGCTTGGGGTCGACATGGGAGAACCGCGGCAATTGCAAACATTGCCGTCTGGTCGTACATTGCCACACTTGCGTCGCTCCGCCTGCTGTTTTCTAGCACTAGCAAGTGGTCCTTCCCCAAGCTGTGGTACCACACCGCCTTCATTTACGGCTTCCAGTGGGTCTTCTCGGCCCTGCTTCTCCGCTCCGCAATCATCCACCCACGATCCGACGTTCAGAAAAAGCTCGCTATCGCTGACTTCGTCCTCGTTTCGCTGCTCTTCGTCATCTCGCTATCGTCTCGCAAGGGCAATAAGGCTGTGGAATTGGAGTATGAGGGAGATATTCTGCCGGCCAGGGAACCTACAGCTAGCGTATTCTCGCTCGCTACCTTCAGCTGGGTGGACTCAATCGTTTGGACCGGATACAAGAAGACGTACGAGCTCTCAGATGTCTGGAACCTCGCGCCCAAGGACAAAGCAGCAGCTGTCATTTCCAACTACCGCCAAGTCAAGCGCACATCGCAGTTGGCCTACCATCTCTTGGGCTACTTCAAGCGCGGTCTCCTGATCCAAGCTGGCTGGGCTGCAATTTCTGGATTTCTCACGTTCGCTCCTACGTTACTTCTAAAAGCTATCCTAGAATACGTTGAAGCGCCGGACCTTACACCGCAGAACGCAGCATGGTTTTACGTTCTCCTTCTATTCGTTTCTGGCTGTCTATCTGCGCTCGCTGATGGGCAAGCGTTGTGGATTGGTCGAAAGATCTGCATTCGGCTGCGCGCAGTCATCATCGGAGAAATCTACGCAAAGGCGCTGAAGCGCAGAGCCGCTGCTACCACTGACAAGGTTTTGGGTGAAGAAAAGAAGGCAGACAACGAAAACAAGGACAAGAAGCAAGGCACCATCAAGAAAATGATGACATGGGGCAGGAAGAAGAAGAAGACGCCCATCGAGGGACCAAAGCAAAATCAAGAAGACAACACCAAGCTCGAATCCGATGCTCAAGTCACCACCGGAGCTATTATCAACCTCATGGCCGTCGATGCATTCAAGGTCAGCGAAATCTGTGCCTACCTGCACTTCCTGTGGGCCAACACTCCTGTCCAAGTCGTGGTCGCCGTTGTCCTGCTCTACCGAATTCTTGGCTACAGTAGTATTGCTGGTATTGGCATGATGATCATTCTTCTTCCGATCAACATGTATGTTGCAAGCCAATTCTCCAAAATTCAGAAACTCATCTTGGCGGCTACCGACGCTCGTATCCACACCACCAACGAGGTCCTCACCAATATTCGCATCATCAAGTACTTTGCCTGGGAGCAACGCTTTATCGGTCTTGTGAACGAGAAGCGTTACGTTGAACTTAAGCATCTCCGCCGAAGATACATCCTGTGGGCGATAGCAGCGACCATCTGGTCAGGATCGCCGGTCTTCATCACTTTCCTCTCGTTCTTCGTCTACACCAATGTCGAACACAAGGCGCTCATCCCCTCTGTTGCTTTCACTGCACTTTCACTTTTCCAGATCCTCAGGATTCCGCTGGATCAGCTAGCTGATATGGTCGCTCACGTTCAAGAGTCGAGGGTCTCGGTCGATCGTATTGAAGAGTATTTGAACGAACCGGAGACTGAGAAGTACTCGCAGTTGACAACTAAGGAGAAGGATGAGAACGGACAAGTGATCATTGGTTTCAACAAGGGAACTTTCAGCTGGGGTGGCAAGGACATGAAGGACCAGGCTGCCGCCGATGCGTTCAAGCTCATGGACATCGACGTCAAATTCAAGACTGGACAGCTCAATGTGGTTGTTGGACCGACTGGGTCTGGAAAGACTTCTCTGCTCATGGCCCTGCTTGGAGAGATGACAAAGTTGAAGGGCGACGTCTACCTTCCTGGGGGTGTCAGCCGCGAAGACCTTCGCCCTGACCCTGAGACAGGACTTCTCGAAAGCGTAGCCTACTGCGCACAACAGGCTTGGCTAGTCAACGGTACTGTTAAGGAAAACATTGTCTTTGCGGGCGATTGGGACGCACAACGATATGAGGAGGTCATTGTGGCCTGCTCACTGAAGCGCGATCTTGAGATCCTTGACGGAGGCGACGAGACTATTGTTGGTGAGAAGGGTGTCACCCTCTCTGGCGGCCAAAAGCAGCGTATCTCTCTCGCTCGTGCCATGTACAGCAAAGCACGCCACGTACTTCTGGATGACGTTCTTAGTGCAGTCGATTCGCACACCGCCAAGTGGATCTTCGATTACGCCCTCAACGGTCAGCTTATGCTCAACCGTACGTGCATCCTCGTTACACACAACGTCAGCCTATGTCTGCCCTACGCGGAATTTGCTGTCGTTCTCGAGAATGGCCGCGTTGTCGCACAGGGTACTTCAGACGAGGTCATCGACTCCGGCAAGCTCACAGAAGAAGTCTCCAAATCCAGGCCAGCCTCTCGAGGTGCCTCGAAACCACCTTCTCGTGTGCCTTCAGATGTCGGCGGCGAGGAGGCTGAAGGTGAGGTTAGCCACACGAACGGTACTGCCAATGGCAATGCGAACGGCAAAGACCCTAAGAAGGGAGCCCGCAACCCTATGGAGGAGACCAAAGCAGAAGGCGGTGTGAAGCTGAGCATCATTCTGATGTACTTGAAGGCTATGGGTCCATGGTACTACTGGGTTGGTGCTTCCATCGCTTTCGTTGCGCAGCAGATCTCGTCTGTATCGACAAACGTCTGGATTCGGACATGGGCGAACGCATACGCGGACAAGGGCTTCTCGACTATGGGTCACCACAATCGCTCACCTATCACTCACGCACCGACGATGTTTGGATCGGGCACATGTCTGAACAGTGGCACATGCAGCTGGAATATTCCATTCATGAACCAACCAGAGGAGAAGTCCTACATCTACAGTTCCTCCATGCAGACAACATTCGGTAGCTCTGACGATTCGGGCGTTGACTCGACCTACTTCCTTGTCATTTACGCCATCCTCGGTTTGATCTTCATGTTCATTACCTTCCTCCGTGAAGGCTTCCTGTTTGGCGGCTCGCTCGCTGCATCTCGACGTGTTCACGAGCGACTCATCCAGAAGGTGACCCATGCCAAGTTCCGATTCTTCGATCAAACGCCACTTGGACAGCTTATGAACAGATTCTCGAAGGACATCGAATCTGTTGACCAAGAGGTCGCACCCGTTGCCATCGGCGTGGTCCATTGCCTGGCTTCCATTATCACCATCGTTATCCTTATCTCAGTCATCACACCCGCTTTCCTCATCGCTGGTGTCTTCATCTCCGTACTTTATTTCCTCATCGGCCGATTTTACATCAACTCGTCACGCGATCTTAAGCGTCTAGAGTCCGTTCACCGTAGTCCATTGTACCAGCAGTTTGGCGAGACCCTGTCTGGTATGACAACGATCCGAGCATACGGAGATGAGCGCCGCTTCATCCGCGAGAACCTTGCCAAAATCAACACCCAACATCGACCCTTCATCTACCTCTGGGCTGCTAACAGATGGCTCGCTTTCCGTGTCGATGTCGTTGGCGCACTGGTCTCCTTCTTCGCCGGCACCTTCGTGGTCTTGAGCGTCGGAAAGATCGATGCGGGTGCCGCTGGTCTTGCGCTTACCTACGCTGTCACCTTCACGGAGAACGTGCTGTGGTTTGTACGTCTATACTCTGCCAACGAGCAGAATATGAACTCGGTCGAGCGTGTCAAGGAATACCTGGACGTCGATCAGGAAGCCCCAGCTGTCATTCCGGAGACACGTCCTCCGTCCAACTGGCCAAGCAAGGGCTCCGTGGAGTTCATCAGCTACAGTACTCGCTACAGGCCTGACTTCGATCTTGTCCTCAAGAACATCACCTTCAAGATTCTGCCAGGCGAGAAGGTCGGTGTTGTTGGCAGGACTGGTGCCGGCAAGAGTTCCTTAGCTCTTGCTCTCTTCCGGGCTTTGGAAGCAGAGAAGGGCAAGATCCTCATCGACGATGTGGATGTTGGCCTCATCGGTCTCCAAGATTTGCGCGAGAGCATCGTCATGGTACCTCAAGACCCAACGCTGTTCACTGGAACTATCCGTAGCAACCTCGATCCTTTCTCTGTATTTACTGACGAAGAGATCTTTACCGCCCTCCGCGAAGTCCACCTCATCTCCTCCGCTTCAGCAGCCACGTCCGGCACCGCGACGCCGACTGGGACCGCCACGCCTCCCAATGCCATCGAGATCCCCAAGCCCACAAGTGGCGCTGTCGTAGCTGATGTCAACGCCAGCTACACAGGCTCCTCAACCGTCAACCCCGGCTCTATCCTCGCCAACCGCGAATGGTCACACGGCGAGACAGGCGACGACACTATTGTTGTTATGCCCAACGGTCAGGTTGTGGATGCAGATGCGACAGCTGCCAACGCCCTACAAGCAGACAACAAGAACCCCTTCCGCAACCTCAACTCCCCCGTCAGCGAATCCGGATCCAACCTCTCGCAAGGCCAGCGCCAACTGCTCTGCCTTGCGCGCGCGCTGCTCAAAGCACCGAAGGTCTTGCTCATGGATGAAGCAACTGCGTCCATTGACTATGCGACAGATAGCAAGATCCAGGAGACGATTCGCTTGATCAAGAATACGACAGTCACCATTGCGCATCGTCTACAGACTATCATCGACTACGACAAGGTTCTTGTGCTGGACAAGGGAGAGGTCACTGAGTTTGGTGACCCACATACGCTTATCACGAAGAAGGGTGGAAGCTTCAGGAGTATGTGCGAGACGTCTGGGGAGCTGGAGAGTCTTACGAAGACTGCGAAGGAGGCGCAGGATGCTAAGGCTGCATTGTCAAGTTGAGGAGGTAAGGTAAAATAGAAAAGAGTTGGAAGAACGGATGGGCATTACTGAGTGTGTTTAGCGTTCTTTTCCTTTGTCTTGGCTTGGATGGCGGTGTTCTGCTTTTAAGAATGTACTGTATATGAATACATAGCGTAGCGTACTGCGAGTAAGATAGTAATGCAAAAGTTACAGGTCACGGTGCCGATACAGCTACATCGTCACAACAAGCGACTACAACGTCTCTCTATGTACTCATTGACCGTCGCGGCGCACCATGTACGCACGACTAAACACTTCAATTCACACAACTATGTTTTCAAGGTTAGCACGACACGAACTCCTTGCAATCTGGCAAGCCGACATGGGCTTCGTGCTGGGATACCTTGAGAGCCGACCAATCCGATGTTCGGTTGACTTTGGTAGCATTGTAGTTGAATCTGGGCGACTTGTATCAGATAATTTGATAGGCCTACGACAACTAGAAGGATTCTGATAGACACTCAGACATTGGAGCAAGCGTGGACACACGATTATATCTTTGAGGAAAAGGCTTTGATGCGAAATTCCTCCACCTCTGACAATATGCCCTTGAGTCCACGTGAGCGCAGTACAAGGCGAAGAGTCCATAGGAGGCTTATAGTTGCTGAAGGAAGTAGTTCGCGTCATCTTCCACACCACCAAACCATGTCCCATGCTATGGTAGCAAAGACTGGTTTAATTGGGACGCTAGTGAGCAAGAAAACGCCCTTTGCTAGAGAAGGCATTGCGAATTCAAATAGCACATCGACCCGTGCGTTTCTGACGAATGTGCACAATTGATGGATATACATAGAACCGACTTGACAACCACAGTAAGCGTCAGTGAATGATTGCCCAGATAGGTCTGGCGTTGGCAACGAAGCGATGGGTTTTGCTTTGCAATATGGACCGCCACCCACCTGTTGACTAGGTCAGTATTTCTCCTATCACTGCGTCAGGACTTCTTCAAGGCTTGTGAGAGCCACTTACACGTGTTGTCGTACTTCATCTCGATCTTCAACGGTCTTCACGGGTACTGTAACCAGTAAACGGGCCGAAGCATATAATGAAGCCCACTTCACCCCTTGTCCATGGTCAAAATCTTCATTCGGAGGGTTTGAAGACCGACGCCCAGACAACACATCGTGATAGGATGTCCACGGATGAAGTGCCGATTGGCTGCATCACTCCTTGGTGTCCTGATCTTTGCTCTCATTTCTCTCCTGATGCTGCATTTGCTCATGGGAATCTCCGGAATGCGATGCACTTTTCCATGTTGCAGACCCGCAGCTCATTCTTGGTGATGGTCTGGGATCGGCTCTTGTGTGGTGATCGATGTCGTCACGGTGGAGCTGAGTCCTGGCTCTGGGGTTTCTATCGAATTTGGCTGACAAGTGCGCCTGTCCCCGAGTCATGAAGCCAATGCCGCGCTAGGTGAAATCGGCGCCCGCAGCCCGCGTCATTCGCATCTTTCGCGATATCAATGAATTCGTCCGCAACGCCCTTCTGCCCTTCCGTACGGATGCTGGACGCCTGCCTGTAGATGCTGAATATACTCTCTCACCATTCTCGCGACATGTTGCATTGACTGCATACAAATCTGGATATCGCCTGCAAAGCCGCGAATTCCTTCCCCCCGACATTGCGCGCACCTCCCGCAGCGCTTTCTCACTCCACCATTGCTTTCCCGGAGCAACCGCTCTGAGACTGGCGTACAGTTGCGCTCTTTGGGGTCCTTGTTCGCGTTCTTTGAGGACCGTATTGCCTGTTTGGACGCAATTATCACCGCGGTTTTACATCACTGCGACAAGGAGACAACAAGCTGGAAGGAACGTGTACATAATCGCGACGACCCCGCAGCATTTGAAACCTCATTCTTGGCTCCAGCGATCACTCTGGTTCTGCTTGCGCATTCAGTCACCAGGAGGACAGGACATTAAGGCAGGGACGAGCAAGACTGATACCATTGGGGAAGGACAGATCATCAGGCCTCACTGGATCACAGGGTCTGAGTCACGCAACTTCGCACTCACCACTTCTACGAACACCGGTCTACGAGGACAGCGCACATGTCGACAAGCAAGCGGCGCGCTCCGGGCGCAGAACCGCAAGTCTCAATGCAGACATACCCTCAAGATGCCAGCATACCGACCGACCAGTACATGAACTGGAACGATCCCACAATGAGTGCCGACATGGGCGCCTTCAATGATCCAGTACTATTCGAGAACTACGGCACGAACGCGATAAACAGTGGGCATAACAGGGTGATATCGTTAGATGGGATGACAGACGCGCCAGACATGAGCTCGGGACAGTTGGTCAGGAGAAATCCAAATCAGCAGCTTGCACCTGCACCGCGGCGAGGGCAGTGGGACGGCTATCCTAGCCCAGCACAGCAGTGGGAGAACATCGCTGATGACGATGAAGAATTGGAACAGAAAGCTGCGGTCGCGAAGAAGGATGCGCAAGCAAAGCGGAAGCAGATCCCTCCGTTCGTACAAAAGCTGAGCAGGTAAGTGTGCAGCAAGCTCCTGACCTGCAAACAGAGCTCCTTGTGTGCTCGGCATATCTGGAAAAAAAAAATGCTAACACATTTGCAGCTTTCTCGACAACAACAAGAACGAAAATCTTATCCGATGGTCAGACGACGGCAACTCATTCATCGTGCTAGATGAAGACGAATTCGCGCGGACACTCATCCCAGAGCTCTTCAAACACAACAACTACGCTTCCTTCGTACGACAGTTGAACATGTACGGCTTCCACAAGAAGGTTGGACTGTCAGACAACTCCATGAAAGCAAGCGAGACCAAGGCAAAAGCACCCAGCGAATACTACAACAAGTACTTCAAGCGCGGGCGACCGGAGCTGCTGTGGCTGATTCAGAAGCCCAAGAACCCAACGGCCGGCCCTAAGCGGAAACGAGACGACGAGGCCAAGGGTGACAGCGATGACGAGCGCAAGTATGTGCAAGACACCGGTGGCGGTGGCTACATCGAGGACTTGACCGCAGTCAGGCGGAGTGACGATATGACTATGATCCCACGATCGGAGTACAACAGTTTGCGAGTCGAAGTCCGGGAGCTACAACAACAGCAGAAGCTCATCTCAAATGTTTTGGGCCAGATTAAGCGTCAGAATGATGAACTGTACTCACGAGCAACATCCTTCCAAGCGCTACACGACCGTCACGAAAATTCGATCAACGCCATCCTCACCTTTCTTGCTACGTTCTACAAGCGTGGTTTGGAGGGCAATGCGGGCGGCATCAACCTCGCAGATATGTTCCCTGGAGCGCGGCAGCAGACTCATGGGAACGTAGTCGATGTCGGTGATTACCAAGCGCCAGAGGTGAACAGGTCACCATCGTTCCAGCGTAAGAAGCAGCCGCTTGCGCTCTTGCCCGCTCCAGGGCCCGAGAAGGACTACCTATCGCCACCTGGCGGCCGCGCAACCACCATGAGCCCGACAACAAGACCCATACCTAGCCCGATCACAAGACAAAGCAGTCAGCAAGGCATCTTCCGCCCTCACTCACAAACAAGGACGCCATCCGGCATGCCAGCTGCACAAGGTCGAGACGGCTCATCCTCCGTCCCTCCCCTCAAAGTCGAATCACAGTCGCCACAGAATGTGGAACCCCTGCCTGAAGCCGAAGAAATCCTCTCTGCCATCCAAAACGCCAACACTAATGCCGGTCACCCCACCAGCCAAGCACCTCAATTCGATTTTCCCGCCGCGCTGTCGAACTACCAAACGGCCGACGGGGCTGTGCCTCTTACACCGCAACAGCGTAACGACGTCTTGAGCCTCATGGCCGACAACGCAGCTGCGTCACACACCAACAATGCGCTCACAAACCCTGATCCGCCCGAAATCAGCAACTTGCTCAATGACCTGAGCAGATACCAGGAAACACAGCAACAGCTCGAACTCCTGCAGAAAATGAGCGACCAGCAGAACAGCAGAGTCCAGAGCCTCCAGGAGCGACTGCAGCCTCTTAGTCCGAGTGGGCAGATCCCAGGGTTGACGGATGGTAACACGAACTACTTCGGTAATCAGCTTGGTGATCCGGCGCAGTACGACTTGGACCTCGATTCGTTCGTGCAAGACCATGACTACTTCCCAAACAGTACAACGAATGAGAATGACCACCCCAACAACGTTCTGCCAGACTTCAACTACGATTTGCCGGACACGAATGCGGGTATGAACGGGGGCGGGTTCGGTGTTGGAGCTGATGCGTTCAACTTCGATGCGCAAAATGACGGCACTCTTCATGTTGCAGATAACAACGACGGAAGGGTTGAGAGCGTGAGTTCGTCGGGCACATCGCCGGCTGCTACGGTAGAAGAGGTGGAAGACGAGACGAGGCGAAGGAGTCCCAAGAGGATGAAGAGGTGAACCAGTGGATAGTCGGATCGGGGCATAGGGATCGGTGGGTTGTAAGGCATAGCGCAGGCGTCAAAACGGAACCAGGAACAGGCGCATTGGTAGACCAGATGTGTCTTGAAGTTTACGAAGTCATGATAATCAAAAGTAAATGCATAAAGCGTTGTCCATTCTCTCTCTCTCTCTCCAACCTGTCTATCTGGTATAACTCCCTTCTCTGGTGGTGAAAATGCCTCCAATGCTGAGCGGCTCCTTCTACTTCTTCAACGCCCGCCCGGCGATGTCCTTCCGGTACTGCATGCCCTCAAAGTGTATGCACTCCACGCCCTTGTACGCCTTCGCGACGGCTTCCTCGAGTGTGGGCGCTGTGGCGGTAGATGCAATGACGCGACCGCCAGCAGTGCGCAGCTGGCCGTCCGCCATCGATGTGCCAGCGTGGAAGAGGACAGTGTCTTCCGGAACAGCATCAAGCTGCATCGGCGTGCCCTTGGCATACGAGCCGGGATACCCACCGGCAGCCACAACAACCGTCGCCGCCGATCTCGAGCCGACCTTGACATCGACCTCCGAGAGACGACCCTCTGCGCACGCGACCATCACCTCTGCGAGATCGCCCTCCATCAAGCACAGCAGGCTCTGCGTCTCCGGGTCGCCAAAGCGGACGTTGTACTCCAGCACCTTCGCGCCATTGGGCGTCATCATCAGGCCCGTGAACAGCACGCCCTTGAACGTAAACCCCTCGGTCCTCATCCCATCAATAGTAGGCTGCAGCACCTCGTCGTCGATCTTCTCCAGCAGCTCTGGGGGCGCGATGCGCGTCGGCGCGTACGTGCCCATTCCGCCTGTGTTGGGTCCTTGGTCGTTGTCGAAGATGCGCTTGTGGTCCTGTGCCGGCGGCAGACTCTTGATCGTGTGTCCGTCCGAGAAGGTCAGGATGGAGAGCTCGTCGCCGGTGAGGAATTCTTCGATGACGACTTCGTCGCCCGCAGAGCCGAATTCTTTGCTGAGCATGATATCCTTGAGCGCGTCGTGCGCTTCTTGCTTGGTTTGCGGGATGATGACGCCCTTGCCTGCCGCGAGACCAGACGCTTTGATCACGACGTTGTGCGAGATGGAGTCGAGGTACTGTGTCGCGGCGTCGAAGGAGGAGAAGTTCTCGTACGCGGCGGTCGGGATGCGGTGCCTCTTCATGAAGTCCTTGCTGAACGTCTTGCTGCCTTCCATTGTTGCGGCGGCCTGGCTGGGCCCGAAGGCCTTGATGTGCGGCGCATGTTGGGCGAAGTGGTCGACGATGCCGGCGACGAGGGGCGCCTCGGGGCCAGGGATGAGGAAGTTGACATTCTTCTCCTTGGCGAAAGCGACGAGGGCGGGGAAGTCGGTGTCCTGTACTGTTGTGACGTTTGTGACTTTGGCGGAAATGGTTGCGGTACCGCCGTTGCCAGGGCAGACGTAGATGTGCTCGATCCGTGGGGACTGGAGGAGCTTCCAGGCGATTGCGTGTTCGCGGCCGCCGTTGCCGACAAGAAGGACTCGAAGTTGGTCAGCCATTGCGTGTGTTGTGTGCCAATTACTGAAGGTGCTCCGATTGCGGTGTTGAGATTTTAGTTTTTTGGGTGGAAGGTACCCCCGCGACGTGGTGGGGTAGGTGGGCTTGCAGGGATCTGCGGGAATGCCGTTGGCGGCCGCCTTGTGCCTGACTGCAGTCGGACACCTTTCAGCCAGAGGGTCGCAGATCTGCTGGACGTTTAGTGACGCCCAAGGGCTATCTTGCAGGAGGAAGTTTGGGCTGGGTGGTAGCAAGGATGCATTCGACGTGTATCGAAGCTACAGAAGGCCATGATTCCCATCCTCTAGCTGCCTCGCCTGTCCGAATATCAATATGCACAACTTGTGCAGAAGGCGCCAGCAGGAGCCGTCAAGCTTGACTGGTGAAGCACAGCACGCCGCATCCAGCTCTTCACTCAGAGAACAGAGTCGTGACTTCGGCCTTGCGCGATAGCTCAGTCCTGTGCCATCGAGGGATTGAACGGGCGGGCCGATGAGAAGCGACGGGAAACTTGTAACAGCAAGGGGTGTGAGTAATGGGCAGCTCCCTTCCCGTGCCAGCTCGGCTTCCTGCAGTGCGCTGTGTTCGTCGACAGGAGCATGCCCAGACAAAGGTTGAGGCCGCTGTGGCAGGCTCTTCGGGTCGGTGCCACTCTTGTGCAGTAAGGGTTTGCTGTTCGCCGTAAACGGGCGCTTTGTTTTGAATAAAAGCAACGGGTCAGGGATGCACACGACGACTGGTTTTGGCGGTGTAACCGCGCGCGCTGGTGGCTCATCTAAACGGGCTGCTCTCTAAGGTTGCGTTCTGATCCGTTCCCATTTCGCGAGTTTGAGTGAGAGTGTTAACGCGTCCTGCTTGACCATCAGCCCAGGCCATTGTAATTCTGCTTTGCGTTGAAGAACAACTGGCCGAGCACGTCCTGGGGCGACGTGGCGGGGTTGGGTGTGGGTGTGTATGCTTGTTGGTGCAGGTGGGGTTGAATCTGTTGGCTGTGATGGTCGTGTACACTGAAACCAGCATCCTGCTGTCGCTGCTGGCCAAAGAGCTCGCGGAGAGAGAGCTGGCGTCCCATGGGGGCAGAGGTGGCTGTCTCTACCTGTTCCGATGCCTGGTGCACACCGCTCCTGGCCTCCTGTTCTCCCGCCTCTCGGCTTAGTCGTGCCTTCTCTGCAGCCTGCATGATCTTGGTGGCAGTGTCGGTACGGCAGTCGGCGGTGGAAGCGGGCGGAGGGTCTGCAAACACCCAGATGCCATACACCTGATCGCCCTGGAGGATGACATAGGGATCTGTGAACTCCATCTCCCCTTCACTGGTGAGCTCGAGGTAGAAGTTGTCCAGTCCCCGGCGGTTGAGTATGGCAACGCTGTAGCGGTCGGCACCAATGGGTGAGGGCGTGAGCTTGCAGAGGAACAAGGTGCCCTCAACACCGAGCTTCTCCCACTGCTGGGTCTCGAGGCTGAACGTGTAGAGAGCGGCATACGGGGTAACGTGCACTATAGCGGCCAGCTCAGGATAGATGCGGCGGAGGACGGAGAAGTTGAGCTCTTCGTTTGACCGCGGAGGGGGGAGGGGCACGTCGACGGCGGGCGGCGGCGCGTCCGTCTCGTAGTCGGAGGGCTGGGGCGGCGGCTGCGGGTGGTGCGCGCGGGCTTTGGACTTGTGAGGCGCCATATCGATAGTGGTGGGAGAGAGCGAAGACTGGCGACGACGAGTTCGCTGTTAGGCCGCGTTCTGGACGCTGTCAGGACTCAGGAGCGGGAAGGAGCATGGGCCACGCCGATCGGCAGGCGTGCACAGCCAACGGCAGCCACGCAGAGCGTCATTGACCCCTGCGTTTACTTCACGAATGCTCCGTCATCCCTCGGTGGGGAGTGGCTGAGTGCGCCGCTTAGAAGATAGCAGAATGCCCACAACCACCACCGCCATGGGCTGACCACTCTCCCTTGCGCAGATCCTGTCCGACTCTCTTGCTGCGACCGCCCCACCATGGCGTCGAGGACCGGTTCAGTGCGCTCTACCCATACTGCGCGCTCGTCCATCAACACCACCGACCGTCTTGAGGCTCTCATCCCAGGCGCATTCCCCGATCTGCGCTCTCCCAGCCAAGCCTCGCTCACCACCCAGCAGGTCTCTCTCCAGCAGACCTTGTACGACCGTAGGGCCGAGTACACTCGTTCCCGCAGTATCCGCATCAAGGTCGGGTCCTGGAATGTTGCTTCCAATAAAGGCACAGAACAGGATGTTGGCGCATGGTTCGTGAAGGGCAAGGGCGTGGACAAGGCCCTGGCTGGGCTTGGTGTGTCCGAGCCAAGTCGCAGAGACGAGAAGCACAAGGAACCGGTGGCAGACCAGGAAGCACGGTTCGACAAGCATGCGCCCACAGTACCGCACGGTGACTTGGGCTCGGTGCCTGGTGATGGGGAGGTCGATCTTTACGTACTGGGTCTGCAGGAGATAGTGGACATCACTTCTGCCGCTGAAGCGCTGAAGCCGTACACCGACCCCACTATGGCCAACAAGTGGAAAGCGTCCTTGGAGGCAGCCCTACCGGAGGGGTATCAGCTAGTGGCAGAGCAACAGCTGCTTGGATTGTGGCTAGTCGTTTATGCCTCGCCAGCCCTCTTCCCGCAAGTCAAGAACATCAGCACGACGAGCGTCGGTACTGGGCTCATGGGCTACATGGCGAACAAGGGTGCCGTAACAGCACGAATTGTTCTGGGCGAAACTACACGTCTCGTCTTCATCAACTCGCACCTCGGCGCTGGAGCAGATAAGGCAGCCCTGGAACGCAGAATCTGGGACGTTGCGCAGATCACCCAGAGAACACGCTTCGCTCCGATCGTGGATTCGCTAGGCTCATCTCAGAGCCAGGGCGAGGGCCTTGGAGACGAAGAGTTCGCTTTCTGGTTTGGCGATCTGAACTTCCGAATCGAGGGTATGCCAGGAGATGATGTGCGCCGCCTACTCACGGTCCACACAAAAGACATGGACAAGGACGACGAACGCCCTTCTACTTCTGGGACCTCAGGCTACGCTTCCGGGAAGTCTTCAAATGATGTCGAAGACGCTGTCCCATTGCCGCCAGAACTAGACCCAGCGTCCCTCCAGACGACCATCTCATGCCTCTTACCCCACGATGAGCTGCACCAGCAGATGAAGTCAGGCAAAGCCTTCCACGACGGATGGGAGGAAGGCCCAATCAGGTTTCTGCCAACATACAAGTACGACGTGGGCAAAGTAGGCGTTTTCGATAGCAGCGAAAAGGCCCGTTGCCCAAGCTGGTGTGACCGGATTCTCTACCGCACGCGGGCGGGGAAGCAGCGGTACGATCAGAAGGCCAAGGAGGATGCAGACACCCGCAAGCGAGATGAGGAGATGAAGAAGCTTGGCATGGACACGTCTGGGACTAACGATGTCCTCTTCGACTACGACCCTGACACTGACGGCGACAACGGCGATTATGATGAGTACGAGGACAACAACGCAGATCCAGAGCCCGAGCAGATCACGACAAAGGATGGGTTCTCAGACGAGCTTCTGCTCGAGTACTACACGAACCACATGCGGGTGTTGTCATCTGACCACAAGCCTCTAGATGCGGTGTTCTCGCTACAGTTTGACGCTGTCGTCCCAGACCTCAAGGCTGCTATACACAACGAAATAGCTCGCGAACTAGACCGCCAGGAAAATGAAGGACGGCCTTCCATAGCTGTTGTCGTTGAGCGCGCAACCGGATCGTCGTCGCCATCAGACGACAAGAACGCAACAGACAGCAGCTTCGACGGCGTAGACTTTGGTGATGTCAAATTCGCCAAGTCAAAACGAAGAAACATCACCATTGCAAACACCGGCCGCGTACCCGCGACCTTCGGCTTCGCAGATCGCCCTATCGAGGAAGATCAGGCCTCCGGCCCTTTTCCATCCTGGCTAAGTGTCACCTTCGATAAGGAACCAGACGCGCGCTCCAAATCCGGCCCAGATGACATTCAGCAGCGCTATACGCTCGCACCTGCCGAAGTCATCAACGCAGAATTGAAGCTCAAACTCAAAGACGTCAGCTCCGTGCGTAACCTGAACAACGAGTCCCAGTCTCTCGACGAAGTCCTCGTCCTGCGTGTCGAGAACGGCCGCGACCACTTCCTCCCCCTTCACGGACACTGGCAGCCCTCAGCACTAGCACGCACAGTCGACAAGCTGATCAAGATTCCTGAAGGCGGCATTAGGAAACTGCAGCACCAGAGCCCGAGCGCGAGCGAAACGGTAAAATGGTCAGTGCCTCGAGAAATATTCAGGCTGACGGAGGCGATAGAAGACTTGACCGAGCGCGCGCTCGCAGAGTGGGACATGACCAAAGCGACCGAGGACGCGCGGGCGCCGTGGATGGACAATGCGGGGTGGCCGTTCGTCAACGTACATAAGGACGGAACCGGCGCGTGGGAAGACGAGCATGAAGACGAGCTCGCAGCCCTCTACGACGCGCTGGATACCGACGCCCCCTTCGCGCCAGCCTTCGACCCTGCCACCCCTGCGCTGGAAAGAGTCGAGCTCCTGTCCACAGTCCTATTGACCTTCCTTTCCAGCCTCGAAGACGGCGTCGTCACAAGGGATCTGTGGAAACAACTCGAGGCAAGCATCGCCAAGCAGGAACGCTCTAAACAGCCTCTCGACCGCGACGACCAGAAGATGGCTGTCTTGGAAATCATGGCCGCGCAACCGCCCCACAACGCCACGTTTCTTCTACTGCTCTCATTCCTACAATGCATCGTCACCCGGATCACGAATGCGAATGCGCCAGCGCCTGATGCCCCGAGGAAGAGCGTGGAGATGCCGAGTAGCCCGCAGGCCAAGGTTAGAAGGAGGACGTTGAGCAAGGTTGCAGGGGAGGCGGTGAGGCAGCTGATCGTCAGGAACTACTGCGTGGTGTTTGCAGACGCGATATTCAGGGCCGAGGAGAAACGGGAAAAAGAGAAGGATAGGGCGGTTAGGAAGGAGAGGATGGTTAGGGTGTTGGATTTGTTTTTAGGGGAGAGGGAGTAGGATATGGGAGGGACGATACCATTTTGAAGCCATGAATGGAATAGAGAAGTTGCAAGCGTAGAGCTCATAGGATCCTCGGCCTATGACGAGTCTGCCATGAGCTCATCGTGTGGCACGGGTAATCTCGCAACCCAACATCTGCGAGCAACAGTGTTGTGTTGAAGAAGGGAAGCTCGACGGCAGGAACGACAAGGTGAGCGAGATCAGCGTCACAACCATGGTGATGGTGAGCGGATTCGAGGTGAGGGTGAGAAAGGGGGTGACCTCCGTGATGCTACATGTCTGACTACCGTCAGGCTGCCCCCCTTCCCAGAGACCGCAGTGCAACGCGGACCATCTCGGTGTGTTGCTCTGGCAATCTCATCTGCTCCAACCCATGGCGTTTGCATGATTGCAATCGAGCTGGGCATGATCCACCAGTCACGAAAGACGGGTGATTTTGCAGTGTCCCAGATTATCGTTTTGGTGGCCATCCAAAAGCCTTGATTGCATCCGTAGTGTCCCACGCACATACCGCGCTGCCCAACAAACAATGCTGAGAGGCATGGAAGCCACACACCTTTCCGCATAACGTCAAGCCCAGGCTCCGGGTCGATGGCAGTCGAGCACGCGTCCTACCTCAAACTGCCTGATCAACATTTTCCTCCTTCACACCCTCACCCTTGCCACCATTATCCTCATCATCATTCTGGACCGTCTCCTCAGACTTGGCGCCTTTCCTGGCCCTAGCCTTCTTAGCCTTTACAGGCGTCTCCCCGTCTCCGTCCTCCTCGCTACTCTTCCTCTTCTTCGGCGTCGCAGGAGCCTTGGTCTTTGCAGTAGCCTCCCTCGTCAACTCCCAGCCCATGTCCTCGTGCTTCTTCTTCTGTTCGGCACGCAGCTTGCAGATGCGTTGGCGGACACCTTGGAAGTTTGCGCCAGCTGTGACAAGATGTTAGCGCTGTCCAACTACGAAAGGAGAAAAGAGTAAGGGGAGACGGTTTAGTGACGTGCTGGAAGCTTTGGAATGGTAGCATTCGCGGGTGTTGTGGAGGGAACGTACCAGGCAAAGCAGTGACGAACTTCTCGTAGTCTGCGGTACCGATGTTGCGGCCAAGGGAGAGAAGGAGAAGCTTATCAAGCTGTCAGCATGGTTCAAAGCTTGAGAGGAGGCCCAGCACGTACGGTACGGTCATTTTCCGGGGTCCAACTGAACTTCTGCCTGGCGTTAGTAGATTGTAGAAGAAGAATGAGTACGTGAGCGTCATGACATACAGTCTCGACGTTGATGGCTGTGGCTTCAGCGCCCTGCTCGGTCTTTTTCTTGGGAGGCATGGTATTGGAAGATGATAGTGCGGGTAAAGAGACGCTTGCGGTGTTTGTGCAAGTCGCGTTGTAGTGACCAAGAGGTGCAAAGTACAAGTTGATCTTGAAGGCGAGGAACAGAACTTGTGACAGAGCTTATCAGGTCATGCGACCAGATGCTGCGGGACCGGCACCGTATCCATGGTGATGGTGAGGAGAGTTGAGGTGAAGGCGCGTTGCTCCTCCGCCCGCTGTGTTGCCTTGCAGAACAAGAGCAAGCGAACTTTCACCGTCCCATTCATCGCCAGAGCTCAAAGCCGAGCGGATAAGCCCAACTTGCCCGCCCATCTGCTTTTCCTCTTTCGTCTTTCACACTCAAAGCTCACGCCCAGTTCTCTACATCTGCCAGCACCGCGCTACAGCATCAAGACTTAGGATCTTTCCAACACCGCATCGCCAATCAACGTCCAAGATGCCTCCCAAGAAAGCAGCCACCGGTGCTACCAGCGAAGCTGGTGAGGGCGTAAGTACTCTTCCTACCCCTGCACAACGAAACACACGACTGACGTCCATGTAGAAGTTCACCTGGGAGGGCGCCAACGAGAACAAGCTGTTCCTCATCATCCTCGGCCGCCACATTCAGACCTCCGAGTTCGAAGAAGTCGCCAAGGCATTCCCCGGTACGTCTCTGCCTTTCCCATCACATTGCGCATTTCACTGACTTCCTCCAGGAGCAACCGGCGGCGCCATCCGCAACCGCATTGGCCTCCTTCGTTCCAAGCAGAAGAAGGTCTACGAGGAGCTTGGCTGGGAGCTGCCGAACGGCAATGGTACGTCTGCGAAGAAGGGCAAGGTCACTCCCTCCAAGCGCGCTGCTGATGAGGACGGCGAGGGTGGTGAGCCTGAGACACCTACTAAGAAGCCACGTGCGCCCCGCAAGAAGACGGAGACCAGGTTCCAGACTCCTGAGAAGAAAGACAGTGGTACCGAGGATGACGAAGAGCGGCTCGATGGTGTCAAGGAAGAGGCTGAGGATGACCAGGAAGAGCTCGATGGTGTCAAGGAGGAGGCTGAGGAAGTCTGAGACTTAGACACGGCTTAGCCTGTATCGACGCTTTGGTTGATGTTCTTACGATTCCTTGGCCTGAGTACCTCCAGACCTGGAGTTTAGCGTTGAATGGTTGACACGGCATTGGGTGTCGTCATCCGGTTCGCGTACAACGGACGTCGCAATGTCTTGCTGGCCTTTGGAGGACCTACAGACTTGGAGATGATACTGCGTTCCGTGTCAGCTAAACAAACCACATGGTATAAGAACATTAGTGCAGTTGTGAAGTGTGAATTGAAGCAGCTCGTAAGGTATCCCATAAACGCCATATGCCGTCTCTTTTCAGTCGGCTCCCACTAGCGCCTTGCAATGCATCGTGATGTTATCCGCCCGTTTGCACAACCGCCTATTTGTCGCCCTTCTTCTTACGCAGCGTATTTCCTGCGCCATCGAAGTGCTTCGACTGTTTCTGCTCGCCCTCATCAGCGCCCTCCTTGCTCTTGACTGGCTTGATCTCGTAGCCGAAGAAGAGCTTGCCCGGTGGTAGTCTCAGTGGCTGTGGGCCGTTTGTGCGTCGGACTGTTTTTGGTGGATTTGTGGACTGCCCAGCAATCGGGGTGGAAGCTTGTGGAGTGGGCGCCTTACTGCCCTTCTTCGACAACTTGTGGCCACCTGTGAGGAAGTTGGAGGATACAGCCTTTGAGCCAGCAGCCGCACTCGTTGCTGAGGGTGCAATTGCGGCGTAGTTGATTGCCTGAGCCATGGTGCCCTGAGAGTGCAGTGTTCCCCCCTTGCCAGCCATAACGTTCCGTGGCGTGCTAGTCCCACTTGTCCTCTCTGGCTCCTTGTAGCCTACCGGTGGCGCGAAGTCGACAGACAAGTCCGTTTCAATGGTGCACACTGCCTGGCTTGGGTGCTCTGGCTTGGCCTCAAGAACGGCAACACTGTACACGTTATCATTGTACGAGAAGGTGAAGATGTCGCCTTTAGTGAGACATGCGAAATTCCGGAAGGCGTTTTCGAGGACGGCCTTGGGGTCTGAGATCTCGAGGAACGACGAATCTTGGGGCTGCAGCTTGATGAAAGTTCCGAGCGGGATATCGGTCGACTTGACTTGTAGGAGGTCGCCCGGTTCGAGCAAAAGCGTCTGCATTATCTGTGATAGACAGTCAGCACACCATTGGGCCGTTGCTATGTTGACAACGTACCCAGTACGGCAAGTAGATCTTGCCCTCCTCCGCAATGAACTCCAGCACACCAGCATGAGTCTTCTTACCATCTTGTGCGCCGTTTATGAGCTCGAAGAGCATAGGGTATGTGATGTGTAGCCGTGTAAGCTTGTCGAGGGCGCTGGGTGGTAGGAACACTTTGCCGCCGTGGTTCGCATCTTCACGGTCCGGCCCAGGCAGCATGGCTACAGGGTAGCAGCGGAAGTATTCGTCAAAGCGTCGAGTAGGACCGCCACGACGCATGGCTTGGTACGCAGCCATAGGGTCGTCTTCGCCGTAGAAGTTGGGGTTGAACTGCGTCTGTTAGTGGAGGTAGCTTAAAGTGGTGGGGTAATGCTTGCCATGGTGGAGATGGTGGAGGGTGTGCCACTATCACGAAATCACAGTGCTAGTAGAGGGGTTGTGGCTTTCACCGCAGTCGAAAGAGGGTGCAGGGTACGAAGGAGTCTGACAGCAGATTGTCGAAAGTGATAGACAGGCAATGACGAACTACAGGTGAAGATGGTACGGCTGCCTGTTCAAACCAATCGCGCAGGCGCGTGAAAGCCCATGCTCAAGCTTCAGACGTCACGGGCATTTCAACTATTCACGAACACCAATCTCGAAGAATATTTCCAGTCTCCCACTATGGCCAGCTCTAGCGGCAAATTCAATCCTGCGCGGCCAAAGCGCGACGGCGACCACTTCACGCGCACACATCACCTAGATGCTGGCGAACCGTCAGCGAAGAAGCCTCGATTTGATCCACGAAACCCCTCCACGCTTGTGCAAGATGCGGAAGATGACGAGGACCCGGCGCTCGAAGCAGACGTGATTGGCAAGGGTGCAGGCATCAAGCGCAATGCGGTCAACATCGACGGCTACGATTCAGACAGCTCTACCGAAAACTTCGATGCCCGCGCAGAAGCAAAGAGCAAGAAAGTAGCACCGCCAGAAGAGGATGACGACGACATGTTTGCAGAAGACGACAAGAATAACGAGGAAGATGAGGACACGCGGAGGGATCAGACAAAGAAGAAGCAGCTAAGGTTCTTGGACAACGATGAGATCGAAGGCCAGGAAGCTGACAGTAAGGCTGGTGGTCATGTTGCTGTAGACTTCACAGGCAAAAATAAAGATACGGCAGATGTGGAGAGTAGTAGCGAGAGCGGTGACGACGAGGAGCGCGACCGTCTGGACTCAGACATAGACGAGGAGATAGGCGCAGGCGGCAAGAAGAAGCATGCTCCCAAGCTTGATGCCTTCAACATGCGCGCCGAGCAAGAGGACGGTCGTTTTGACGAGGCTGGCAATTTTGTGCGCAAAGCCTACGATCCAGAAGCTGCCCAAGATTCGTGGCTGGAGGGTATATCAAAGAAGGATATGAGGCGGGCCAAGGAAGCGCAGGACATGCGGGACGCCGAGCAGAAAGCACGCGAACGAGCTGAGGACTCGATCATCACCAGCGATGTCCTGTCGAACCTCATTGCGCGACTAGACGTTGGCGAAACACCCATGGAGGCACTGGTACGCTACGGCAAGGCAGCGCCCAAGAAACAGAAGCCTAGTTACAGCAAGAAAAAGAAGGGCCAGGCCATGGAGGTTGACGAAGATCCGGCTCAGGAAGCCGCAGCTGCTAAGGCTAAGGAAGCGATAGACACCATCACCGAATGTGCAAGCCGTCTCGAAGACCGTGGCATGGAGGATATCTACGAGCTTGAGCGCGAGATGATCATGCGGCTGTACAAGCGCGACACCGGTGAGGACTGGAAGAACCCACACCCAGAAGAAGTGCAGTGGGAGTTCCACTGGCTCAATGCCCTTGAAGGAGACATCAATGGGCCGTACGACCGGGCCACTATGCAGGCTTGGGAAGCAGCCGGGCAGTTCGCAGCTGGTGCTGAGTTCCGCAAAGTTGGCGAAACTGAGTGGTCACGACTCCTAGATTTTGATGATTGAAGCACTGCAGTCACGACGCCTGGATACCTGAATACCTCCATGCTTACATACGCCACGACACTTGTCTCGACGATCAAAATAACAAAACTACGCCACAAGGATAAACGGCCTTGGATTGTCGCAAATATACCGTTTTGTGCAACGCCGATGCAAGCTCCCACGACAGCGGAAGCGCCCGGCTACACTGACAGCTGCAACGATGCAGTGCTGCTCGCAACAGATAACGTGACCTGTATGCAATGCGGCTAAGCGATCTTACCAGTGCATTTCCCATGCATACAGCCAGTCGGAAAGAATAGAAAAGCGGATGACCATCGCGATCGCTCGGGGAGGCTGCAATGGCAGTCTCTGAACGCTAGCTCATCGAATGAAATGCAGTGCAGCATGCTGTGCAACCAGGATCTCGGCTCGATGTGACTCCTTTCGTGTACTTGTGCAGGTGGATCGATAGTGACCTCAACACGATGAGCCATGGATCTGCAGCGAGCAGTCATCGCCTCACGGACGAGAGAATGTCAGCCGCGTAATGGTCAATCTTGCTTTCTTTTGGGCTGCACCAAGAATCCAAACGTGACTTGAACACTGCTCAGTGGCAAGGGCAGCTGATGCCACCACCATGGTGCTGGAGGCCGTGCAATGGACCTCGTGCCCGGCTCAAGGTTTGCAACCCATCCTTACAGTACTTGATATAACTGACAGTGAATCCTAAGCCAAAGCAAAATTGTAGCCATCATTAAGACGTATCGAGGTAAAAATTGTTGTGCAATCCAGCTTTGAGGCCACCAACAAAAGCAGTATCAACGAAGACAGGGTACTGTCCACGTTCATGAGCGAGCTACAGGTGACGGCGCGAGCCATCGCGGCCCGTTAACTTCCAGAAGCCAAGAGAACGATTCGGGCCGGCGCTGGCATAGAGTCGAAACATGCTGTGAGCCATGCTGTGCGCGCGCAGTGTGCAATTTGAAGCGCGAACCTGGTCAAAGTTGCAGGCTGGAGGCACTCAATAGATAACAGGGGACCGTTGTGCAGGCAGAACAGGGCTGTATCGCCCAAGAGTCAAGACACATGATGATTGCACGAAAACCGTCCAGCTGCACTGCAGTGCAGGCGTTTGATTGGAGTCATGTCGTGAGAGCCAATAGTGCACGCAACTGCATGTCTCTGACCCTCGCGCTGCCGCTGTCCCCGGCCGGTAGATTGAAACCTTCGCTCATACAGTGTGCGCCTGTGGCCGTGGTGTCGACGCTTTTCCTGCAGCCGTCTCCCCGCCGTTAGTGTGGCTCGAGAACAGATTTCGCAAACCACATGAATGCCTCCCTCTTTTTCCGTCTGACCCCCAACCAGCCCCTTGCGCCGTTCACTTGATGTGTTTGGCGATTTGGCGACCAACCTTTGCTCTCTCTGACGTCCGCTTAGCCCGCCGCCCGTGACCCACCCTAAAGGCGGCTCATTACCAGACATCGCCAGGAGAAGACGAGCTGTGCTCCGCAACCCAGTCTCCGTAGCCCAAACGCACACCACGCCAACCGTCGACACGCCCACCAGCGCCCCGTGAGGCGTCTTCCCCTATTCCCACAATACTCTACACGGCCCTGAACCTGCCAGAGGCCCTGACAGACCCCTCGCCCACTCGCACCTCAATCTCGGACCCTGCCCGCTACGACTCGCGCTTCTTGGCGTTGGATGGTCCCTTGAGCCCTAATTATTTTCATCGCTGCAGACATCGCCGTGCCCACGACACCACCCGCCATGTATTCCACCTACGACCAGCAGTCGTCGCGGTCGCCCGGCTCGCACCGCAACCAGCCAGGCACGCTGAACAGGATGCCCTCGCGCCAGTTCGATGCCTACCAGCAGCAGCTCAACCAGAGCAGCCTGTACCCCCAGCAGGACGACCACCAGCGGGGCTACGACCAGCCTCGCAACTACAACGAGCGCCTCAACCAGACCGTCCATGCGGGCTACGGCTACGACATGGGCGCCCAGCAGGGCTGGAACACGAATGCCTTCTCCCAAAACGGCCTGGGGTCGATTGGCGGAGCTGCTGGCCAACGCATGAAGTCGCAGACGCGCGGAGGCGGACGGAGTGCGCTGCCGGCCGTACGTTGCTCCCACAGACTTGTCTAGGTTGTATCACTAACACACCACAGGGCTGGATGGAGCCACCGCCGCCGCAGCCCCAGGGCTTGCCTAGCTTTACCCTCCCCGGCCTGGGTAACGGAGCTTCGAGCGCCATGCTCAACACCAGCTACGGCCACGACGTCGACGAGGAGCTCATCCCCACCGCCATCGTCATCAAGAACATCCCCTTCGCCGTCAAGAAGGAGCAGCTGGTGCAGCTGATGACAGACCTGCGTCTGCCCCTGCCCTACGCCTTCAACTACCACTTTGACAATGGCGTCTTCAGGGGTCTGGCTTTTGCAAACTTCACCACCGCCGAGGAGACCGCTGCCGTCATCGAGTCGATGAATCACTTCGAACTGAACGGCAGGAAGCTGCGCGTCGAGTACAAGAAGATGCTCCCTCTTGCTGAACGGGAGCGTATCGAGCGTGAGAAGCGTGAGCGCCGAGGCCAGCTCGAGGAGCAGCACCGACCGCTGGGAGGACAACTGCACTCGCAGCCCTCCTTCGGCTCGCTCGCATCACACTCCCATATTCCTGCTGCGTCTCCATCGCCTGTCTCTGCTATGCGCCAGCAGAAGATTGGTATGTCACACACCGGCGCGTCCGAACGCGTCGCTAACGGCCCTGTAGACGTCGACCTAAACGATCCACAAATCCTGCAGTTCTACTCACAGCTGCTCCTGTTCAAGGAGTCACCTGAGCGCGACAGCATGACCTTCCCTTCATCCTTGGCACCCCCTCAACGCCGCATCATCCACACCCTAGCCCATCAGCTTGACTTGGCCCACGTGTCGAAGGGCTCCGGCGACACCCGCCAGGTTCACATCTTCAAAGTACACAACCAAGGCCTAAGCCCGCCTATGCCCCAGATGCCCACCAGCCACCCCACCGAGCAGCCAGGACGTCGCGGCCTGAATCGCGCTGCGACCACAGACTTCAGTGATGTTCGTGCATCTGAAGGATTCTACAATGCTTTCGGCAGGCAGGCTTCGGGTCTGCTCGGTTTCCCGGATTCTCCAGGCGGCCTGAACGCAGTGCCCAACCTTCGAGGTGCCAAGTCGTATGCGGATCTCCGCTCTTACACTCCTTCGCCTGCACCCTCAACAGCGAGTCACCCGGTCGGACGTCCTGGTGGTATCTCTCTGGAAGGCCTTGGATTCAGCGGCAGCAACACGAACCCCAACGGCACACCAACAGCAGGCTCCATGTCCCAGCGTGACGACGGACTACTTGAGAGACAACTTGAGCGCATGACACTTGGACAAACCTTCAATCAGAGCGGCAGCAGCCCCCGTTCATTGCGCCAGATGACATCATGGGAGAATCCCGGTCCTATTGGCGGCCACCGCGCCTTCAGCTCCAACTACGACGACCGCCCATCGAGGCAACCCCGTGGCCCGCTCCCAGAACGAGGCCAGGGTTTTAGTCGCCCGCGCCAGAATGGCCACCAAGGCCGCGGCAGCGACGAGCTCTCCTCGCAATCGAATGTTGAGATCCTCGTCGGCCAGTGAGCATCCTATACACACGCATTGCAACACGATCCACGCCACGACAACGTAACGCACCTACCGTTCATTGAATCGACACGATCTGCGAACAACCCACTATGAAAGACGATGACGTTTACGGCCAGCACAGACGGCACCCACAGCACAGGATTGACTTTACGACGTACGACGCATACGAAGAATGATGCTACGAGGGTAGAGAATCAGTATACTACAGCTCAACTTATAGCTACATTGGGCCCGCTGCCCCAATTCTATTTACCGGCATTTTGCTGCAATTTGGTTATCGAAGAGAAGAAAAGCATCATGAATATATATCGATCAGATCAGATTTATTTCTGTTTCTGCAGTTCTTTCCAACTTTTGGGGTTAAGGGTTTGATTTTGAGATGAGACTACTTCTGTATTATTTGTTAGGCATTTTGATTGGCATTGGATACTCCCTCTCCATTTCTGCTTGCTTTCTTTCTCTACTATTGCTCAATCGGAGGGTGAAGCCGCATTACAGCGCGCGAGTATTAATTAGGAATCGAATTCTGCAAACAGCTCCAGCTTCCTTTCATTGTCGACACCCGTCAAATGCACCATCCTCTTCAGTTGTCTCCGGACATTCAAGAGAGCAGCAGACCGTTGCACATCAGCTTACCAATCAGCTTACCAATCAGCTTACCAATCAGCACAACGAGTACACAAATGACCCCGTCAGTTGTTCAGAAGCACGTCTAATGTTCATGACAGCTACTATTGGAACACATTGTCAGTGTCCGAACCCATCGAGCTCGCCGTGCCTTTAAGATCTCCCAAAGTGAATGACACGGAACCTCACGATGCCTTCCAAAGTCTTTCTGTGCGACGGTTTTAACTCCATTGTATAACATACCATTGACAAACTCTAGAACTGGCGGCACAGGCTACATCGGTGGCTCAGTCCTGCACACAATCGCAACCTCGCACCCAGACTGGTCCATTACCGTGCTCCTCCGTCGCGTGCCTCCGAATTTCACTTCCTCCTACCCAAACATCAAGATCGTCAACGGCGACTACGATAGCACAGACCTCATCTCCAGCGCCGCAAAGGAAGCCAACATAGTCGTTCACTGCGGCGACTCAGATCACGAAGCCTCCCTTCAAGCGATCATCGCTGGCCTCCTCCGCCGCACAACACCAGGCCATCTCATCCACCTATCCGGCACAGGCATCGTATCTGACTGGGCATCTCCCTCCCACCTCGGGACCCTCAACCCAAAAGTCTGGTCTGATCTCGACCCCAAGGATCTTGAGGAGGTTCGCAGCCTACCCGACAACGCACTGCACCGCAACACGGAAAAGATCCTGCACGATGCTGTACGCAGATATTCGGACAAACTTCACATCGCTATCATCTGCCCACCAGATATCTACGGCCGCGGCAAGGGATTGGTGAAGATGCAGAGTGCGCTCATTCCGCTTTTCGTTAAAGAGAGTAGAGCGCTGGGGAAGGTGTTTTATTATAACGATGGCGCGAATGCGAGGAGTTGGGTCCATATCGATGACCTCATGCGTTTTTACTTACATGTCGTAGAGGCTGCGGCAGCAGACGATCCGCAAATCACAGAGCAATACTTTGGTGAGAATGGGTACCACTTTGCGTCGACACAGGAACATTCTCATATCGAGGTCGCAGCTGCTGTTGGAAAAATCCTGACCGAACGGGGTATTATTGAGGATGCAGAGCCGGTGAGGGTTGAGCTGGAGACGCTTGATGGTATGGCTAATATACCGGGGTTTCCGAAGTTGGCGAGGTATTTGTATGCCTGTAATTCGCGGACGGAGGCGAGGCGCGCGGAGAAATTGTGGGGGTATAGGGGGGAGGCGGTGGGATTGATTGAGGGGCTTGAGGGGGATGTGAGGGATGCTTTGGGTGGAGGTGAGAGATAAACTGGACTGAACAGATGGGTGGCACTTGGTGTGAAGTACGTGATGTACGAAGAGACCGGTACGGCTCTGCAGATTGTCTTCCTCTAGCAAAGGTATATGTACTACTCTTCAACGTCCCAATCTACCCAGTCTTTACCATATTCTGAGCCCAGTTGATCACCACAATCGGTACGACCATCCACTGTCTCGTACCTTTGACTCCCCAAAACAAAGCAAGGTCTGAGAAAGTTGAAATAATGTTCCTGGCTCGTTTTTCGCAATATACAAGGCCTCGTGCAACCGAAGATGATGGCACACACGTCACCTTCACGAGTGAGCGCCGGACTCAGACCAATATAGCCGCGCTGGGAAAGCATGAATTTCTTACCATACACATAGACTTGGATGAGGGAGTGGATGGGACTCGCAATGGCACCACCGTGTTTGTGAGAATCTCCGCTGTGCACATCGTAAGGATTCTCTAGACCCTCGACATATTTCGCAATTTGCAGCGCCCACGCGAAGGCATCTCCTTGGTGACGGGCGTGTGAGAGTTGAGAGGAACGTTCGTGACGAGTATGTGCCACCGTAGGGCGCTGCGAGGCTCCGCGCTTGCACCGTTGCCTAGATGTTTGCTAAGGCCTCTATGGTGATTGTGGTCCCGTCGACTACATTTGCTGCGAATCGTACGGGCTCGAGTATGACGCTACGAACTTTCAGGAGGATCTCATCTATCAGGACTGGTTCCTATATGAGCTCCGTACGTGAAGTCAATTTTGTATCTGGTAATGGTCATCGAGGCCCGCTCTACAGGTAGCCCCAGTCTGAAACCCACGTCGGTATGCCGGATTGTAACGACTGTGAGTTATGAATAACGTGGTCCAGGATGTTTAGGCTCTTCGCCACGCGTATGTACTGTGCTGCAAAGTTATGGAAGACTTCCAGAGTGGTGTCACCGTAACTTGGGAGCACTTCGATCTGGCAATTCTCTTCTATGAACATGTCGAGGAAGGCATACAGCCTATCGAGTGGGTCTTTCATACGCAATGTCTTTCCATAGGCAAGGTGATCTAATAGAAAAGATTTGTGCCGATTCTTTTGCTTCGAAAAACATTGCGTTCTCGCAATGTACCGGTCGATGTATGCCTCCAGGTGTATCCGAGCAAGGTCTTGCATATTTTGGGTCCCGGCTGCTACATCAGATGCCCGAGAGCGTACCGAGATAAGTATGAGCATGAGTCCTGCCTAATCAAACTCAGTTTGACCCCGTATTACTCGATCGTGCCGCGCCAGCGCCGCTTCTCGAACGACCCATCCACGAACGAACCATTATTGCCTCAACTAATGACTCTAGAGAGCCCCAGCGCATATCGTCCATGAAAGGAACTTCCTTGGCGTAGTATGGGAAGGACTCCCATGTTGGTGTTCGAATCTTCTCGAGCTCGTCTTTGACCATTTTCGTTACTTCTTCCAATAGCGTCTGCACATGCAACCGGTGTTCCTCATGATCATCGTCGATGTACATCAGAACGCATGTTCCACGGCGGTAAATTTTGCTCATGACCATTACTTGATGGCCTTCCTCTTTCAGATTCTTCTTATTGATACAGATCCAATCTGCCAAAGGGTTTGTGGGGCACTTTGCAGCCTTAGCCGATGGAGCACCATTGATAAGTTTTGAGTGACGAACAGTGCTTTGCCAACACAAATGATAGGGTGATCCAGATCATCAGTTCCATAAACGTACGATATAGCCTCGTATTGCGGTGGTTCGCCCATGAGTGAGGTATGGAGACTGCGCTCTAAGGGATCTTGGTAGCTGCCAGGATGGAGGGTAAGGTAGCGGAAAGCATCACCTGTAGGAATATCATCGTGGACTTATGTTTGTATCGACAAATTATCTGTATCGGACATATTTTAGGAGCCGCTCTCCCCGTTACAGAAAAGGCCCAATACAGGAGCATGACTTTTGGGCTCATAACACACGCTTCTGAAGGGGTTCAATATGGATTCGAGCACTGTAGAGAACCTACGGAATCGCCCTCGTCTTTTCATGATCACCCGGGGCCCTTCTCAAACGGAGTATCTATTTACTGGTAGCACTATGCTGTCAGAACAAAGTGCGATCGTTTGAATAACCTTGAAATGAAGTGGTTGAGGAAAGGAGGGTGAACCATGGAGAGGATCCACAAACCCAGAATATCTAACCATATCGGATCTAGGTCCATGGACCCTGCATCCAGACTTTATCAAATTCACGCATCTATCTACAATCTCTCTTCTCCCTCGAACAACAAAACAATCTCCACGATGTCGAACCCACCAGCTTCAAAAATCTACCTTCGTCCGCATAACGAGCCAGGAAGAAAACATGCTACCCGGACGTACATTATCTACTTCATCACCGGCAACCCTGGCCTCATCGAATACTACCGCACTTTCTTGACACATCTATACGGCCTATTGACACGCGACACTGCATCGAATCGCGATGTTGAGTTCCAAGTGTACGGTCGCTCGCTTTCTGGTTTCGAGATGAACAACCACGAAATCAACACTATGAAGTGGCACAAACTCCCCCCCTATGGCCTCCAGGACCAGATTCGGCATGCGGAGGATGAGCTCACTGACCTTGTGGAAGATGTCTCGGATGATGGGCACCGCGATGTAAGAGTTATTATTATGGGTCACTCCGTTGGAAGCTACATCGCACTTGAAATTATCCGAAGGCTGAGAGCGCACGGCATGGCTGGAGAGGATTGGGCGACGAGAATTATCGGTGGTGTCTGTCTATTCCCCACAGTTATGGAGATTGCAAGGAGTGAAAGTGGCCAGAAGGCAGCAGTAAGTGCATTGCATCATTACGCTCCCGTGCCCAGCTAACTATTCATGCAGCCTTTCCTGAAGAACTCCAGCTTCGCCTTCTTCGCCTCTGTAGTTGCCAACTTCTTGACTCTCCTAATCCCGCTCTCACTTCTGGCAACACTCATCAAATCACTCCTTGGCTTCCCAGACGACGCAGCGCACACCACAGCCTCCTTCATCAAGTCTCCCCATGGCGTCCAGCAAGCGCTGCACATGGCCCGCGATGAAATGTTCCAGATCGACACCGACTTCTGGGACGATGAAATCTGGGGTGCAGCGCATCCTTCAGAGCACAAGCATGAGCGCGCACATTTGCGCTTCTTGTTTGCCAAGAAGGATCACTGGGTCGCTGACGAGACGAGAGACAAGCTCATTCAAACTAGAGGGCGTCATGCCTCGTATGGTGTTCAGGAGGTAGATGGCCTCGGCGAGAACTGGAAGCCGGTTATGGATGTGGATGAGAGGGAAGGGTTCCCTCATGGCTTTTGCTTGCGTCACGGTGTACCTGTCGCAGAGAAGGCTGCAATGTACGTTGCGGACATCGTTGCGAAGGATACGGGAATCTTTGAGAAGAAGAAGGAAGATGAGAAGGGCTGGACATGGTAGTTCACAGCGATGGGAAAGGGATATTGGCATGCGGAGCATAGACATAGAGAGACGGCAAGGGAACGTCATCCGTCCAAATCACAGTTGATCATCATCTAGTCACGCTTATCCCAGTCCACTGGCCTCACTGACGTTCGTCACCTGCTCCTGCTCTTCGCTAGCTGCTTGTTGCGACTTCTTGTCCAGCTACATCCATGGTTAGCTTCAGTCTTGCAGTACAAATGTAAAGACTTACCCATTGTACAGCAGCCGTGCAAGCAAAAAAAGCAAACACAACCACAATTATCGTGATGTATCCCTTCTGCCAATACGGCGCATCAGTCGCCGGATACAACGCAATGCCCCAGAACGTGTACAGTATCGACTGCACCATGCTCATGACATAGAGAATGACCGAGCGCGATGCGTCATCACCGCCGCGCTGGCAGATGACACTTGCCCAGCCGTACAAGATGGGGTTGACAATATACGAAGTGCCAGCGAGGTAGAATGCAAAGAACGTTCCGGCAGTAGAGAGGTTAGGGATGAGTAAGAGGATGGCGACTAAGAGCTGCAATGTGCCAGCGAGTATGACCATGGGTATGCGTCGGTTTGTCATGTCGATCACATACCCAGCACCGATGTTCGAGACGATTGATACGGCTTGAATACCGAGCGGGTAGGTGGTCGTAGCGTAAGACGGAAACTTCTCGATGTTGGCCTTCATCCAGAGCAAGAAGAGCCCTTGCAGCACGATCGCCTCAAGCGCACATCCGATGATCGAGTACAAAGTTAGGATGTATAAGTTTGGTGAAACGAACAGTCGCTTGCAGAGGGACTTGATGCTAATGTCATGGCCCCAGTTCTTCTTTGGTGGGAGACGGTCAATGGCGAATTGAATCTCTTCCTTGCTGAGGTAGGGGGCGTTGGTTGATTCGGGAAGATTGGGGAAGAAAGCCAGGCCGAAGATACCGAATGGGATGCCCATTGCGCCATCTGTGGTATGATTAGCATGAGAATCTTATAGCAAAAGCTTACTCGTACTGATGATGAATACCCATTGCCAACCTGCAAGTGCTGTCTGATCATGTAGACCTTGATTCATGGCAGTCATCATGACTCCTGCGAACATGCTACCGATCTGGCCAACCGCAGTGAAGATAGCAGTCCGTTTCGCGATCTCCAAAGGCTTGTACCAGGAGCCCAGGATGTAAATCGTGCCACTGTACAGACTTGACTCGAAGAAACCTTGGAAGAAGCGGACTGCGCAGAGCTGCTCGTACGTTTTGCATGCAGCGCAGCATATGGTCAAGCCAGACCAGACTAGAAGGGTGAATGGGAGCCAGAAGCGAGGTGCGACTTTCTGGATGATGAGGGCGTGTGGAATTTGACCAACACAGGCACTGCCATATGTCAGTACTGGTCTTTGATGAATGCTTTTATCAGGGTGTACCCTGCAGTGAACATGGCAACCAGGATGCTGTATTGGTTGCCTTCGAGACGGAGGGACTCCTTGAGCCCAGAGACCTGAACAGTCAGATATCAGAGGGTCTCTACAAGATTTTGATTTTGAGGCAAGCATACATATGCATTCGCGAAGGCAGAACGATCTGTGGCTGTCAAATCCCTACGCTATAGCGTTGATTGGTCACACTGACCTAAGTAGTTAAAGAAGTACGCTGCGCAGCAATACACCTGTCGAGTTTCAGTACAGAGCAGACCCTGAGTATGCCATGAATTCTACCAGAATGAAGCAATCTACGACATGTTAGCCGCTATTTCACAATTGTAGTGATACACACACCAAGCTTGCGAACCAGACGCCTCTCAACACTCAATCCTGCCATCGTGCTCAGAGAGGTACTCAATCTCGAATACCCTATAGCACGATTCTGTGATACAAACATCGTCTTTCACAGCACTAGGAACAACTCCGGCACATTATCAACGGCTGGCCCCGAAGTGGACCATTTTACCATACGGGCACCATGCTGGACGTTGGAGAGCCAATGAAAACGTGCTCTTTGCTAAGCGGCAGCCGCGTCGCGAAAAACTGTTGTGGCGACTGGGGACTTGGCTCTTGGCTTGAATGAATGTCTCCTTCTTTATCGGGCGAGGTCCTGTGGATCTTTGGCAGGCATTTTCGAGGAGTTGTGGAGCCGACAGATGGGGTCAAAATTCGGCGAGACCCCGCGGCTGAGCTTGAACGACAAACCTCATCATCACCATCATCGTATAATCAACAGATATCTTGAGCACTGATTTTAAGATGCTTGTGGCAAAAGCAACGTTCGTAGAATCACAAGAGACAAGGTCACGAATGTAAGACAGTAGTACGGGAAATCGATGCGCGCCCGCAGGCAGCAGCAGAGCTCAACCATGGAACCACAATCACACAGCAAATACCACATCTCCAAAATATTCTCATTCGTTAATTTCTCTCTTGAAACACCAAGGCTATATTGATCATAGCCCACCATCTCAAAATGGCGTCTCCATACCCACCATCCCACACCGTCCCCCCTACAGCACCCCACACACACACCATAATCTTCCTCCATGGCCGGGGCTCCAACGCAACAGAATTCTGCTCCGAGATCTTCGAGTCGCAAGACAGTTCCGGCGCATTCTTCACCGAGTTATTCCCCTGCATCAAATGGGTATTCCCCTGCGCGGAGAAGAGATGGGCTGTAACGAACGAAGAGGAAATGCACCAGTGGTTCGATATGGCCTCAGTCCAAAGGCCGCAGGAAGATTGTGAGGTTCAGATATCTGGGCTGCATGAGAGTAGGCAGCAGTTGTTGGAGATTGTTGGGGAAGAGGCAGAGGAAGTGGGTGTGGAAAGGATGATTGTGGCGGGTATAAGTCAAGGCTGTGCGACCGCTATCTACACACTTCTTATCAGTGGTGTTCGCGTTGGTGGGTTTTTTGGGTTTTGTGGGTGGCTGCCGTTGGCATATGAGATACAGCGTCTTACGAGTGCGCCAAGATGGAATAGGAACGTGTTGAGCATGCCGGTGCTGCTACAGCATTGCCAAGACGATACGGTTGTCCCTTTTGAAAATGGCGAGGTATTGAGGGACAGGCTGCGAGGGTTGGGGATGCAGGTGCAGTGGCAGAACTACGAGGAGGGAGGGCATTGGTTGGATGAACCAAATGGCATGGATGGGGTTGTGTCGTTTGTCAAGAAAGTTACGAGCGGCTAGGGCTGGGAACTTGAATGATGGGGTGCTGGAGACTTACTAGGCACAGGCTTGAAATCGGACAGAAAGAGAAGCATGTCTCCACGCTGAAAATTGGCGGTCAATTCTTCGGACTACTCTATATGGTAATCTTCCCATTCCTCAACGCCTGAAGGTCTTCCAGTGTGAACCTCACATACGAGTTTGCACCCGGCTTGGCCCACAGCACCACGTCTTCCTGGCTATTCGGTACCTTCTCGCCATACTTGTCGATCTCGATGCCCTCCAGCCTCAGCGGCCCCTTATTCTGTTTCTGATTATCCGTGTTGGATCCGACAAGGATTAATCGCAGGAAGACCGGCACCGCGTACCGCGGCAGCTTACTCCTGCTGTAATCGAGGAGCGCTTTCCAGTCGAACGTCTTAGCGTCTACGCCATCTGCAAGTCGCAGTGCGACACAACCAGCTCGGCCGTCGTGCTTGGGTACAAGCGCCCCGTACACGATAGCTTCACCGATACCTGAGTATTTCCCGAGTACCTCAGCGACTTCTGCCGTCGAAACGTTCTCCGACTTCCAGCGATACGTATCGCCCAACCTATCCAGAAAGTACCACCGCCCATCATCGTCTCTCCTTAGCGCATCCCCAGACCGATAGTACAGATCACCCTTCTTGAACACGTCCCTCTCGAACTTCTTCTTCGTTGCAGAAGGGTTGTTGTAGTACCCCGCAAACGCCTCTTCACTCGGTACACCAACCAGAATCTCTCCACCCTCATTGTACGAATTCCGCCTTACGAAACCGGTCTTGGGATCGCGCATCAACTCGCCGGTCTCGGGGTCAATCGACACGGGAACGTACACATTCTTCAGCGCCTGCCGGATTATAGCGCCATGATGTCCGACTGTGGCGTCTGTGAACGGGCCTTTGGAATGCACGACCATGGCCAGCACACCTTCGGTCGAATTGAAGAACTCAATGACCTCGGGGACATTGAAGCGCTCTTTAAACCGCGTCCACACATCTGGGCGCATCCCGTTGCCGTACATACCGCGCAATCTGTGATCGCGCTCTCTCGGGTGCGGCGGCGCCATGAGCAAGTAGCGAGCGGCTTCACCAACGTACACGAACATCGACGAATCAGAGTCGTGGATGTCGTCCCAGAACCTGTTCGTGCTGAACTTCTTGCCAATCGCAACGCTCATACCGCCCGTGAGCGCGGCCATCGCGGCCAGTCCGCCCGTGCCGTGGAAGAGTGGCATGCAGCAGTACCATCTGTCGCCATTGGGCCCGGCGGTCTGGTCGAAGGCCAGTTTATCCGGGTTGCCGCGCTCGTGGTAGCGGTTGACCATGAATTTGCCAGCTTTAGGGAGCCCGGTGGTGCCGGATGTGTAGAGCAGGCAGGTCGGGTCGAAGCCGGTTACGTTTTCGCGGTATTCATCGCCTGGGACTTCGGTGCGGCCGGAGTAGATTTTCTCGAGCAGGGAGGAGTTGACGGTGAAGGGTGTGACGCCTAGCTCATTTTCGACTTTCTCTCGGACTACTGAGAAGCGCTCTGCACACTCGGCGTCTGCGTCTACAAGCACCAGCTTTACGTCTGCGATCTTGAGACAGTGGATCATCGCATCGCCCCTCAGGTTGTAGTTCAGCATAGCAGGTGCGCAGCCAATGCACCACAGACCCATCCATATAACGATGAAGTCGGCCGAGTTCGTGAGGTATGTACCGACCATATCACCAGGCTTGACGCCCTGCTCGAGGAAGAAGTGTGCCCATTGCACGGCTTTGTCATGGACTTCTTGCCATGTGTATATTTTCTCGCGAGACCAGATGCAGAGCTCGTTTGCGTATCGGGGGACGTGGGGGGTGAAGGAGTACCAGAGGCACTGGCGTTTAGTTCTTACTAAATGCCGTGGAGGTTAGCAGAGCTCCGTACATGGACTCGTACACAACCTTCTGGTGTGCTGGAGACCGAGACATGTCCTTGAAGAATTCGTAGCTTTCAAGCTCCCCAATAGAGCTATGGCAACAATTTGGTTCTGGAAACCTCCACTATAGGCCCAAAGTCCGTCGAAGCAGGACATGATTAGAGCTATATCGTACGTACCGAGCTCCGCATAATGCTTCTCAGCACCCTTCTTGAACTTAATCGTCCGCAAGTCCTGCCCAATATGGTACTTCGCATTGACATACGCCGCAAGACTCGAAATAGCTGCCACCGAGGCAGCAGTCGCAGCGACCGTCATTGTTCCTACTCTTCCCTCGCCTTGAAGCTTCCTTAGATCAACGCTACTGCCGGAACGCAGAAAGTGAGTGACCTGAAATTCCCGAATGCACAGCACTTCAATATAATGGCGATGAAGTAGAGGAACACAAAGAGAAGCAGGACCTCAGTAACAACGTTCGAGTGAGACGAAGCAAAAGCAATTGACGACTTGAGGGATCTCCAAGCTCCGAAGCTGGTCGCTAAAAAGATGCCGAGGTCGACGTCGTACGGGCACTAGCGAATGCGGGGGTGCGATGGGGCGTTGATCGTGGCGTTCTGGGGTGCGGGAAGAGCTGACCCGAGGCTGACATGCAATGGAAACGGAAGGGGTTGGCTGTTGTGCTTAGGTATGCGTTGTGGCTCTTGGGCTTCAGCAATGCATGAGGGATGAGGGGATGCGGAGTGGTGTATGAGGTCTGATGGGTTTAGTTGAATGATTTTGGGTATCACAATATTTGACACCATCTGTACATGTACTACATGAGATCTCGGATTCTGCTATATCGTGGCTACTTTCTAGAGTCAGAGTCCGACATGCATGTCGAGGTCTCGGACGCTCTCTGCCCTGACAATTTAATACATCGTCTATGACACAGCCTTCTTGGGTTTCTTGCCAATGTTCTCCGTGCCTGGCGGTACCTTCAATCCACCGAAAACGAGCGCGCATACAGCGACCATGCCCGCGGCGCCAGTCGCGTATGCAGTTTCGCGACCTGCCCACCAGTATAATGAGCAGAAGATCAGGGGCCCAAGAGCGCGACCGACTTGTCCTTTGAATTGTTAGTATCGGGAAGTGTCCCATTGTTGGTGGGGATGGCCTACCAAAGCTCCTGTGGTTTCCAAGCTTGTTTCCCCTCTCATCAGCACTCGCCTCGAAGCTGCTCAAGCTGTTCAATCCTGTCACAACTGTTGCGCTTGTGACCGCAAGTAATGCTGCAGCGCCGTACAATGCGCCTTGAGTCTGTACGCGACCTAGGAGCACGAATGCGATTGTGCAGGCTACAACGCCCATCTGCACGACCTTTAGCGGGTGCATGCGCCGGACTACGGAACCCTGGAGCAGCGATGCTACGAGTCCAATGAAGCCAAGGAGGCGACCGGTGTCTTTGGCTTCGTAGGAGAAAAGGTCGTATGTCATGAAAGGCAGGCTGAACTCCATGCCGCTGAAGAACAGGATGAACGTGAAATGCGTAGCGTTGAGGAGGGTGTGCGAGTTGGTTCGGACGTGCGGTTTCGATATCTCGACCTTTGCGTGCCCGTTGGTTTTGCCGTTGGCGGTAGGCGCGGCCGCCGCTGGGAGGGTTTCTGGGAGGCAGAAGTAGAGGTAGACAGATTCGGCGACGATCAAGAAGAGTGAGAAGCCGGCAGCCATAGCGAAGGGGTTCTTATCCATGACCTGTAGAGTCGAAAGGTATGCGCCCAGCGCTGGGCCAAATGTGAATGCAATGCTGAAGCACACTCCCACAAGCGCCATTGTCGCGCCTCGCTGGCTCTCGTCACTAATATCTGTTGCCATCGCCATAGCGAGCTGCACGTTACCCTCGCTCAACCCTCCAACTATGCGACTCGCCAGAAATGTGCGGAAGTCGGTGGCTGCGACCCAGAGCGCAACGCTGAGCATGTTGCCCGCCATAGACCACAGCAGTGCTGTCCGTCTGCCATATTTGTCTGACAGTGTTCCAATTACTGGCGAAGCAACAGCCTGGCAGAGTGAGAAGAGGGATCCGAGTGCTCCGCCAAGCAGGACGATGTCGTAGCGAGAGATGATGGGTTTCGCAAACGAGTTCTTGTAAGCATTCAGACCTGCGAGGATCTTCGAGAGGATTGTGTTGGGGTCGCCAGTTTCGTGATTGCGGTAGAATTCGAGGAGCTTGGGGAAGAGAGGGAGAATGAATGTGAATGATATCTGGAGCCTTTGTTAGCAAGGATCAACGGTGATACGAAAGGGCAATGACGTACCAAGTCAAGTAGCAGAGAAATGAACAACACTTTTAACACCCTCTTCCGCAGCGCCGGAGACACCGGTAACGCGTCTGCACCCATCTTGAAGCGTGCCTTGCGTAGTGTATAGGAGTGAGAGCGAACAAAGAAGTTGACAGCGTGGAAGGCTAGCTGTCAGCTGGGTTAAAATACTATACACTATAGTAGCGACCGGAAAGAGGGGAAGGACAGATCCAGTCCTGAAGATCCCATGAGCTAGAAACAGACCAAGGTACAAGTATCAAGGAAGTAAATCTGTCAAACCAGCGGCGAACTGCAAGCTCTGTCGGACCATGACGGAGGTGGGACCGCGCGAGCTGATGGTCGTGAAACGAGGGTGGAGAGCCAATGATCGCCATGACCTGTTTGCGGCTCTCAGGCACCACAAGTTCTGTTTCAAGATGCACGTTTGCACAGATTTCAGGCAGCTAAGGCAGCTCCACCAAACTACCTCAGGGCTATTGTTTCGAGCATCGCAGAGGTTATGTGAACATCTCCTGGACGGATTTGCAGTAGGAAGTGGTGCATGCGACTCGTTTGTGAATGTCGAGAGAGCGCGCTGCGGGTGGAGCCGAGGCAATCCCTCGAGGTTCACGCTGATCCCCGCCGCCTGTCGAATCATATCGCCGACCATGTCAGCTGTATGTAGCCACGAGCCGTGAACGTCGATTGCAGTGTTCAATGCGAAGCTCGAATAGCCACAGGTGCATCGTGACGACTTTCAGCGACCATGAGTGCGGATGAAGGGAAGAAGAAGGCCAGGGCGGCTGTCCAGGCCACGTTCGACAGGTACAAGCTACTGGCTTCGAAGCGGCCTCAAGATCACATCGTGAGTAGTCTTATATCGAGAAGGAAGCTTCATAAGGCTGATAAGAGCTAGGACTTTGACCGCGAGGTCATGAACAACATGAAGGTCATAGATGCTGGGCCTGAAGGCTCCGTTGAGTACGAGCTATACATTGCACCCAACTTCTCCAATCTCAACAGTAAGAGCTACGCATAATAACGGACCGACATCCTCAACTGATACTTCGCTAGATGTCATGCACGGCGGTGCGGCTGGCGTCATCTTCGATATGTCGACCACTACCGCCTTGTGTCCAGTTGCCCGCCCTGGTTTTTGGGAGTTCATGGGCGGCGTAACGCGGACGCTCAACATCTCATACCTGAAAGCAGTACCAATTGGTACCACAGTACGGCTGGTTAGCAGGGTAAAGAACGTAGGTAAGCAGATGGCCATGATCCGGGGTGAGATGACAAGTCTTGATGGAAAAATCACCTATTGTACGGCTGAACATCACAAGGTGAATGCTCCTGTGCTGCCGGAACATTTGAGTGCGAGGATACCCTGGGACGATGAGTTTGAGAAAGAATGGGGGGTTGTGAAGGGAAAAACCGAGGTAGGCGTGAAGAGCAAGATATAGACCAACGGAAGATTCGAAAGGATGCGCAGATGTCGTTGATTGATGTATTGTATGTACTTGATACCTGCTGTACAGACCTGGCGTTGGCCAATCCTGATGAAACGCCATCCAATGCTTTCTTGTACAGTAGATATACAGTATCTTCGGGGGGGGGGGGGGATATCTCGTGGCGTCTGTCCGTCTACTTCCTCTTGTTGTACTTCTTCGACTCTGCAAAACGTCAGTACTCGATTCTAATCTCCTAAGTTTGCCAAAAGACGCACCAGCAGCTGTCCTCTTCTTCTTCGGCACCGACTTTCCTCGTGACCTCGCAACGTTAAGGTGCTCGAGCCAGTCTTCCTCCTCGTCATCCAGAATCTCGTTCTCGGGGTACAGTGATCGCAGCTGGGCGATTGTCCCTATCCTCGGTGGATAGTAGGATGCGACTGAGGCACCCTTGAGGCGCTGGCGCATAATGTGGGATCCGATGCGGACGCGCTCGGGATTGTAGGTGGTGTTGAAGACGCGGCACGACGCCTGTGATGGTTAGAGAGGCAACCGCATTTGCTTGTAAACAATTCTTGCCTTCATGAGGTCCAGTACTCTCGCCCGTGGGACCGCCATCTTTGCGCAATAGGTGTTGCCCTCGGTGGTGTTGCGGAGTTCAATTCATCGAGGATTTGGCTTGGCGACGCTAAAAATGCGGACCACCGATGTCATTTCTCTGTGCAGCTCGAGTCCAGCAGCCCTCACCACATCTGAGACATCTTCAGCATGTCGCAAAAGCGCGGTGGCTCGTTCAACCACTACGAAAATCGCGACCGATTCGACAAGCGCAGCCGTCCAAATCAGCCCTCATATAACTCCACGTCCTATGGCAACAGTAACCGCGATCCACGACACGGGTACCCGCAACAACGCAGCCATGGCCACCAACAAGCCCGTGGCGGCAACAGTGCTGCCTTTCAAGCTGAACTGTCCAAGGCAGAAATGCAGACCGGACTTGTAGCATTGCTCGATCGATTCGTCGCAGACGAAACGAGATCTGACGCCGACCGCGACATTCTACACCACGCCAGCGAGCTGCGTAGACTCCTTGCGCGCAAAGAAAACCCAGCGTCTGCAACATCACAACGCGAACTCGACGAAAAGCGACCTGGAACAGCGCCGAAGGTTGCAGTACCCCCATACGTCCACCGCAAAGTTCAGGAAGCCAAGGACCTTCCACCACTCCCGCCCATCGACGAGCCTCACATACACGACGCAGTCTTTACGCACCGCTCATACATTATCAAGAACGGCGAGAAGGGCACCTACACCGATCTTGAGCTCGACTATGAACGCCTCGAGTTCCTCGGCGACGCCTACATCGAGCTCATTGCCTCGCACGCCCTCTACAGCCGCTTTCCCCACGTCGACGTACCCCAGCTATGCTCTTGGCGAGAACGACTTGTAGAGAACTCCATGCTGGGCAAGTTCTCGGAAGCATATGGGTTTACAGACCGCTTACGGCACCACAATCAATGGGACCGCAATTCAAAGGCGTGGAAGAAGGTCGTCGCTGACGTGTTCGAAGCCTACGTCGCCGGTATCGTCCTCGCAGACCCTCGAAGCGGATACGAGACTGCAGACAAGTGGCTCACAGAGCTGTGGGCACCCCAGTTGCTAAGCTTCAAGGAGAAGATCATCGAGGATCCACACGCAAAGAACAAGCTCGCTGCACTAGTCGTTGTCAACGATATCAAGCTCGAGTACCGTGAAGAGCGCCCTATGATCTACGAGAAGGGTAGTAACTTGCAGAAGTACTTCATGGGCGTGTACTTGACGGGCTGGGGATACCAGGACGAACGGTTGGGCAGCGGAGAAGGACAGAACAAAGCCAATGCTTCATCAGCGGCAGCCGCTGATGCGATCAAGAAGAACAGCAGTGTGACGCAGGATGCAGCAAGGCAGAAGGCCGAGCTGGTTGCCAAGAGGAGGGAAGAGAAGGCACAAGCCGAGGCTGAGGCTGCTGCAAAGGCTGCTGAAGAGGGTACGACAGAGGAACCCGGAGCACAAGCAACTGGAGAGAAGATGGACAAGAGCAAGGACAAGAAGAGGGAGGGGGAAACAGCAGAGGCTGACGAGATGCCCAAGAAGAAGCACAAGAAGGACAAGAAAGAGAAGAAGCAGAAGGATTCGACTGAGAGCGAATCATCGATATAGGATTCCTTTGATTCACGCTTCGGCGGATACTACGACATGCTTACCCAGCAAAACTCGACTTTCGATTGATGAACCAGTCCGGTTCGGCGATATCTCGGCACTCTCCAGCTATCCACATTCATGCGCTATACCCGAGGAGACACATCAAGGCAGAGTCATCATACGTAGGTATCTAATGCATATAGAGCTTCTTCCCTCTTTTTTAACTTCGTATCGCTGCATGACGAGATGCGCAAAGGCTACCGTAGCCTTGAACAGAAGCTCTTCATTGTGAGGGCTGATGTGCAAGACTTTCTGGCTGCTGAGATCCATGGCTCCTTGAAGAGTCTCTTAGAGTGTTGTCGTCCTAGTTCTAAGACTCCGCAAATATCCAGGTGTCTACGCACCGTGTCTGCATAGCATGGCGTAAGAGCGATTATGCGAATGGCAAGAGGAAGTCAGGAATTTGAAATCCCTCACGCATCCTCACATCGTGTCGCTGATTGGAGCGTACGAGGACAGACCACCTTCCAGAAGACCTTATTGTATACTCATGTCTCCAGTTGGCGGAAGCAATCTGGCGAACTTCCTAGAAAGAGTCAGTAGCCCCGAGACGACTTCAGAGTTTAGGACTCAAGCAAGAGTCTATATACGCCGTTGGTATGCTTGTATAGCATCTGTGTTGAGCTGCATGCACGGCAGTGGTGTCCGCTACCAAGACATTAAACCATCCAATATCGTTCACAGAGGAGATCGAGTCTTCTTTACAGATTTCGGCTCCTCTTCAACTTTCGACATCGATCACACGACATCGACAGACGCCCATGCACGTTTGACTGCCATGTATGGCGCCCCAGAGATGGTACTTCACTGTGGAGAACACGGGAGGTCGTCAGACATCTTTTGCCCTCGGCTGTGTGTTCTGCGACATGTTGACAGTCATGAGAGGCAGAGCAGTTTCAAAATTTCAAGACTATCTCCGCGAAGGTGACGAGGAGAACAGTAGGGGCCCCCGCGCTTTCCTCGGCTCTGGCGCACAACTATCGTCAATACGGCAGTGGTGTGCTGATTCCTACTTCTTCAAAGTGTATCTCAGCCATGCTGCGGTCCGATCGGACTTTGCGACCATCTGCAGACGATGTAGTCAAAAGTCTTGCCTTACATAAGCACGGCATCTCAGAATGTGAATGCGCACTGGAACGAGTGCTTTAGACTGGGTCACTGAGTAACGCGGATGGAAGGGTGTACCATCACTGGATGAAACAAGATTTTTACTTTGACTTGACTTCAGACGGATGTCTTGTGAATATATCGCCAGACGATCCGCACGAGGCCAACGATACCGGTCCACTGCAGTAGCTGCAAGATGTAGGGAACGATGGCTCTTGACACCGTCCGTTTCGAATCTGGTGGCCCGTGTTTGATCTACCGATCTTAGTAACTGAGAGGCTATATGTAGAGGTGTGAGTAGCTTCAGGAATCGAGCAACAGCTTCTTTGATTGTACAGAACATGGCCAAAGCTTCATTCAATATGCTCATTCCAACAGTTCAAAAACCACTGTCAACGCTAAGTATGCTGCAAGGGTATCATAAACAAGTACACCATCAATCCCTCCTCTTCCCTACAACCCCTACTTCTTCCCCAGCGCATCCCCATCCCCCTCAAACATCCACTTGTCATCCTCCAAGCGCGCCACCTTTTTCGCCAAGCTCGACTTCAACGCAGTCTTGACCTCAGCCTTCACAGCCTCCTTATCCCAATGCGCGTTCTGCTGCCCGTAGAGCTCGATCATCTGGTTTTCCTGCTCTGCTTCGCATCAGTACTGCAGCCCAAGCCCGGCTCAGTCTGCCTCTGAAGAGGAAAACGACATACCAGTCTCTTCATCACTTTCCCTCCCATTACCCAGCCCTAGCGCCATGTGCTTGTACACCGTCTGCGGCGCATACAGCGCATACTCGCCGTTTGGCGCCCGCTCGACCAGCTCGTCTTCCATGGGCTGCTGGAATACTGTAGCTGTGTCAGGACGTACGGCGGTTGGGTTCTGGCGTCGTGTGGGATGGAAGAGGTTGCGACGGGCGCCGGGGGGTGGTCGGACGGCGCGCGTGTGGTCCATTGTAGGCCAACTGTGTGAATGTGATTGTTGTGTGTAGGGGGTGGGGTCACGAGACTTCGGATAATGTCATGTGAATCGGAACCGGGCAAGGATTGAGGTTTGTTTGTTTTGTTGGTGTGCTTGTGGGTTGCGGTGATGTTTGATGTGGGGCCGCCGGAGGTCTTGCGGGGAAGTGGAGCGCGTCGAGCTTCAACTTTGGTGACGACGTGCGTGACTAGGAAACCCAACGGCACCTCCAGGCTGCAATTACGCGAGTCTGAACGCGCCGAAGCTCCATTTCTCCGTTCTGAATCTTCTCCCAAGCTTCAATGCGACATCGACCAACGATCACCACCGACCAGACGTCCTAACCACGTGACCACCAACGCCGATTGCTACAGCAAGCTATTGCGAAACAATTGCACCTATGAGTCTGGCCCCCAGCATGGCAGAGCACACTTCAAATACGAGTGCTTCGGCCTTAGCCCAGAAGCCAGCCAGCCCTCCTTCAGAGGACGAGGGAAATTCACCGCCGCGCAAACGACCACGAACTAGAGCCCCGCCTCAGATGGCAGCGTCGAATGCAGATGTCGCGGATTTTGCGCCCCAGCCCGAACCTCAGCCTACACCGTCAATCGCTCCGCAACTTGCACAGACTCAGCCCCCCGAAGTGCATCGTTTCCCCATACAACCGCTCAATCGCTTTCAAGGCGCCTCGGCGAGCATAAAGCGCCCACGCGAAGTCGCACACTTCTCCTACGACGACAACCATGAATACCGAGACGACGAGTCCAGTATCAACTACTACCTACCGCCACCTGTGGGCGCAGATCTGAAGGAGGGCTTCGACACCTTCAGACACTACGAGGAAAAGGAGGACCCACATCTTGACAGTCTGCTCAAGGCGCTGGCACACAAGGAGAGCAAAGACACGGAAGGCTCAAAGACCAAGGCGGACTTCGTGACCTGGAGAGGCATGATGACGAAAGTAAGTTGAAGGAGCCCAAAGACCACGATAACGAGGTGAGCAAGACCACTCTTCTTACCTAATCCATTCCGCAACCCTCCACTAACACATCACAGATCATGACCGCACCTTACGACACTTTCGCCGAGTTCAGCATGTTCGCGACCCTCCACGACGGCACGATCTACATTGAAGAAGACTTCCCCTCGCGCTCCGCCTCCCGCGCTGCCGAATCCTCGCGTCCCCCACCACGACACCTACACCCAGACCAGCAATCCCAAGCTATGATGTCGTACTGGGGCTACAAATTCGAAACGCTCTCTTTGATCCCCACACTGCCGTCCACCACGCCACCAGACCAGATCCGCAAACACCAACAGTCCATAACCTCAAACCACGCCCAGCACTGCTCTATCGTACATACGTCATTCGGTCCGCACTCCCTCCTCCTCGGCGGCGAAGTCGACGGTCTCCTCTCCCCCAAACCCACAAACCCAGACACACCGATCCCCTGGGTGGAGCTCAAAACCGCCGAAGAACTCCCCCCACCCGCGCGACAACAGCACCGCGACATCTTAAAATTCGAGCGGAAACTCCTTAAGTTCTGGGCCCAGAGTTTTCTCCTCGGCGTCCCGAGGATCGTGGTCGGGTTCCGGAGTAAGAGCGGGATTCTGAGGGGTCTGCAGATGTTTAATACGCATGAGCTGCCGGGTATGGTACGCAGGGGCACGGCGTGCTGGGATGGGAACGTGTGTATTAATTTCGCGGCGGAGTTTTTGGGGTGGTTGAAGGAGACGGTGAGGGAGGAGGGGGTGTATAGTGTGGTGTTGAGAAAGAAGGGCGGGGTTGTGGAGGTTCGAAAGGTGAGGGAGGGGACGGGAGGGATTGTTAGTGAGGAGTTTTTGGCGTGGAGGAAGAAGCAGAAGAGTCGAGAACAAGACAATGGCGAGCAAGAGCCAGAAGTCCCTGTAGAAGGGAAGATCGAAGACGAGCAAAAGTCCGAGCGAACTGCTTGAACCTGCATAGTCACTAGATACCCACACCAAAACAAGGACGTACCCGCTACCATGACCCCACCCATCCATCTCCTCCGCCCACCTCAATTCCTCCCCAACCCAAACCGACTCCCCAACGTCCCAAACCTCTCACTCGGCGCACTCTTCGTCGGACTCTGCGCCGCAACCTGCGCGCCCTCCTGACACTTCTCCAGCAAAATCGCCCCCTTGAGCTGATCCACCTTGCCATACTTCTTATTCCTCTGACTGATATCGTAAAACTCAAGACTATCATCGGTCCCCATGAGCGTCACGGTCTGCGTCAGCTCGTCCAAGTTTTCCATCAGGATGGGGTTGCCGAGGCTCTCGACGAAGGAAACGAGGTAGGAAGTGTCGACAGCAAGCGAGGCGACGGCGGGGGGCGTGATGCGTTTTACGGATTCGTCGAGAGTCAGGGCTAGGATGGCGGTGGAGGCGTGGGAGAGGGCGTCGAAGTAGATGAATTCTTTCACATCCGTAGGCAGTGCAAGCAACACACTCGACATGATATTGGATAGGTAGCGGGTCAGCTCGAGCATGTACTCGCTGGGCTCAGTTGCGGGTTTCGTCGCCATCCAGTCGTACTCAGCGGTCTCGATCAGGTCGTCGATCTTGGAGTTTACCAGCTCGAAGATGCGGTCGCTAGCCTGGCGTTTTGCGTTTTTGAATTTCTCGGTCGCTGACAGGATGATTGGGGATGCGGAGGACGGCGAGCTGCGCGCTTGGAAGAGCAGGTCTTGCAGTTCGACGCACGCGGTTTCGAAGTGCTCGAGGTTGGTCAGGATCTGCACGATTTGGCCGGGGTATTGAGACGAGAGGCGGTCGATGAGCGATTGGCAGACTTTCTGGCAGAGGAGGTCGTCGAGCGCTGTGCGCAGGGTTTCGTCGATGACGGTCGATTTCTGGAAGTAGTCGTCTGAGAAAAGGTAGATCTGGTTGAGGAAGTTACGGATGTCGATGCAGCAGAGCGGGTACATCTGAGAGAACGGGAGGACGCAGGGGAATATGAGTTCTTCGCGGCTCTTGTCGGGTGTGTACCAGCTGACGGAAACGACCTTGTCGTACTCTTCGTAGCTGTTGATGGGCATGGGCATGTAGTCGTCGGTTTGGACGATCTCCAAGAAGTCATCGCTGAAGCGCTGCTTCAAGAGCTCTGAGTACTTGGAGAATAGTGTCAGGAGTAGGTCGTTCATGGCTGCGACCGAGTAGCCAATTTTCTATAGACGGTTAGCAACGGTGAGAGCAGGCGAGGAAGATGCGCTCACCTCCATTGTGAGCATGAATAGTGCTATTCGACCTTTGATCTTCAATAGCAGCTCATCGCTTTCGACTGTGGGCAGGGAGTCCGTGACGAGCTTGATAGCACTCTGGCACATCGAGTCCCAAAGTTCATCAACCTGCTCATATTAGCGCTTCGGATCGATTCTCGAACCAACGTACTCACATCAGCCTGCTGTCGTAGATTCGTTGTCTTCGCCATAGTCGCCTTTTCTATAATCGCAAATCCCGCAATGCTCTCAAGAAGACTGCTAAGGTCGTCGCACTCATCTTGTAGCAAATTGAGTTTGCTGGGTATGATCAAATCTTTCTGCGTCCGCCTATCTGCAGCATACTCGGCTTTGAACTGGTCGCTCTTGCCGAGCGTCTCGTTGATGTGAATCGCTAGAAACAGTGGGGAAAAGTCGGTTTCGTTTCCGGCTTCTTCATTGTTCAGAATATCAAACTCATCCGTTTCGTCGGCGACAAGCTCAATTGACGAGTTCAACTTGAACTTTCCAAATCGTGTGTCAATCTCGGCCCGCTCAGCATTCCGCTTTCTCCGTTCGTCGGTATAGTAGAATGACACTTCGCCGAGAAACTGTGATGACTCCCTGATCCGATAAAGCCATGTGCTCAGGTCCGTCTTGACCGCTTCTCTGATTTGCTCCTGGGTCTGCGGCACTGACTTCTCGATCAGGTTCGCTATCTTGAAGCGGCTAATCTCTTTGAGATGAATGGTTTGCAATTCGTCCAGCGCGCGAAGAGCTGCATAATAATTCTTCTCCCTCAACATGTCTTGAACCTGGTTGGCTATCCTCAGTACATTCAGGCACGCGTTTAACGCCTGTGTGGCTTCGTTGATATTTTGGCGCACACCGCGGGAGTCGACCAGCGCTTTCTTCTGAGTGGCTAGTTTCTCAATGCTTTCTTGAATCGATTCGTTCAATTGTAGGATCTCTCCACTCATTTGCACAGTCTGATCTCGGATACGGAGCATAGAATCAACCGAACTGACGAAATCCTGGTGATTCGCATTACATATCCGCTCGATCTCTGCTTCTCGGTCGTTGGAGAACTGGTCGAATGCTAGTTGCAGTTGATTCGAGTAACGCGCATCTTTCATGATAGGGATCAACTGGTCGATGTAGTCCGAGCCCACAGATGACTGAGAGATCTTTCACGTGTCAGCATATACAGAACTGTGTAGCGCCACATGCTTGTCATTACTTGTTTGATTGCTATTCGCAAGTCATCGCCTGTGTCTACTGCGGACGGCATGATGACAGCTGTCTCGAGCGCTTTGCGCGCCCCAATCCGAAGTGCGTGTCCGTAACCAGTCTTTCACCGTGCAGAATAACCTCGACGTGTCGACGGGTCTTATTCGGAATGTTGATGTCGTGCTTTGTTGGATGTAGTTGATGATGCCTAGGCGCACCCATGGACCCGTACCTGGCGCAGCGAGGCAGCCTAAACCGAAAACAGCCTAGAGTAGTGGGGCCCCTGCAACATCACGTGCGCACAGGGCTGAAGTGTCCCGCCCAAGGTCTTTCCGGACTTCGGACGCTTCTCTGCGGCTGCTAGTGGCTGCGTCATCGGAATGCCAGCGGGGTATTCATCGGACTCAAAACGAATTTATCGGTAGCTCTCCTGAACAATATATCTTCAACCACAATTCTGATCTTGAGAAATTTCCCCAGATCAACAAAAAATGGAGGCAATTATCAGTGAGTAGTTTGTTTCTGTCAATTGAGCAATTACTGACTTCTTCAGACAAGTTCGAGACCGTTCTCGGCGGTGTCAACTCTACCGGAAAGTGAGTATAACTGAGAGACAGACTGTGAAGAACGAGCTGATAAATCTCAAGGTCGGTTCTGCTGCTCGGTGCTGGTTTCGTTACCCGCCCAACTGCTGAGATCCTCGGCAAGTCTGGCGTCAAGGTTGTCGTTGCTTGCAGGACGATCGAGAAGGCACAGGCTCTGGCCAAGGGCATTCCCAACGCCCAGGCGATCAGCGTACGCAATTTCTTCAAACAAAGCGATTACCGGCACTGACTTCACCAGCTAGACGTCAACGATGCTGAGGCCCTCGACGCTGAGGTCGCCAACGTCAACGTCGTTATCTCCTTGATCCCCTACACCTTCCACGCAACCGTCATCAAGTCGGCCATCCGCAAAAAGAAGGATGTTGTCACAACCTCATACGTCTCGCCCGCGATGATGGAGCTCGACGCTGAGGCTAAGGAGGCCGGCATCACCGTCATGAACGAGATTGGTCTTGACCCCGGTATCGACCACCTGTCTGCCGTTATTACCATCGACGATGTCCACAAAGAGGGCGGCAAGATCCTCTCCTTCAAGTCATACTGCGGCGGTCTTCCCGCGCCTGAGTCTTCTGACAACCCACTCGGGTACAAATTCTCGTGGAGCTCCCGTGGTGTCTTGCTGGCGCTGAGGAACGCTGCCAAGTACTGGGAGGACGGCAAGGTCAAGGAGGTTGAGGGTCCTGAGCTCATGGCTGAGGCCAAGCCCTACTTCATCTACCCCGGCTACGCTTTCGTCGCCTACCCCAACCGTGACTCTACTCCCTACAAGGAGCGCTACAACATCCCCGAGGCCCAGACCATCGTCCGTGGTACCCTCCGCTACCAGGGCTTCCCAGAGTACATCAAGACCCTTGTCGACATTGGCTTCCTTGTTGAGGACGAGAAGGACTTCCTCAAGGAGGGTGAGCAGCGCACATGGAAGGATGCCGCAGCCAAGATCGTTGGCGCATCAAGCGACAAGAAGGAGGACATCGTCTGGGCCATCAGCTCGCGACACAAGTTCCCCTCTACCGAGGAGAAGGAGCGCATCATCGCCGGCCTGGAGTGGATCGGTCTCTTCTCCGACGAGAAGATTATCCCCCGCGGCAACCCGCTCGACACTCTCTGCGCTACCCTCGAGAAAAAGATGCAGTACGAGGAGGGCGAGCGCGACTTCGTCATGCTCCAGCACAAGTTCGAGATCGAGAACAAGGACGGCAGCAGGGTTATCCGCACATCCACCCTCGCTGACTACGGTGACCCTAAGGGCTACTCTTCCATGGCCAAGTTGGTCGGTGTTCCTTGCGCGGTTGCCGTCCAGCAGGTTCTTGATGGCACAATCAAGGAGAAGGGTATTCTTGCGCCTATGGATCCTGCCATCTGCAGGCCGCTGTTGAAGGTTCTGGAGGACAAGTACAACATCCACTTCAGGGAGAAGACTGTTGCTGCTTAAGTCAGTGTGCTCCAATGAGACGTGTTTGGAATCATAGAATGAAGATTTCAAGGGTATCAGTAGTGTAGACAAAAGCACCTCACATTCACGCCCAGCCAGTTTCCCCTTTGAAAATGATGATATCCGTTCATATTTCGGTATGCGTGCTCTGCCATGCCATGCTATTCACCCCTCATACTTCATTTCGCCACCGAACCTCCTAATCCAACCCCCCAGTCGGCGGCAACGTCTTACTCTCACTCGCCGACTTCTTCGCGCCCCCGCCCATCCCCCCACCAAACATGCTCCCCAGCATGTCAAACATAGGGTTCCCCTGCTTCGGTATCCTGATCCCAAAGTACATCTCGCCAATCTGATCCAGCGCCTCATCCCAATTCGTCTCCTTCAGATGCCCCGCATAATAGCTCTTCAACTGTCTATACAAACTCGGATCACCGCGTTCCACACTCAGCAGCAATAGGCCTAGGAAGTTGAGCAGCGGTAGGGACGGGTATACGCGCAGGTCTGAGTCCGAGGTCGAGACTTGCTGGGTTTGGAGGCCGGGTTTGCTGGAGAGTCGCGAGGTGAAGAGCAGGAAGAATTTGTTGGCTGCGCGGAGGTTGCCTGCGAGCAGGTAGGGCAGGACGCCGCGCGCGGTGTACAAGGGTGCGGTGTGTGAGTCGTCTGCGGTGTACCAGGAGTACTCGAGGTTGGCGAGGGCTTCGGGGGAGTCTTTTGTGCCGAGGATGAGGTGGCGTTCTGCGTCGTAGGGTTCGAGATCTGTACATGTTGAATCAGCATTGTTCACAATGCTCTTGAAGCTAAGGAACGTACCCTCTGCGAATGCGCTGCCCGCGACGTGGTGAATCTCCGGGTCGCCAGCGGGATACTCGCCGTACTTTGCGCTCCAGGCGACCATCTCAGCGACGAACTTCTTCTTCGTGGGCTCGTTTGGGGGGAATGCGCGGAGCAGGCTTAGCAGCTTGCCTTTGCTGCTTGCGTCGGGCTTGGTCTCGCTCTTGTTGAAGACATCGAGCAGGAATATGCAGAGATCGCCGCCAGAGCCGCCCTGGCCTGCTTGTAGGAGGGATTGTGCGCCGCGGAAGAGGATGTCGGTTGCGGATGCCCAGTCGGAGGCTTTGGTGTAGCGGGATGCGATTACGCGGAGCTGTTGGTGGGCTTCATAGTACTGGCCTTCAGCGATTCTGTGTATGTCAGTGTGAGCTGGGATGGCTGAAAGAGAGGGACTCACCTCTCCTTCTGTCGCTGAATCGTCTTCTCAATCTTGGCCGACATGGTGACGACTTGATATCTCAAGAGGTGGAGTCGTGTTTGTATCGAAGGTGCACACAGTTGTGATGTTGATGTCAAGTCGCAATGACGCACGTGGACCCCGCTAGCAACGAGACGGGCACCTGCAGTCCACAACCGTCTCCAACACCACACACGCAACACAAAGAGCCTCTCCACCAAAGGGCTTGCGCATCATGGTAAACGCGATAGCTGAACATCTTTGAGCAGTTTGAGTCAACAAAAAGAAAGAGCGACTACGACCGACATGTGGGGTTGCAGCGACACCAGGAACAGCAACATCCTCCATCTCTGGATGATAACCTTTTTTTCCACGCCCACAACAGGAGCAAAAAAAATAAATTGCATCGAACGGGACTCGAACCCGTGCCTGAAGCAAGTCCTTCCATGGTAAGATGGGAAGCTTCAATTCTACCCCTAAACTATCGATGCCTATTATCGGATGTGGAAAGGGCGAGATAAATCAGCTATATCTTGAGCAACTTCATCCAGACTACCTTTGGATGAGGGCCACCACAGGCTGGATGTGAAATAACAGGCAAGCGTACAACGTGTAAGCTGACATGTGAGGCAAGAAGCGGGGCGAGCGGAAGGCTACCCCTCACTTGTATGTGGATATAGCCGGAGCGGATACCTGCCTGAGGCTCGATTGTAAGACGACACCAACGTACATCATACGGGTTGCTTGATGCCTTCTCGTACACATGACACTCCGTTCTAAATTCACAGCGTTCGATGCAAGCCAGACACCATCAATTACGGAGCAGCAATGGCATCACATCTACTCATCGATACTTAGCCAACCAGAGCATAACCCACTACAATTCTACCACGCGAACTAGTTGTACTCGCCATATACCTCCTTGAATTGCCTTGCCGGCACTCTCCTCTCGAACAAGTAACCCAGCTCCTCATACGGCTTAGCCTTGGTCTCAGGAAGGAACATCCAAGATAAGCCAAAGCCGAAGAAGCACAGGAGAGCGAATATGAAACCGATCTTGCGTCCCAATTTCCCACATCGTCGTTGAACATGTAAGGCACTGAGATGCTGAACGCAACACCAGCCAATGCATTGGTCATGAACCTGATGGCGGGCGATTTCGCCCTCAGTCTGACAGATGACAGCTCACTAATGAGGACGGGCCATGCCGGGCCGACACCGAGAGCAGCGATTGAACCGACAAGGAGGATAGAGACACCGATGAACCTGGACAGGCGTCGGATCTTTACCATGATATAGAGCAAGGAGAGAGGCTTACCTCAGTGCATTCGCATCATGTTGGAAGAAACTCGCAGCACCTTGACCGATAAACACAATACCAGTAGCCGCATAAGAGCACAACATTATGATCCTCCTGCCGAAGGCTGACATAGTCACACCACCTGAACACCAACGCCAATCTGCGAGATCTGTAGCGACTGTATTGGACTCATACCGGCCATGATCAGAAAGTAGTTCGCGTTTGCCAGCAGCGATACTCCAAGGAAGTACTGCAGCAGCGCAACTAGGATGATGAACGAGCGGCGGCGGTTGCTGCCCTTGAAAAATTCAGCGAATGATGCACTGCCAACGCTGACTTGTTGTTCCTTCTCGTTGTTGAGGATGGCTTGGACCTTGCTGAGGGCAAGGTCGGCATCGGCTTTGGAGCCATGGAGGCGCAGGTAGGATTCTCGGGCTGCTGTAGGCTTGTCGCGTGCCATCAGCATGGAGGGCGACTCAGGAATGGCGAGGCCAGAGAATGCCCCTTGTACAGCGAATAGGAGCTGCTGAATCAGTCATACGTTGATGAGTATTTGTAGGTGCTGAACTCACTCTGAAGGATGAGATATCCATGATCATGATACGAGAGAAGACCACTGTTATAGCGATGAGCTGGCCGATTGAAACTGCGAACCGAAAGACTGCGAGCAGTGCACCTCTGAGTTTGACAGACGAGATCTCCGAGACGTAGTCATAAGCACACCATTCCAGCACCGGTGACGATCTTCGAGAACAGAAATAAAGTACGACAACCTGTAAGTTCGATACCGGACTCTGGCGAGGCGTATGCGAACGCAGTGCCTCCACGTCAATCATAGTCAGCCCGAACCCTCCCTAATCAGATACGTATCCGCGAATGTACCACTTGCAGACACAACGCCACCCATGATGAAAGCCATACGGCAACCAAATCGATCCTGGAAGGCAGCACTTCCAGCGGCTCCGATCATAACACTGAGTTGGATGAATGCGGTCCACAGCAGTACAGGAAGGTGTCTGGGCAGAACAGAGCTAGTCACAACGTAGTCACCACCCAGCCCAGCGCCAGAAGCAGGCTCATACTGCGTACAGTGAGTGTCAGGAACGCCTGTACAACAGTTAATGAGCATTCTCGTGAAAGTATCTGAATCGGCCACCTTACGGTCAGGTGATGTTGCACGACTATGACTGGCCACGGTACTAAACTACATGTGCTAATTATCGTGGACCTCCCATGAGGAAGTCACAATCAACCACTAATCCTTCCAAGGCGTCATCACACCATCCTTATCATATCCAGATAGCTCCAGTGATCGCACTTGCCACCCTCTCCAGCGACCTTCGCGTCACTGTCAACTCGTCCTGACCAGTAGATATTGCCTTGCGTATATCTGTGGAACGCAGCTCGTCCAGCCTTAAACAGCTCTTTCCTCTTGCTCAACTAGTTGTTGAGCTCCGTCTCAATCGACCACTCTCTGATGACTACCGGAAACTTGTTTGTTTTGTTTGCTGTCTTTCCGTCTCGATAACCGGAAGCACGGTATTATATTGATTGTCAAAATGTACGAACCCCTCTGGACTTGGAACAGTGATGTAATCAGAACATCTGCACCATGGCATATTCTTGCAGACAAGCTTGTGAGTGGTTATTACCAACGTTGATGCCCTGCATGACGTCTACCAAGCTGTCACAACTGTCAACCAGACAATCAACGGCCACTCGGAAGCCTTCGCTTCTCTATGATGTAGAGGACTTCAGTAACGAGCCAGATCCAGGGGGTGCATACATTTTGTCATGCACCGATAGAGTTGCACTGCCGTCCAGCAAAGTACAGTACTAAGACTTAAGTCTGTTCGCGTATAACGGTTTTCGAAATACCATCGACACCACGTGATTTGGCGCGGGGTTCTTGAAAATCTCAACATCACATATAGGCCAATCTATAGTGTATTTTGATGCGCACAGCTGCCTGTGAGACCTCTGATTATCACAATTAGTTTTTTGAAGCTCTATCGCAACTCTCACAACATTATTTTGGTGTTGTTGAGGTGTGATCGCCCACCCACAATGGTCAACAATGGCCGCAACGGCAAGCGACTGCCACCCACACTGCAACAGTTGGTCATGGAGCATATCGCTGCTTCTGAAAATAATACTCACGTTGCTGATGCTACAGGCATACATCGTGAGACTGTGGCAAAGTTGCGATTGAGCTTGGAGTACTGGGGACAGTGCTATCCTCCACCCACTGTGAGGCTCGGCCGGCCACCATTACTGTGGCAAGCTCAGCTAGAAGGACTCACAGAGTACCTTGCTGGTAGACCTAGCGCTTACCTTGAAGAGATGCAGCAATATTTGTACGATGATTTTGACATAGAGTGCCACATCTCCACTGTGTGGCGAGCTTTGGAGAAGCTCAACTACTCAAAAAAGCTAGCAACAAAGCGTGCAAGGGAGCAAAGTGAGCCTCTCCGTCGGGTGTACAAAGCTTGGATGGCAGAGTACAAAGCAGAACAGATCATCGCCATCGACGAGAGTGCTTGCAATGAGCGTACTGGCGATCGCAAGTATGGCTGGAGTCGCGTCAACACACCAGTTGAGCTCTCGTACAGCATGAGACACAGTGAGCGATGGTCAATTCTGCCGGCAATGACTGTCAATGGGTACCTCAGTTATACCATTTTGCAAGGCGCAATTACCTCTGAGCTCATGGAGGACTTCATGGCAACCTCTGTATTGCCGTACACAACACCAGGTTACTCAGTAGTTGTACTTGACAACGCATCAATTCACCGATCGCCTTGGCTTCGTGAGCTTTGTGCCATGTACGAGGTACAGCTGGAGTATCTTCCGCCATACTCACCCGACTACAACCCAATTGAGAAGAGCTTTAAGCAGCTGAAAAGTTGGATCAAAAGACACTCTGATGAGCAGGACATCTTTGACAACTTCTACTACTTCTTAGAGTATGCAATTGAGCATACAATGAAGGAGGTTGACTGTAGAAGCTGGTTCTGGATGTGTGGTTACCGGCCAGAGGGGTGGGGTGACGCGCAAGGGAACCCCGAGACCGACAATGTCAATAACTTCTTGTAACAAAATATTGCACAACCCACAAAAGCGATTAGTTAATTCTAAAAAAAAATTATAGGAGTTTGCCTGCATATAGATTAGTACTCTGACAGACTCTCGTCTTTTGGTGTTGATGCTGTGTTTGGCTAGGTGGCAAAAATTGCGACTTACCTTGTCCGTCATCACCATTAGATGTCGCTCAACGGTGACCTGCAGTTTAAGTGCTCTTGCTGCTGCCGCCTCGCAGTAGCAATCTTCTCAAAGTCGTCACCGCTGAGTCCATTGTAAGTTTTTCTCCATCGAAGAGCGTGTCGCCAAAGCTGGAGAAGTACGCCAGGTCTTAAGTCAAAGTGATCAACCCACAACTCCATCGAGACACCATTCTCGCTGCTCTTGTCCATCAACATATTGATATCAATATGACCATCTTTCACAACCTTCTGTTCAACTTCGTCAATGAGTTCTTGTGCTCCAGAAACATCCCACTTCTCTCTAAAGTAAGCAAAGAAGTTGTCAGTATGAGCAAGAATCTCTGCCCAAAACTCATACTCAAATGGCTGCCAACCAGCCGGAGTAGACTGTGCCACCAAGCCACTATTGAGCTGCGATAATTGAGCCATCAACACCGATTTCTGCAGCTCCCGCACCTCCTCTAGTACTCCATCACCTGTACTTTGCTGCTGCTGCTTCCTCACTTTGTCCACCTCGCTCCGCTCGCGAGCTCTCATTATTGCAGACTTGACGCAATCGTTTGGCTCTTGTACAGTAGTACACTGTCGCTGTTCGACAGATTTTGCCCACATTGCAATAATATTTGGGTTGACTGGGTAGTGCTGCTCATCAGGTAAGCCAGTACGCGGCCGCCAGCAACACCATAGCCAGTTGGAGCACTCCTTCTTCTCACAACGCCAGGTGTCCTTTATAGCAAGCGTAGCGCCAGCTCCCATCAACTGTGCAGCAACTACACCCTCCAGTCCCTCTTCTTGTATAGCCGTGGCAGTCCGAGCACGTGGTTGGGATGAGCGTTGAGGCAGCTGAGAAGCAAGTTGTGATGCGGGTATAAGGTCGCCAATGAGGTACAGGTTGAAATCGATGGTAAGCTTCTCGCTGGTGTCGAGGTCAATTGACTTTGCTAAGTCCTTCAGGTCGTAGATGTCTTGTACGCTGCCTTGTCGTAGCCGCTTTTGAGGTCTATCGCGCCTATTAGCACCTCTGCCGTACCACAATTCTGCAACAAGACTTGCCACCCCGACGTTGAGGCGGCAACCTGTTTGGCTCTCAATAACCTCGTCAACCCACAACCAGAGGCCAGTCATTGTGAGGTTGTCGACCTTGTAGTCAGGGTGAGCGTCTGCTGCTGAGTGTATAGGGTTCTTCTCGATGTCGCTGAAGGTTGCGCGGTACCGTAGAGTTGCCACAGTCTCATGCTCAGGCTCAGAAAAAGCAGCAGCTGACTCCTCCACAGGTCCATTGTCAACCTCGGCAAGAACTTCTGCATCATTCTCTACCTCCTCCGGGTTGGGGTCTCCTTTATCTCCTCCTCCGGCATCATTGTCATCATCCTCAGCGCCTCTTATCTCAGAGTCCTCGTGCACAAACAATGCCTCCTCTGCCTCTGTGGCTTGGCTTGCAGGTGGTCTCAATGAAGGACAACGAGCTGTTGATGGCGGAGTAATTGGGTTAACACCTTGCTCAAATGGTCTTGTTGATATTCGCTGACGTTTACTATAGGCGGGTGTTGCGGGTGCATCCTGTGTCGATTCAGGTGCCGGCTCATTGATTTTCCGACGATTTGACCTTCTCAGAGGCATCACAACACCACAAAAAGTCAAGATACTGATAAACTGAGCTTCAAACTATACAGAAGGAGCAGCGGCTTGCTTTGTTGTCGTTGTATGCCAAAATTGGCCTATAATGTAAGGGGCGAGCCGCTGAGGGCAATATGCGATGTAGAACTTGATGGATTTGATAAGGGGCAAGTCCCAGAGCGGTACTTGCAGAATTTTAATACTCCCGCTTCGGAGGTTGCAGGCCCGCTCCGGAGATTGTACGTC